CACCAAGTTGTCTCTTGGGTCCCTGGAATTCAGTTTTAAGGAGAGTAATGTATCAAAATGTTAACAGTGATGTGGCTAGCAGAGACATTAAGCCTCAACAAGTTACTTTTCTGTATCTTTAAAGTTTCCTCTACATTATCCAGACCATTTCAAACCATCAGCATAGCACATGTGCATAACTGCATTCCTAGAGTGATTCTCGGGTCTCAGTGCTCCGTCTCCCTGTGTTTTTTCTGGTGGGGGTGGCGGGGGGTGCTCCTGGTGGCGCTCAGAGTCAGCACATACATTTACTGTCGTATAAGCTTTCCAGCGGACAAAAGAGCTGAAACTATTACAGTGCCTTGTTCCTCTTTAAGAGGGGAGAAGAGAAGCATTAAGGTGTTGGATTAGGCTTTAGGACTTAGCAGGGCGAACGGTTCAGCTACAAGAGAGTACTCAGTTCAGACATCATGGTTGATTAGCAAACAATGATGCTTTCGTTACAGAAAACTAAATTAGGACTTTCGTTCTTTCATTTACAAATTACTAGCAGTATATAAATGGCCGGCAGCCGGCAATGCAGAAGTGGCCAAGAATGTGTTTGAGGTACGAGAGGTCCTGAGCTTGACCCTCAGCAGTACACGAAGCATGGATGTAAGAATGTAGATTACTGTGACACAACATATGTATATATGCATATAAACCAAAGTACATTCTTAGTTGCAGTTTTTGTTTATTAGAAAGTCTGATGGCTGTCCGGTACGGGTCTTACTAGCTGTTGACCCGAGTCCAGTGAGGAGAGCTGCTGCTAGGAGATGCGTGTCAAGGGAGGAAGGGATTCCTGAGCTGCTGAATCCAGGCCTCACACAGGCAGAATCTGCATTCTTCCTCCAAGCTCCCCCCGCACCCACAGACCTAACCTTTAACAAGCTTTCATTTAATTAACAGGCTTTAAAGTGGCAGCTTTGTCCCGTCACAGTCATCTCCTGGCTGAATCTCTTCCTCCAAGTCGATGCCCTTAAAGATGCTCCCAAAGTGCTCCTACCTCAGTACTCTCAAGAACAGTTCATCCAGATAGCGCAGGTACTGGTGCTGTCACGGTGTGGTTGCTGCTGTGACCGACTGCAGCTTGACCGCGCCTGCATTGCGAAACAGGCGCGCGACAAAATGACGGCATTATTAAATTCCGCTCACGACTCGATTTGAGCCAAGTTTGGTGGATTTCAGGGATTTCTTTTGGGGCCCTACCTGTTCCTCTGGATTTGGGGCTCTGGTGCTGGGACGAAACCAAGATTTCTGTCTGCCCTCAGAACAAAGTTCTTCATAAATGCTACCCACATATATATATACATGCTGCTTCATCGTTCTGGAAAGCAAGTCTTGGGTTTTTGTTGTTTCTGAGCCACGCTTGGCTATCTATGTTCAGGGCTGCTGCTGCTGGTTCTGCACGGAAGGATCACTCCAGGTGGGGCTTGGACCGTACTGGATACTGGGATAAACCCAAATCAGCTGTGTGCAAGGGCAGTGCCCTCCCCGCTGAACTGCTATTGGTCAGCCTAGCGGTGCTTAGGGCTTCCTCATGGCTCTGCACTCAGGAATCCTTCCTGGAGGGTTCAGGACAGTGAGGAATTCTGGGGGTCAAGGCAAATGCCCGGCCTGCGGTACCATCACTCTGGCTCCCAGAATGAGTATTTCTTTCAAAAATTCTTGTGTGGTGCTGTATACGGAATACGCACTTGGCTGTTTTTGTTTTGGGGCCACGCCGGTAGGGCTCAGGGATTCCTCCTGGCTCTGCACTCAAGGATCATTCCTCACGGGCTTGGGAGACCATATTGGGTGTTGGGGGTCGTACCCGGGTGCAAGGCCTCCCCATTGTACTGTTTCTCTGGCCCTTGCACTTCACTGTTGAGCTGTATCCCCAGCCCCCAAATTTTAAACTTTTGAGTTTAAAAATAGTTTAAGCACTTTTCATCCTTAAGGAGACCAAATAGTTAAGTACCTTTTTTTTTTTAATAAACTATAAAGACAAGTAACTAATTCACATGATGACTATCTTATTTTTTTTTGGTGGGGGTCACACCCGGCGATGCTCAGGGGTTACTCCTGGCTCTGCACTCAGGAATTACACCTGGCAGTGCTCAGGGGACAATATGGGATGGTGGGAGTCAAACCCGGGTCGGCCGCGTGTAAGGCAAACGCCCTACCCGCTGTGCTATCACTCCAGTCCCTTCTTTGTTTTTTCAGGCGGGGAGGGGGACATACCCGGCAGTGCTCAGGGCTTATTTCTGGGGGACCGTTTGGGTGCCAGGGTAAAACCCAGGTCAGCCATCAAGAAGGTGCCCTCCCTGTGGCGCTATTTCCGTCCCAGCTTTCGAATACAGCTCTCTGCCTCCAGCTATCCTCTGACTGGTCTGTTGCTGACTTCGAATTCCAAGACTCCTTAACCTTAGGGTGGTGCTTACTTCTCGTTGGATCATCATCATTTTTGCCGTCTTGGCATCTGGTCCACAACTGTCAACACCACGGTGTTAGCTGATGTCTAGCGGGGATGTGGCGCTCCTCCTCCTAACTTGCCTTTGCTCTGTTAGCTCTTAGACCTGTGTATCCTCGCCGTCGATTCCTTAGAGTTCCAGTACAGAATACTAGCTGCAGCGGCCCTGTGCCACTTCACCTCCATCGACGTGGTAAAGAAAGCCTCAGGTAAGGCACTGGGTTCTGTTTTCTTGCGCCTCACAATTTTTTTTCTTCTTTCTGGGTCACTCCTGGCTCTGCACTCAGGAATCACTACTCCTGGCGGTGCTCAGGGCACCATCTGGGATGCTGGGAATCGAACCCGGGTCGGCCACGTGCAAGGCAAATGCCCTACCCGCTGTGCTATCGCTCCAGCCAGGCGCTTCAGAATTTTCAAAGGTTCTGTGCATCTGTGAACTTTAGCATCCTGTTAAACAGGAATTTTTAGACGTCAACATTTTAAAATATGGCCACTATCTTCCTTTTTTGTAAGAATTTTTAAATCCTACTGTACAGCCACAAAAAAAATGTCCAAATGAATTTAACTCAGTTTTGAGTCAGTATTATAACCCTATATCTAGTTTGAGAAAGTTTATTGAAAATTTAAACTTCTGTGGTTTTTTTTCCCCAAATGAGTTTTAAGAGCTGGAGAGATAGTGTAGGTGCGTATATAATCTTCATTTTACATATGTAACCTTCATAACTTCTCTGTCTAGGTTTGGAATGGGACAACATTTCAGAGTGTGTAGACTGGATGGTGCCCTTTGCCAGCGTAGTAAAAAGTACTAGTCCAGCAAAGCTGAAGATATTTAAGAAGATTCCTATGGAAGACAGACACAATATCCAGACTCATACAAATTTTCTGGCTATGCTGGTAGGTGTTGGGTCTTAATGTTAGATTACTATTTAAGACGATTTCAGCATCTAGGGAAAAGGTCTAAAAAGCACTGTAGGCGTCCAGGTAGGAGTTAAAAAATTAATAATAATAAAATGGCATAATAATAATAATAGTTCAGATTGCTGAGTCTATAATCTTCACAGTTCCAAAACCATCAAGATTGCTGTATCAAGCCTTACTTAGAACCCAGTCTGGTCTGACTTGATTTTACTGGGTCACTCAAAGTTTTGCCTTAGCTGTTAATTTCTCACCTCCACAGGATGAAGTCAACTACGTGAGCACCTTCAGGAAGGAGGGACAGTTGTCACCAGTGTGCAGCGGAGGCATCATGACACCACCGAAGAGCACGGAGAAGCCCCTGGGGAAGCCCTGAAGGACTGAGAATGGGGCCAGAATCGGGGAGCCTCGTAGGAAGGCCGTGCCGTGACTCTCCCAGCCAGCTCCCAGGTTCTCACTGCCGAGCTTCTATCGAAATACCCTGAAAATTGGCACTAACTGAAATGAAGAAATCTATTTGTTCCCAGGTCGACTGTTCGAAGACAGCGGGACTTGTTTACAACTATGGCTTCATTCCCAAGCCAGCTGGGCAGAAGCTGGTCACAGTTTATGCCATAGCAAAAAATTCTGGACCCAGTGTTACTGCGTTGATCTGGATAAACTAGGCATTTGGTCTTTGAGAGTTTGGGACTGGATAAGTGCTACCTCTGTGGGTACACTGAGTGATAGAGTACTTTGAATCTAGTTTTAAGATTCTGAAATTTATACTTGAGTAGTGCAATTTGATTTTTAAAAATAAATTTTAAAATTGTTTACAAAGGCCAAGTGTGTAACAAGGTGACTAATTTATCTACAGCTGCTATAGAAAGCTGTTCTAAAACTTGAACTTTTACAAATGGTGAACTTTTTTTATTCAGTTTAATTGCCTTACCATACATTTTTAATCAGTAAGGCTTAGATGAACCTGGTGTTTAAACTGCTCTGAACAGGGAGAATACCAAAGGAATCATAAAAGTGCTACGGCTCCTACTTGGGGGTTATTTGTGTAATAAACCATTTTGTATATCACAATTTGGGTGAAAACTTAAGTACCCTATGCGTATATATGTGTGTGTGTGTACATATATATATATATATGTATGTGTATATATATATATGTATGAAAAAGTCACTTTATTACTCTCAGATATCCCTAAGGGTCTTTTTCTATCCTTCAAATTTAGTGTGACTAAGGCTTTATTTATGTCTTGCAAAGCTCACAGATGGTGTCAAAGTGATAAAGCTTCTATTTTTCTTAAAGCAGAAGAGTATTAAATGTATACTGACTCCTAGAAATCTATTTATTAAAAGAACGTGACGTAAGAACTTGCTAAATATATAGCTATATGGATGAACTTGCTATATATATATATGAACTCCAGCCATAAGTGGATTTAATTAGAAAAAAACTACTTTGACGGCTAGTTTATTCTAATGAACCAGACCTGTGAAGTCATTCCTTCTAAGAAATGATAAATTTAAGCTATTGTTATGATATGAATTCCTCTGTATTTTTAAAGACTCCTATTTTAGTATTTGTGTCTGTGAAGAAAACACCACTAAAACTGTACACGTGTATTATATAAATGTAATCTTTTAATACTATTTACTTTTAGTCCATTGTTTAAAAAATAAAGGTTAAAAAAACTGCTTAAAAGTATAGTTTTGCCATTGCTTGCAGAAACTTCTTTTTCCTTCTCTGTGCAGCCAGCTGTAGCACTTCTTCTGGGTTGCTTGCATTCAATTCTGTCTGGCCAATGGCTTTGATCTTTAAGACAGAAAAATGCTGTTACTAGAGGTCTGGTGAGAAGCAGCTCCCTGTACACTAAGACTAAGCAGACACGGGGAAAGTCACAATGAAAGAGTGGCCTGAGCCACGCTGAAGGAAAAGTTCAATTGTTGACCTAACAATTCATGGAAATTAGTAAAAATACTAGTAAGTAAATTGTTTCCTATGAAATTCTTTGAAAACATTAAAATTCACTTCAACATTTTCTTTAAGCAAATAAGTAAAAATACAGGGTTAGTTGCCTTTTTTTTTTTTTTGGTTTTTGAGCAGTGGTCAGGGCTTAACTCCTGGTAAGACTCGGAGATCATAGTGGTTACTAGGGATTGAACCAGACTGTGTGCAAGGAAAACGCCCTACAACCTGCTGGTACTGTCACTCCAGCCCTGAGGTGGGCAGCTTCTATCATATATAGTCATTCAGATTACTTCATGATTAAAACCCACGGTAGTATTCTACCCTAAACTTAGTGTTTACTAAAAGTACTTTAGGACCCTAAATTACCTTTAAAAAAAAAAAAAAAACCGGGGGTATGGTGCCGCCAGCAGGTCAATCTGTACCTGTGAGGCGAGTGCATCAGCAGCCTCATGGCGCCTTCAGACTTCCAGATACCCCAAAATTGCTGCTGTGCCTTTGGCCAGACCCCAAAAACTTGGGGCAAAGTTTACCAAGAAAGTAAACGGCCAAAAGTTAGGTATGTGGGAGACACACCCACAAATCACCTCCGGCTCAGCTATATAATTGGAGACATGGCCTCTCTGGTTCCTCATTGAACTGCTTAACGGCCATGATCCCAGAGACTCAGAAACAAATCTCGAAACCCAGCGGCTTTTAGCAGAAATGCGTCCCGTCCCTGCAGTAGGTTACCGGTGCTGGGCCAACCCAGGTGGGAATAGGTTTCGTGCCTTGGCCTACTCCCCCTGGCGGCCCAGTGGCCGCCATCCGTCTGAGGCCACTGAATAGTCACATTTGGGTCCCCAGTGACGAGACACACAGGGCCTCACGGGATAGGGGTGGAGCCGGGCTTGTCCTCCCCACCCCAACGAGACCCCAAGTCATCGCCCATGAACGGCCTCTCTGGCTCCTGATCAAGCTGCTTAACGGCCTTGATCCCAGAGACTCAGAAACAAATCTCAAAACCCAGTGGCGTTTGACAGAAATGCATCTGGACTCCACAGTACGTTACTGTCGCCGGGCCACCCCAGGGGGGAAGGGTGTTGTCCCTCCGCCTGCTCCCTCTTGGCGACTTGGTGGCTGTCATCCTCCAGAGGCCATTGGACAGTCAGGCTTGGGCCCGCAGTGACAAAACTTGTTGGGTCTCACGGGATGGGGGGGGGGGGGGAGGTGGAGCCGGGCCTGTCCTCCCCACCCTAACGAGACCCCAAGTCATCGCCCACAAATGGCCTCTCTGACTCCTCATCAAGCTGCTCAACGGCCTTGATCCCAGAGACTCGGAAACAAATCTCGAAACCCAGCGGCTTTTGGCAGAAATCCCTCCAGATTTAAGTGTTAAAATTTCAGAACTTCAAAACCACGTGGCCCTACTGCAGCCACACGACATGTTATTCATAACCAGCAATAGAACACAAATTGTCTATTGTTGCCTTTTCAGCAGATCTGAGTGTTGGAGTAAAATCTTAAATAATGGTGGGTCTGGTGTCGAAATAGTGAATGTGATCAAAGTAGAGAGGGAGTAATGTGGAAATCATCTGCCCCACAGGCAGGGGGAGGGTGTGGGATGGGGTGTACTGGGGATTTTGGTGGTGGAGAATGGGCACTGGTGAAGGGACGGGTGTTTCATTGTATGAGCGAGACTTAGACCCGAAAGCTTCGTAACTGCTCTCACGGTGATTCAATAAATAAAATTATTTAAAAAATGAAAAAAAAAAGTAAGGTGGAGTTCATGCCCAATTCAATCAGCTAATCAGTGGCTGAATAAATAGCAGTACTCCTACAAAAATAAATAAATAAATAAAATAAATAAGAAAAAACAAACACAGCACCCCAATCAGACTTGAAATGGAAGACTTGTCTGTGCTGTAGCTTTGTGGGGGGATGCTACAGAAACAGGCATCAGTTAGGTCAAGAGCCAAGGTAGGAAGAAGCAGCAGATGATGCCATTTCAATACGCAGAAATGCTGACGCACCCGACAGTGGGGCACAACAGAGACATTCTTCGAAGTTCCTCACGGAAAACTGAGCTTGCCTCATGCCATCAGTCCGTTAGGCCTCTCACTGGGTGACCTTGCTGAGAACAGTTGAGATGGGCAACGGAAGGAACCAGCTGTGCCACGTGGGAGCTTAACAACTCAGCAGAGCAGAGAAGGGCCAGGGAAGGGCAGTACGAGGCAGGCCGTGCGTACGAGAGACCCGGGCTCTGAAACCAGGCAGACTTGAGTGGGAGGCAGGAGCACTCGAAGGGACAGGCTGGGTGGCAAAGCAGCACAGCAGGAGGCGAGCTTGCCCCGCACACAGCCGATGGCTCTGACCTCCGGCACCACCTAAGGTGTGTCGCCTGCCCCATCCCTCCCCGCCTCCGACCACCTCCTGAGCCCGCCAGGAGTTCATTCCTGAGTGCAGAACTAGGAGTGACTCCTGAGCACCGCTGGATGTGTCCCAAAAGAAGCTGCCCCCCGCCCCCACCCGTTTGTAAGTGCATCATCAACGATGTACAGACTTCGAGAGCTCACTGAAGAAAATGGCAGAAGGAAACTTACTGCAATTTGTCTTTTGTCTGTTTCTCCTCTTTTATGATGAAGATCTGCATGTACCTGTTAAGGAAAGTAAACTCCACCCACGCGCTCTTGGGGACAGGCTCTGCCACGCTTTCATTCCGTGGTCCAGAGGGAAAACGCAGAAGGTTCTCTACAGAACACGTGGGGTCAAAGGATACAGGTCAGGTACTCCAGAATGGTCACGTCCCAGATGTAGCCATAGTAGGAGTCCATGGCATCGTGGCTGAGAGAGAGAGAGAGAGAGAGAGAAGTTGGTCACTCCTTACCTCTGCCTTGATCAACAGCAGCAGTCTTGCTCCACTTCAAACAGTGCACCAGGGGGTGCCTGAGCGACGGTACAGCGGGGAGGGCATTTGCCTTGCATGAAGCCGACATGGGCTTGATCCTCGGCATCCCATATGGTGCCCTGAGCACTGCTAGGAGTGATCCCTGAGTGCAGAGTTGGAAGTAAGCCCTGAGCATCACCAAACAACAAGAGAACGCTATCACAGCAGGGCAGGAGATAGGACAGTGGGGGAGGTGCTTGCTTTTCACACAGCAGACCTGAGTTCCATCCCTGGCACTCCATCAGGTCCCCTGAGCCCCAGCTCACCCACACTGCACACGGCCAGGAGTGAACTCTGAGCACCCCCCACCCCCCATACACACACCCGTCATCATACCTGTTTTGTTCCTGTAGTGATTTAAATGCTGTTTTGTAGTCGATTTCTCTGAGGAACTGACATAAGATTGCCACCTACATGACAAAGGTTTGAAAGTGGGTTCATGTCCGGGGTACTAACAAACCCATATTTGTTTTATTGGTTTTTTGGTTTAGGGATCATACCTGGCTGTGCTCAGGGGTTACTCCTGGCTCTGCACTCAGGGACCATACGGAATGTCAGGGATCGAACCCATGTCAGCCACATGTAAGTTAAATGCCTATCTGCTGTACTAGTGCTCCAGCCCCGTACTCTTCTGATTTAAAAGGAGTAATTTTAAATGATTCTGCTATGAAGAGTATATTATTTAAGAGTTCCTAGAGTACATCTTTAGGCATTCCACTAGTTTTAACTGCAAAATCCCTTATGTAAATGTCAATCTGCCCAGTATTTCCTTTGCTGGTGACATACATTCTAACTCTTCTAATTTCTGGGTTAGAGAGAAAGCAGAGTGGTCACGCATGCCCTGCATGTGGCTGACCTGGGTTTGATCCCTAGCACCCATCCGGTCCCTTGAGCCCCACGAGAAGTGATCCCTGAGCACAGAACAAGGAGGAAGCCCTGAGCTTACAGCCAGGTGTGACCAAAACCAAACCAAAACAGAATATTGTTATTTCTGAATTTTCACATTTATTTAGAAATTCGAAATTCCAAATAGCAGTTGGCAAGAGAGTCAGTTGAGAAACCAGTTGAAAATTGCCTTTATCAAACCAAAATGCCTGACACTGATAGACCATGCAAATGACCCTTCACAGCTGGGAAGGGTAAAGCTTACAGTGGCAACATTCAGGCTGTCTGGCTTACAAAATATTACAAATGCACCGCCAGGTACAATTCCCGAGTGCAGAGCCAGGAGTGACCCCTGTGCATCGCCGGGTGTCACCCAAAAAGCAAAAACAAAGCAAAACAAAACTACAAATGACTTATTAGTTTCAATCATATCGATAGGTCATAACCAACACCATCCAGGGCCAGGAAAACAGGACAGTGGGGAGGGTGCCTGCTCTGCATGCTGTGGTTCAATCCTTGGCACCCCACATGGTCCCCTCAGTCCCGTCAGGAGTGGTCCCTGAGGCCAGAGTCAGGAGTAAGCCCCAAACAAAGCTGCATGTGGTCCATTCTGAAAGAAAACCCAAACTCCCTACAAACAAAAAGTATACTTACGCAATCACAATAGGGAAAAAAGTTACTTCCCAGTTTGGGGCTTTGTATCATAAACTCGAGCATACATGGAAACGAAATGTAGTATTATAAACTAACCTGGGTGTGACAATTCAGCAAAGAACAGCACTTTATCATCCGTTTTATCACCTACAAAACAAGATTATGCTTAAAACCCACGGGGCCAAAGAAAGTACAGCAGACAGGGTCTGGCCGTGTACATGGCTGACCTGGCTTCAATCCCCTGAGCACCTCCAGGAGTGATCCCTGTGCACGGAACCAGCCCCGAGGACCATTTGGTGGGGCCCTAAAACAAAAAGTCACCTTGACTGACACTATGGATGCTGCTGTCAGCAGCGGAACAGCTAGACGAGGCGGGGAGGGTGGCGGGGTAGGCATGTGGGGGAGGTATGGGCTGTGCTTCTGACTCCAGTGTGTGTGTGTGTGTGTGTGGGGGGGGGGTTTGGCTTTTTTGGGTCACACCCGGCATTGCACAGGAGTTACTCCTGGCTCTGCACCCAGGAATTACTCCTGGCAGTGCTTGGGGACCATATGGGATGCTGGGAATTGAACCGGGGTCGGCCACGTGCAAGTCAAAAGCCCTACCTGCTGTGCTATCGCTCCAGCCCCAAACCGCATTCATTTTTAAAGAACTAATTCACAAATGTTATACCTTACTTCAAAAGTCATTAAAGAGCATCGCATTGAAATCACAGTGCTGGTGACCTCCGGGGAGGGGGGCAGGGTGGCTCAATGCTGCGGTTACTGGGGCAGGTCCTTGGGACAAAGAAGGACACTGAGCTCATGGGCACAGGCTGATGGAGGGCCTGGGCAGGGCACAGCGGCCCGTGAGCACTGGAGACAGGAGAGTCAGGTTGGGATGATGCAGTGTGTGAGTGGCGCCCACACACAGGAGGGCATCTGCGCCTGAAGGGGCAGAGGCAGAGGGGCAGAAAGGGTGGACAGGGCACCTGGTCTGGGAGCACGTCCAGGGCAGAGGGGCAGAAAGGTGGACAGGGCAGACCTGGTCTGTGTACACGTCCGGGGGCACGGCCTTATTGAAGAAATCCGAACACACGGCTCCAGCCTGCAGGTAATAGTGAAGGGCAGCTGAGTACTGGTTGGTAGCTGAGGAGAACGAGACAGAGACCCAGTGTGAGAGGGAGGGAGGGAGGAAGGGAGGGAGGAGGGAGAGAGAGTTCCTTGCAGGAAAGGGGCTTCTGGAAGACGCAGGGCGCACACAGGGGCTGACGGCATCAGTGACCCCCAGGACGTGCGGATGATTGCCCTTGTACCTGTCCTGCACCCCCTGAGCCCGGCTCAGTCTCCAGCACCATGCAGGGCCCCCCGAGTCCTACCAGGAGTTGAGTCCTGGGCACAAGTCGGTGTGGCCCCAAATCCAAAACAACAACAACAAAACTCAGCTCCTGAAAACCCAGCCTGCACTCACTGCAGCCCGGGACTTCGCTTGCTCAGTCAGGGAACAAAAATATCGGCCACTTCCAGGGCGAGGCTGGCAAAGCTCTCGCAGATGACCAGAGGGGAGCACGGGGTCCACGGCGGACACGATGCTGAGCAGAGCACTGGCCATACCTCACCAGGCCATAGTTTCCCCAACAAAATTTGGCACTCCATCCCTCAAGGTGAGTTTGTTTCTTCCCTCAAGGCAGGATGGACTGGGGTCACACTGGGCAGTGCCCAGAGGCCAGTTCTCCACTCGGCATTCAGGGGTTACTCTGCCCCTCCTTGGGGATTCAGCAACCACTGGGAGAATGTTCACTGGGTGGGAGAGTCACTGTGACATTCACAATCCTGGGCCGAGGGGCAGCTACAGGGAGGAGCACAGGCTCTGCACGTGGGCCCCGGCACCACACCATGAGTGGACCCAGGACACCCCCAGGTGTGGGCTACAGGACCACACCATGAATAGACCCGGGGTGTGGGCCCCAAACCAAAAATAAAGTAAGAATATCTGAACCCAAGGCTCCCAGTGGAAAATGCAGGTTTTCGTGTATCTGGGACAATGTTTTCCAAAGTGGGTGATTCCCTCCCTGTGCGGGGGGGTGGGGGGGGTGGGGGGGGCAGTGAGCTGAACCAACATGAGGTCTTCTGATCTCTAAGTGTCCGCATGAATGAGACTCTGTGACTGAGGCTGCAGGAAGGTGTAACTCATCCTTACCTCCCCCCGCCCATGTCCCTATGCCCACAGAGCCCAGCACGGCGCTTTCTCACCAAAGTAGATGTCGGCCTGGACGATGAGCCATGAGTGGTTGTTGGGGTTTCTGCTCAGGGCGAAGCGTACCAGCTCCTTCAGCGTGACCGCCACGGCCTCGAAGTCCACTGACTGCAGGCTGAGGAGGTCAGGTGCTCAGCTCACTCTGCAGTGCTCAGTACCAGGCAGCCCTCGCCCACAGCCCCCAGGCCCACGTTTTTTTTTTTTTTTTGCTTTTTGGGTCATACCCCACGATGCTCAGGGGTTACTCCTGGTTTTGCACTCAGGACTAACCCCGGCGGTGCTCAGGGGACCATATGAGATGCCGGGCAGCGAACCTGGGTCGTCCACGTGCAAGGGGAACACCCTACCCGCTGTGTTATTGCTCTGGTCCAGGCCAAGCCCACCTTAAGGGGCCTAGGCATCAGAACTGGAGAACGGCAGTGGCCAGTCTCTCCTCGGAACGGGCACAGCCCGAGGCCGCGGAGCACGGGGGTGGGGGGGCTCCTGGGGTCCCACTGGCCACCACAGGCCACGCACCTGCAGTTGGCACTCGGGACCAGATGCTACTCAGAAGCTCTGGAAGGAAAACATCTCTAAACGTCTCTAAATCTGCTTTTAGCACGATTTATGTGCAAGAGACAGAGAGAGAAGACGTCTGCTCGGCCTGCTGTGAGCTCTGTGGAGGCTGATGTCTGCTGGCCCGCCAGGACTGCTCTGCCCAGAAGGGCCTCAAACACCAACACTGCCTTGAAAGCCAGGCGGCCCTTAATCTGCCTGTCTCTGGCAAGACGAGATGAACATACCGGTCCTGGGTGAGAGGTCCTGTGCGCACTGGTAGCAATGGAGAGGCCAGAACCAGAGCAAACCAGAGCTCGGGCCACTCACACCCAGGAGCACGAGGCCCAGGCCCACGGGACAGCTGCTGCCGCAGGGACTCTGCATCCTGACTTACCCCAAGGGCCCAGGAGGCCCAGAATATTATTCTAAAGACTTGATTATTGCTACTAAGTAATCTGAGAGTCTTACACATAATTATCACTACTAAATGAGCCGAACTGTGCTGATACTTTACAGAAACTTTTAAAATGCAATTCTATCCACGAATGGAACCATTTCGGATGGGCAATACGCCACGCTCCCAGGCCGGGCTTTTGCTCAAGCACCCAGAAAGGCGGGCAGGAGGAGCGGCTCTGGTTGCGTGAGACAAGGCCGAGCATGAGAGAAGGCACACTGTGGCACTGCACTGTCCTCCCGCTGTTCGTCGATTTGCTCAAGCGGGCACCAGTAACATCTCCATTATGAAACTTGTTGTTACTGTTTTTGGAATGTCCAGTACGCCACGGGAGCTCGCCAGGCTCTACCGTGCAGGTGGGAAAGTGTTGGTAACTTGCCGGGCTCTCCGAGAGGGACGGAGGAGCTGAACCCAGGTCGGCCGCGTGCAAGGCAAACGCCCGACTCGCCGTGCTATTGCTCCAGCACAGAGAAGGCACAATCAGCACAAAACCTACGTAGGGAGATGAGTGCCCCGCAAAGGAGAGGTAGTGGGCACAGGTGAAGCGAGTGGCGTAGAAGCAACGTGGGTCTAACCCCTGTCATGAATAGCTGTCACTGCATGGGGACTAAATAAAATTTTTAAAAAAAGGAAAAAGAGAAGGGGCCCAGTCTGTTCTGGACAGCGCCATGGCCTGGCCCAGAAGTCACTCAGTCAGCTCGAAGCACTTCCCAGGAGGGAGGGGAAGATCTCTCCTAGAGAGAGCTGGAGTTTCCAGGGGCGAGACCCGCCTGCCCCAGACGCAGGGGCCTGCCCCCTCCGGCTCACACCTCGGCTCCTGCCCTCTCGAGCCTGCATGCCGCTGTCCAGAAGACAATGAGCGGCTGCAACAGAGAAACACACAGATGGCCACCACTTCCCAACCGGGTCACAGCCTGTTGATTGACTACACTGTCCTCCTGGCAGCCAGGACCAGCTCGAACTGGGAATCAAGTATAAATCACTGGGCGCTGGTAAAGGCACAGCAGAAGGGGAACCTGCCCTGCATGTGCCCAGTCTGGGGTTCGATCCCCAGCACCCCAGATGGTCTCCCACCAGCACACCGGGAGAAAGCCCTGAGCACCACCAGGTGTGGCTCAGACCGAAAACCCAATCCAATCTGAGTCCCACAGGCTGAGCCCCAACACTTCTTACTTGGGGATGGAGCACGGCCACATAGAAATGTGCTCAGCGGTGATGTCATTCACAATGTCCTCCTGTAAAAACAAAAAGTTTTTTTTTTGTTGTTTTTTGGGCCACACCCGGCAATGCACAGGGGTTCCTCCTGGCTCTGCACTCAGGAATGACTCCTGGCGGTGCTCAGGGGACCATATGGGATGCTGGGAATCGAACCCTGGTCGGCCGGGTGCAAGGCAGACGCCCTACCCGCTGTGCTATTGCTCCAGCCCCCAAACCAAAAAGTTCTGATTTGAAAAGGAATGTCTAGGAGGCTGGAGTGATGTGCATCGCTAGGTATAACCCCACCCCCCCAAAAAAAATGGAATATCTGGCCTTGATCCCAGTACCACCTGGTCCCCTGACCACAGACCTGGGAGTAATCCCTGAGTGCAGCTGAGTGGTAACAAAACAAAATCAAAAAACCAAAGGAAAGAATTAATGAAATTTATCACGCCTGGTTGGGCAGAGCTATAGCACAGTGGGTAGGGCATTCGCCTCGCATGCGGCCAACCCAGATTCGATTCCTGTGTCGTCCTCGGAGAGCCCGCAAGCTACCGAGAGTATCCTGCCCGCACGGCAGAGCCTGGCAAGCTCCCCATGGCGTATTCGATATGCCAAAACCAGTAAAAACAAGTCTCACAATGGAGAACGTTACTGGTGCCCACTTGAGCGAATCAATCAACAACAGGAGGACAGTGCTACAGGAACTGGGCCTGAGTTGACAAGTACAAGGCAAGGGAAGTGGCTCACCCACTGTCCTACTGCCCCAGCCCACTGTAAGATTTTGGGGGCCCACGGCCAGCATGCTCCTGGCTCTGCGTAGAGGTCACTCCTGGTGGTGCTCAGGGACCACATGGGATGCCAGAGACTGACCGACGTGGGCTGCATGCAAGGCAAACACCCTCCCCTCTGTACTATCGATCCAGCCCTCTCCGAAAGATTTTTTGAACAAAACTGTGAAATACTGACCCGAACATTGTGAAGTTTCACAAACAGCGATAAAATAATACTCAAAACCAATGGTTCCTAGAAGAGAGAAAAAAACAATCAGAAACTTCGATCATTTCAATATTTCGTTTTTTGTCAGCCTCAGAAATACAGCATCTTCTTACCAAATACTTTAAATTTATTATTATTATTATTAGGTGGAGCAATAGCACAGCGGTAGGGCATTTGCCTTGCATGCGGCCGACGTGACCGACCTGGGTTCAATTCCTCAGCCCCTCTCAGAGAGCCCGGCAAGCTACTGAGAGTATCTCGCCTGCACGGCAAAGACTGGCAAGCTACCTGTGTCGTATTTGATATGCCAAACACAGTTAACAAGTCTCACAATGGAGATGTTACTGGGCCCGCTCGAGCAAATCGATGGACTATGGGAGGACAGTGACAGTGATTATTATTAATATTATTATTAAGAGCCTGGCAAGCTACCTGTGGCATATTCGATATGCCAAAAACAGTAACAATGACAGGTCTCATTCCCCTGCCCCTGAAACAGCCTCCAATATGGCAGCGTTTGCAAAGACTACTAAGAGAGGCTGCTAAAATCTCAGGGCTGGGACGAATGGAGACGTTACTGGAGCCCGCTCGAGTAAATCGATGATCGACAGGATGACAGTGATAGAGTGATTATTATTATTATTTTGGCTTTCTGGCTTTTTGGATCACAGCCAGCGATGCACAGGGGTTACTCCCGGCTCTGCACTCAGGAAACACTCCTTACGGTGCTTGGGGACTATATGAGATGCTGGGGATCAACCCAGGTTGGCCACATGCAAGGCAAACGTCCTTGCTGTACTATCCGGCTGTACTATCGCTCCAGCCCCTTTTTTCTTACACTTTACAAACTTACCAGACACCCCAAAGATCAATTTCACTTCTAATCACCTAAAGGCTTTTAAACACAAAAGTTTCTGGATTTAGCGTCTGGCCTATGGTGCTGCACTTAGATCATTTTTAAAATTGAGTACATGGAACTTTTGTGAACCAAGGAATCCCTGCTACTTCCAAAATGACTGATTCTTTATTCCCTAAGGTAGTATCTGAAAAAATGGACCTCATTTATATCTAGTAAATGTGATATTGTCCTGCGAAAATGAAACTAAAGCCAGTCTTCAAGCTTCTAGCCCCATTTGGAGAGTTCTTTATAATTTTAAACAATGACAACTGAAGATAATGTCATTAACAGATCATTGATCTATTCAGCACTTCAGGATTTATTTTGTTGTTTTCTGCAAAAATAAGCAATAGGAACCGAATCAAATTTTTATGACTCACCCGTAATTTTTTGATAAAGGAAAGCAGCTCACTCCTACAGGAAACAAAAGTGCGCATTTTCAGCATTGGAAACCAGAAATAAAATTTTAAAAATAAATCACAGGGCTGAGGCTACAGTAGAGCAGGGAGGGCTGACCCAGGTTTGATCCCCGGCACCCGGAATGGCCTCCTGACCTGGCCAGTAGTGATCCCTGAGCGCAGAGCCAGGAGCAGGCCCAAAGCACTGCTGGGTGTGGTCCAAACCGCCCCCACCCCCAAAAGGCTTAAAATAATAGGCACGAATAGCCTGATAAAACGACAGAAATGAGGGTTTTCCAGAATGGTCCACTCCGCCCCGCGCCCCACTCTCGGCCCAGACTCGCACCGGTACATGATGCCCAGCGTGCACTCGCGCTGCTTGATGAGGCTGACGCGGCCATCGCTGCCCCGCTTGTGCTGGCTGGACACGCTGCACATCTGCACCACGACTTCCCACAGGTCCTTGGCCGTCCGCCGACTCTCCTTCGGGCCGGGAAGCTCTTTACAGGTGGCTGCTAAAAGCTGCCCGAGCTGTGACACGGGAGAAGGCATCAGGAGCGTTCCTGCATCGATCATGTCCTTCCTCCAGGCCCACAAGTGCAGGGAGGCAGCAGGGGAGCCCCACAGACACCAGAGCCCCTTGCCCTGCCGCAGCACTGGTCGGTGCCCTGCGAATGGCAGCTGTTTAGCAAGGGCAGTCTGATGGAAACACGGACAGCCCAGAGGAGCGCGGCTTCTGGGGGAGCAGCTGACCCCACCGTGGCCAACAGGGTGTTCCAAGCCAAAGAGGAGGTTAAAAACTGGTACTTCACACACAAAGGAAGCAAAATCCTTCCTTGAAGACATGAGGAAAAGAAGATGGAAGAAGTTGGCAGAAAGAGAGAATGACAGAGATTATGACTGAGAATATGACTGGGAGAGTATGACTGAAAGAACATGAGAGAGCTTTTCTCTCATGAAAACACATGAAGGTACTGGCAGAGGGACAAAGTCACGCGGGTTCCGGGGCCGAGATCTCCAAGCCTACTCGGATTTGGGCCGAGCATCCTCCACCCAGATCCTCCAAATTCCAGTAGGCGGGGGTCACACCCACCACCTGGCCCCCTGGCGCCGTGTAATCCCATCAACGGCCAAGACTCAGAGACTATAAAAACCAGCTCCCGGAACCGCGCGGCCGCATTCGCAGCCAAGCGACAATTTATTATGACATCTTATTATCTCATTCCTACTCTGGACAAACTGGCAGGCTACCAAATGTAGCCTGCCCACACGGCAGAGTCGGGCAAACTCCCCGTGGCGCACCCAATATGCCAAATACCAGTAACAATGATGGGTCTCATTCTCCTAAAGAGCCTTGAATATAATCTCAGGGCTAGGATGAAGGAGACGTTACTGGGGCCTGCTCGAGGCAATCGGCAATTAACAGGATGATTTGTGATTTGTGATTTGATGACTGAGAGAACACGACTAAGAATTAAGAGAGAACATGACTGAGAGAACATGACTAAGCAGGACTGAGAGAACATGATTGAGAGAACATGACTGAGAGAACATGACAGAGAGAAAACATGATTTAGGGAATTATGCTGAGGTAAAATGAGTGAGAGAACATGAGTATGACTGCGAGAACAGGACTGAGAGGACATGACTGAGAGAGAATGACTGAGGTACTGTAACAGAGCATGACAGAGAGGACATGACTGAGAGAGCAGGACTTAGTATGACTGAGACAATATGACTGGGAGCGACTTCTCTCTAAGATTAAAAACCGAGAGCACCGGGGCCTCAAGATTGTTCTAGAAGCAGATCCTGAAAGCTTGTGGCTGCTATTCTGGCCCTTTAGAAGCAGCCTCACCTGTCTGCCTCAGAGACCCCTTTGTTCACGAGGCGGACAAGGAACACCCCACATTCGTGAGGTGTTTGATGCATTTTTGGTAGTTTCACATTCAGAAATCCTTTACCGTTGCCAAAGTTTTCCCAACCCCCCACATTCAGTTACACGGTCTCACGAGGAGTCACAAACCACAGTTTAAGAAGCAATGGCTTGCTGGCCACCAAGAGTACAGCCGGCAGGGCGCTTGCCTTGCATGTGGCTGACCTGGGTTCGGTCCCTGGCACTGCATAGGGTTCCCTGAGCACCCCCAGGAGTGATCCCCAAGTGCAGAGCGAGAAATTAAGTTCTGTCGGGTGGCCCCCAAACCAAAGCCAAACAAAAACAGAAGTGAACTAGAGCATCAACTTAAGAGCTTGAATGGGGCCAGAGTGATAGTATGGAGGACAGACTGTTTCCATGCACTAAGTAGATCTGAGTTCAATCCCCAGGACCCCGTGTGGTTCCCCAAACACCATCAGGAGTAATTCTTGAGTACAGAGCCAGGAGTAAGCCCCAAGCAAGGCTGGACATGACCCTTACCCAAAAAATATAAAGAAAGTGGTTTAATGAATCAAGATGATAAGATGTCGCCGCCGCGCGCTTCCGGGAGCTGGGTTTTATAGTCCCTGACTATAAAAACTGGCAGGCCACCGAACGTAACCTGCCCACACGGCAGAGTCTGGCAAACTCCCCGTGGCGTACCCAGTATGCCAAATATCACTAACAATGAAGGGTCTTATTCTCTTAACTCTGAAAGAGCCTTGAATATGGCACTTTTTAAAAAAATCTCAGGGCTAGAAGGAAGGAGACGTTACTGGGGCCTGCTCGAGGCAATCGACAAATAACAGGATGGTTTGTGATTTTGTGATTTTTGTGAATGAATCAAAGCAAGAAAAGTGAATTTACCTCTCAGGAGCTTTGGGGAATATACCACAATGTCTGCTGAGTACATAACTTTTGCTTATATTAAAAAGTAAATGTCCGGGTCTGGAGTGATAGCACAGCGGGTAGGGCGTTTGCCTTGCATGCGGCCGACCCGGGTTCGATTCCCAGCATCCCACAGGGTCCCCTGAGCACCGCCAGGAGTAATTCCTGAGTGCAGAGTCAGGAGTAACCCCTGTGCATTGCGAGGTGTGACCCAAAAAGCAAATAAAATAAAAAGTAAATGTCCTCTGGAGTTATAGAGACAGTACAGAGGGGACGGCACTTGCCAACCTGGATTTGATCCCCAGTGGCCCATACATTCCCTGGAGTAATTCCTGAGTGCACAGCCAGGATTAACCCCCGAGTGATGTGGCTCCAGAGCGAAGTCAATAGACAAATGTCCTTGAATACATGCCAACAACGTGCCTGAGCCACAGGAACCTGGCTCCGAATCACAAAGCCACGACACTCGGCCAGGTGCGTGTGGGTCAGAGAGGGAGGGAGCGCTTCTTGGCAGCACTGATTACCTTCACGTACGGGTTGCTCTGGAGAAGGAAGGCAGGGACCTGCAGCATGAGGTACTCGTTCTCTCTCCAGTTTAGCATGAAGGCGACGCACTCCTCAGCGATCACCTGGCGCAAGGGGATGTCTGCGGGTCAGAGGACATGGGCTGAGGTGAGCAGGATGGCGCCGAGGACCGTTCGGACAGTGCAGACGCTGCTCCGGAGAGCTGACGGTGCCCACGGGCGAAGGCATGGAGCTGGGTGCTGACCCGCACACCTGGTGACTCCACCCACGCACATACTCAACGGCCCTTGAGATGACACAGCAGAAGAGCATCCGCAAGGGGAGATGCAGTGATGGCCAAGGGTTCTGTGTGTCAAGCACCCTGGACTCCCTACCCCCATGCCGCCCCCCACTGACCACGTGTGCAGCACCCGCTGCTCCCCACCAGCCAGCCAGAACCACGAAGCCCTGCCTCCTGCAGAGGCCTCCCACAGGAGCCAGCAAGCTCACGCCTCCAAAGAGACCCTGCGCCCACCCTCATCTACCTACCACACACTGTGGGCACTGCAGGCCCCTTCAGAACTGCCGACCCTGGGTTCCCAGGGGGCCCAGTGTTGGACACCTCAGTGGGAGTGCAGCCCCGGATGGACGGACAGGGAGGGCGGGGAGTGCGCACGCACCAGTGGCACGGGCACAGGGGACACCGCGGGGCACCCACCCCATCGTGCCCACGGTTCCCCGCCTCACCTGGCAGCCGCATCTCCAGGTACCCGCGCACCCTGCTGATGAGGTCGGAGGGTGGCCGCTCCCCCGCCAGCCCCGCAGCCGCCTCGTGCGTGTGGATGTCCAGCAGCAGCGACTCGTTCAGCATGACCTGGCGCAGCTTGGGGGAGAACTCTGTGACCAGCTCCAGGCACGCGGCGAACAGCTGCTTGGCATGGGTGAAGTCCTAGGAAGGCAGAGCTCGTGGGGGTTCCCAATCCCTCCGCGACACCCCTCTGGAGCAAGGCCCCAGTTCCCCTCTGCTGCTCGTCTGTCCTGTGGCTGCCACTTCCCGAGAAACACAACCAGAGATCAGGGGCCGGAGACGCAACGGAAGGGCACCTGCCTCACACGCGGCTAATCCAGACGCAACACCCAGACCCACACAGGACTCCCCGAGCCCCGCCAGGAGCGACACCTGAGCACAGAGCCAGAAGCCAGCCCTGAGCACTGCTGGGCGTGGGTTAACCCACCCTGCAACCCTCCAAATTCTTCACGCCAAGTACAGACGTCCTCACACAATGTGTTACTTGAAGTCGTGCAGAGTGGAGGGGGTCGGAGGAGGTGGGGAGGGGACGGGGAGGCTCCCGCGGTCTCCGCCCCATCTCTCGGAGCCTTTCCAGGCTCTCACCCATGCCGTCACTGCCTCTCCCCTTCCTGCCTGCTTGGATCAGGCCCCGGGCCTGGCCCTGCCTGCTGGCAGAGGCGCGCTGCTGCCTAAGGAAGAGCCCACAGTGTGCCCGGCTCCTGGAACCCCCTGCCAGAAACGAGGCAGCTGTAAGGGCTCTGCTGCCTCAGTCAGGACAAAGCCTGGCAAACGGGAGCGCAAGGGCGGAAGGAGTCACCCTGTGGGAGTGCTCAGGAATCATTCCTGGCAGTGCTCAGGGAACCGTACGAGGTGCTGGGAATCAATGTCTCTCTGCCCTCCCCCCTCTACACACACACACACACACACACACACACACACACACACACACACACACACACACACAGAGCTCCAAAACCATCTGTCAAACAGCTTTTCAAATATCCTTTTAGGCCTGTGGCTAATTTTCAAATAAAAAACTACAATGGATTCAGGTCCCCAAGCTTCACTTTAGAATAAGCCTCGATTTTCAGACAGTGGCTGCGGGACACGAGAACTCACCTTCACAGCACTACAGTGCAGACCTTTGGCCATGAGAATGTAAACCAAGTCTCTCGTCAAGTTGTCTTTAATCCCCAGAATCACACAGCTGTAGACCCCAGGCACTTCCCACTAGAAGAAACGGGGTGGGGAGAGCAGGCGCATGATGAGTGGGGGAGGGCCAGGGAACAGGCCAGCCGTACACAGGCCCAACCCGGGCTCAATTCCCTGAGCCCTGAGCACAGAGCTGGGAGTAAGCCCCTGGACTACAAACAAAAAAACCAACGACAAAAAAAAAGGTATCAAGCTGTAGGCTTCCAAATTCGAAGAGTATTAAAAAGCAAAGGTACAAATACTTGGGCTGGAGTGATAGCACAGCGGGCAGGGCGTTTGCCTTGCATGCGGCCAACACGGCCGACCCGAGTTCAATTCCTCCACCCCTCTCGGAGAGCCCGGCAAGCTACTGAGAGTATCTCACCCGCAGGGCAAAGCCTGGCAAGCTCCCCGTGACGTATTTGCTATGCCAAACACAGTAACAAGTCTCACGATGTTACTGGACCCGCTCTAGCAAATCGACGAACAAGGGGAGGACAGTGACAGTGACGAATACTTGGAGGGCTGGAGGGCATGGGCCCCCAAGTCCCCTCATCTCTACAGGGAGCAATCCCCAAAGCACAGAGCTAGGACTCAGATATGACCCCCCGAAAAACAAACCCTGTTGAAATTCACGCGGCAAGTCCACCTACAGCGGGCCCAGATGCCAGGCCCGCAGACTGCACGGCCAGCTCCACAGCTGAGCAAGCCCGGCCGGCCCGAGAACAAGTTCTGGGCCCCCACTCGGAGCTGGAGAGAGCCCCAGCATCAGACCAGCCAAATAAAATAGATCCAGACTTAGAGAGCCAAGTGAGAAACACGCTGGCCACAGAGGGAAGAGTCAATGGGTCGCAGGTGTCACCAACACCCTCCGCTTGACATCTGGTATTTCTCTCTCAACAGATGTTCAAAGGCATCCATAAGGTCACATAAGCATGGGTCCCTCTCAAAAACACCAGAGTGAGAACTCAGCAAGCGAAGTGCTAGCCCTGCACGCTGCCGACCAGGTTCCATTCCTAGCACCCTGGGGTACAGTGCCAAGAGTAAACCCTAAGTCAACTGGGCGTGGCCCCCTCCCAAAAGGAGAAAAAAACGAGTGGAAAACTCCATTTAATTATATTAGAGCGGGGCCAGAGTGAGAGTATAATGGTTAGGGGACTTGGCCTTGCACGCAGTTGACTGGGTTCGATCCCCGGCTTCCCCCATTGTCCCCTGAGCCACGCCAGGAGTGATGCCTGAGTGCAGAGCCAGGAGTAACACCTAAGCAACACTGGGTGTGGCCCCACCAAAAAATTTTTATTAGGAGGGGAAGAAAGACGACATAGCAGGGAAGGCACAAGTCTTGCACATGTCCGACCTGGGTTCGATCCCTGGCACCACATATGGTCCCTGAGCCCCCTAAGAGTGATCCCTGAGCACAGGGCCAGGACAAAGTCCTAAGCACTGCCAGGAATGGCCCCTAAAGCGAAAATCAAACAACCCAGAAGTCAGAGGCAACGTTCTTACCTACAGACAAAGGGCACATCTCACCTTGCTGGACACTGTCCAGAACTGGCGTTCCGACGTCATCCCGTGCAACTCAATGAGGATCTGGCGGATCCTCCAGGGGTCCACAGACAGGATCAGCTGATGTTCCAACTGGCCGATGTTGACGCTGGCAGAGGCTAAAAAGACCAAAACAACAAAACAAGAAAAAAAAAAGGAAAAAGAAATCAAACCATCCAATATGGCAAAGGCAGTGGAGTGGCCAGGCTCTGTGTGAGCAGACGGGGGCCACGCTCTGCCCAGCACTGCTCTGCCCACTGCAGCCACCAGGGCAGCTCCAGTCTGAAAAGAGTCCAGGCAAGGGTCCCCGGTAGCCAGGGACAAGAACAGGGAGCCTAGGACAGCGCCCACCTGGTATATCATAGAAGGAAGTGACCGGCTTGACACACAGGCTGACCCGGGGGCTTCGCTTCCGCAGGCCCTCGACCAGCAGCTTCCGCTCCTCGCCGCTCAGCAGCGTGATGAGAAGCTCGTGGGACGACACCATGAACACGTACTGCAGGTCCTCCAGGCCCAGACACACGTGCCTAGCGCAGGATCCAAGGGGGGGAGTTCGGGAGACGGGCACCCCTGCCATCCCCGCACCCTCCTACTCCAGCGGCAGGCTCTGTGGCTTTTTGGGGGTCCCGATCCACCGCTGAGGGGACAGGCCAGCAGACTGAGAAGCCAACACCAGCCCCAAGAGCCTGCTCTGGCTGGAGCACATGCGGGCGAATCCAAAACCGAAGTGCCAGAAGGAATTTTCCTCCCAAGTTCAAAGGTGAAAAACCAAGGGACTTACTTGAGGAAAACAGCCATGTTCTCTTTCAGAGACTCTGAGGCCTTTTCTAGATTGATTGATTTCGAGCACACCTAGGGATACGAATGAGAACCGACTGAAACACACAAAACCCACGCACACCACAGTCGGGAATAATGCAATTCCAAAACCACCCAATTTTCTGATTTCCTCCATAGGTCAATCACAGACTGGGTTAGAAGATGAAAGAGGCAAGGGGTTGGGGGGAGGGTGAGGCATGAGGAAGCAGAGAGCCGGGCTGGAGCCGCTGTGCCATACCCCAAAGCAGCACGGGGTACGACCCAACATCCCCCCAAATAAAGCAAATGGAATGAAAGGCGGGGCGGCAGAGAGAGTCCAGTGGGAAGGGCACTGGCCTTGCATCCGCTGACCCCAGTTCAATCCCCGGCACCCCCTATGGTCCCCGAAGCGCCATCAGGCGTGATCCCTGAGCACAGCGCCCAGCGTGGCCCCACCCTACCCTCGACCCTGGTGAGGAAGGTCAGACAAGTGTAGGAAGCCTGAGGGGCATGTGCTTACCTCGAGCAGGAAGTCTATTTTTTCTTTGTTGGGTTTCAGGAACAGCTGGTTGAACTGAACACTGATGGTCCCCCCCTCCAGGATGTCCCGGACTGTGTTGCAGGCACAAACTTTAAAGCAGATTTCATCTAGGCCTTCATTTCTGCAGAAAATAAAAGTACACCCGCGCCCTTTTGAAACAAGGAAAGGGATGGGCCGCATATCCCACCTCTAGGGAGTAGCTGTTTCTCTCTGGGCGGGGAGATTTGGGGCTATGGCTGCATCCCAGGAACTAGTCCAGGACAGGAAAGGGAGGCCTGTGGCCAGGAGCGATCCGGGCAGCATGGGGCATAGGGTGCACGAGGTCCCCTGGCGATGGAGTTCAGCATGCGTCATGTCCCAGCACACCCCTGAATGGAGGCTGGCCGTGCGTGATGCGCCTGAGAAGAGCCCGGCTAGTGTGATGCCCCTGAGGAGAGTCTGGCCATAAGTGATACCCCGGAACAGAGTCCAGCCACGTGTGATGGCCCTGGCCTTGGAAGCGGTCCTGGAGCTGACGACCCGATGCTGGCCCAGACATGGGCAGGATTCGGGGCGGGAGGTTCCAGGGAGCAGGAAACATACCTTTGCTCCTTTCCTCCGAGATCAGAAAGTCTGTCCCCAGTCTACTCACCCCTGCTGGGCCTTCTGGAAGAGCTCCCTGAGCACAGACTGCCGGAACTGGGCGGGCAAGCTGAAGGTTAAGTTGTCCTCCATGAAAATCTTCACGATCTCCTAGGACGCATTCATAAAATGGCACGTGTCAGCTTTGCGGCCAAGTCTCTCCACACAGCATGAAGGTCCGGAATCCCTCCGAGGAAAACTCTGCCTTGAACATCTAAGCTGCTTCCAACACTGATGGGAGCAGCCAGTGCCGGGGCCCGAGGGAGGGCCACGGGCTGGCCCTGGGTGGTGAAGGTACCATGACGTGGCCAGGTCAGCAGAGAGAACTTATAAACTCTGCTTTCGCCCACTCTAACTGGGGGTCGGGGGCTCCTCACAGCATGTGCAAGCTCAGGACCACCCCTCGACAGGGACACCTGGGCTTGCCCGGCAGAGCTTAGAACCCGTGTGTAGCTGGGGTCCCGTAAGGGCTGGGAGCAACTTTCCAGTGCTAATATCGACTCTGAAACAATGTCCGCTGGGGCAGGGAAAGGGCTCAAAAGGTTCTGAAGCAGGTTAGTTTCTTTTCCCTCACTTCTGGCTTTTGGGCCACTCTCTTTGATGCTCAGGGGCTACTCCCCTTCGTCAGTGCTCCAGGGCCCTTGCCAGCACTGCTCAGAGAAACCCTGTGATGCCAGGGATAGAACCTGGGCCTCCCACATGGGCTCATCTCAGGTGTGACTCCAAAACAAAAAACTTAAAAAAAATCGGGGCTGGAGAGATAGCACAGTGGGTAGGGCGTTTGCCTTGCACGCGGCCGACCTGGGTTCGATTCCCAGCATCCCCTATGGTCCCCTGAGCACTGCCAGGAGTAACTCTTGAGTGCAGAGGCAGGAGTAACCCCTGTGCATCACCAGGTGTGACCCAAAAAACAAAACAAAAAAAATCTAGGGCAGAGAGAGAGAAAGTAGGGGCTTTCGTGGGATTGGCATGCAATGCAGCCCAGCCCGTTTCATCCCCAACACGACATGCCACCTCCCCAGCACCATCGAGTGCGGCCCAAGACCCACTCCTCAAAAAACAGAAATAGGGCGCTAGAGAGATAGTCCAAGAGAAAAGTGCGTGCCCTAGACCCAGACCCCAGTCGACCCTCGGCACCATGCATGGTCCCCAACACTGCCAGGAGTGAGCCCTGAGCAGCACTGGGCGTGGTAAAAGGAAGGAGGGAGGAAGTGGGGAGGGCGAGAGGGGAGGAGGGAAGGATGGAGAGAGGGAGGGAGTGGGAGGGAGGGAGGAAGGGAGGAAAGAAAGGACGAATGACTCAGGACGCCCACATCCGCGCAGTGCTGCGCTGGTTTACAGATGCCCCCCAGCCTCTGTCTCCAAAGCCCCTCCTCCCCAGCGCAGCCTCCGAGTACCTGATAGTTGGCTGACCGCAAGCAGAGGTGAACTTGACCGTAGGGCGTGAGCTGCTGGGACGCGTCGTCTGGGGGAGGCGCGACGGTATCACACGCCTGGCAGTAGCCGGCGAGCCGCTTCTCGTCGATGGTGCAGGGGAGGGACAAGGACCTGATCTGTAAGGAACAGGCACCAGCCATCACAGCAGGCCCACGCGCTCCGCAGCATGAGCAGACAACCCTGCGGAGCTTCCCAGCTACAGGCTCGGAGTGAGGCGGCAAATGCCCCACAGCCCCGAACAAGAACAGCTCCGAGGGCCCAAGAGAAAAGCAACGTGCAACAACGCGTGACAGAAACCACTGCGGGCTGCGGCCTGCTCCAAAGCACTGCAGCCAGCAGGGTGGCGGCCGTTGTTGCTGCTCAGGCCTGTGGGCTTCCTGAATGTGTGTTCGCCCAGCTATTTCTTCCTCTGTGGAGGGGTCCGTGTTCTCTCTTGAACATGTCTCGTTTCCCCTCTTTTTCTCCTCTTAATATCTAAGCAAGTCCCCGCCAATAACAACTATACTGCTTCTCTCTCTCTCTCTCTCTCTCTCTCCCTTTCTCTCACACACAACACACACACACACACACACACAAAGCTCTGTCTCCCAAATCTCAATCTCTCTCACACACACACACACACACAGACACAAAGCTCTGTCTCCCAAATCTCAATCTCTCTCTCTCTCTCTCACACACACACACACACACACACAAACATACACACATAAAGCTCTGGCCTCCCAAATCTCAATCTCTCTCTCTCTCTCTCTCTCTCACACACACACACACACACACACACACACACAAAGTTCTGTCTCCCAAATCTCTCTCTCTCTCTCTCACACACACACACACACACACACACACAAAGCTCTGTCTCCCAAATCTCTCTCTCTCTCACACACACACACACACACACACACACACACACAAACATACACACACAAACATACACACACATAAAGCTCTGGCCTCCCAAATCTCAATCTCAATCTCTCTCTCTCTCTCTCTCTCACACACACACACACACACACACACACACACACACACACACACAAACATACACACACAAACATATACACACATAAAGCTCTGGCCTCCCAAATCTCAATCTCAATCTCTCTCTCTCTCTCTCTCACACACACACACACACACACACACACACAAACATACACACACATAAAGCTCTGGCCTCCCAAATCTCAATCTCAATCTCTCTCTCTCTCTCTCTCTCTCTCTCTCACACACACACACACACACACACACACACACAGGAGCTCCTAGGTCTGAAGACACAGCACAGGGGGGATTGAGGCGCCTGGCCTGCACGTGCCTGCCCAGGATCAATCCCCTGCATGTCACCTGGTCCTCCGAGCCCCGCCAGGAGTAATTCCTGAATGCAGAGCCAGGAAGAACCCCTGAGCATTGCCGGGTGTGGCCAAAGGAGAAAAGAAAAAAAGTCTGAGCAAGGGTGGGGTTGAGAGATGGGCAGGGAGGGCCTCTGCCTCGCACACAGCCAACTCGGGCTTGAGCCCCAGCCCCTGTACGGTCGCCCAAGCCTACCAGGAGTGATTCCTGAGTGCAGAGCCACAAGGAAGCACTGAGCACTGCTAAATGTGGCCCCCGTTGCCTCCCCCCCGAAAGGTCCTGCCAAGGAAGCCCACAGGACAGGTGTTTCCCAGGACCTTACCTCGGCGAGCAGCTCTTTGGTCCTGAAAAACTTCTCCCGGGCACTCTCGTAGGCCGCAGGATTGGTGGAGCCCTGCTGGAAGTAGGCGGCGCCCAGGTCGAAGCTGACCTGTGGACAGAGGCGGCTGTCAGCCCACGGGGCCTGGAGCAGGGGGCCGAGCCATGACCCCGCATGTCCCCAGTGCGGGACACCAGCCAGGAGACCCAGGCCCTTGGTGTCAGCAACAGAAACCAGCCCCGACCGACCCATCTCGGCAGCAAACACGACTCCGGGAGAGACTTCTCTTGGCCTCAGCTCTTGGGGGGCAAAGGTGGAAGAGCAAAGGGCCAGAGAGGCCAGGCAAGCCAGATGTGTGAGGACGGCAGCACAGCACCCTAGCACCCTAGGCTGAACCCTCGCGCCCCCAAGCCCACAGCCTGCCCAGAGCCCCTGACTTCATGACTCCCACAAAGCCTGCAACCCCAAGTGCCCCGAGCCAGTGCCCCTGACTCCAAGGCCCCGCCCAGAGTCCCCCCACCCCACAGCCCTCCACCCCAACACACGTGAGTAGCAGGAGCCACGGCCAAGCCCTGTGGTCCCCAGTATCCCGGGCCCTGTGACCATCCAGACACACAGGTGGGCAAAGCTGCCTTGCTGGTCTGGCTACTGCCGAGTCTAGGGCAGGCCCACGGCAAGACTAGTACCTGTCCCCGTGTCCCATCCTTGTGTGTCCCGTTCTAGGGTCCTGTCCCTGTGTTCTGTCCCTGTCATCTGTCCTAATGTGCCCTGTCCCTGTCACTTATCCCCATGTCTCATCCCTACATTCCGTCCTGTCATCCATCCCTGTGTGACCCATTCTGGGGTCCTGTCCCCATATGTCTCATCCCTGTGCTGCGTCCCTGTCATCCATCCCTGTGTGTTCCATCCTGGGAGTCCGTCCCTGGGGGCGCATCCCTGCTGCAGTAGAAGTATGGGCTCTCTCCCCCTCTCCCCTTCACAGCCCCAGGGGTGCCTAAGCTCCCCGTTCTCACACCGGCAGGCAACCCCCCACTCCCAATAAGCTCTGAGGCAGGGGTTGGTGAAAATAAGAGACTGGGAGAGAGCAGAGGTTTCCTGGGTGCACAGGCAGCACCCAAGGACATGGCCGAGGCGGATGAGCGAGGAAACGAGTTTCTGAGACAGTGCAGCCGGGAGGGCGCCTGCCTTGCACACAGCTGACCTGTATTCAGTTCCTGGCGTACCAGAGAGCCTTCAGGGCCCCACCGGGAGTGATCCCCGAGTGCAGGGCCAGGAGCAAGGCCTGAGCAACCAGAAACAAACCCAAACCCCCTTTCCTGCACAGCTCGTACAGCCGAGCCCCAGGTTCACGGCATCCCAGCACCACCGGCTGCCCCACGCGACCGCCCAGTCCCTGTGCTCACATACCTGGCACTGCAGCTCCTGGGCCCTGACCTGCAGGCCAGCAGCACAGCTGTCTGTCTCCCCGTTCACTGTGCCTGGCTCCACGGCCAGCAGGTCCAGTGTCCTCATGGTGTGCATGCACAGGTCCTTGTTGAGCTTCAGGGCTGCTTCCAGCACCAGCAGCGAGTCTGAGGCTTGTTCCTTCAGCTGCCGATGCCAGAACAGACGCGTGAGAGGAGCAGGGAAGCGAAGGCAACCATGCACCCACAGCGACTAAGGGGACACACGGTAGCAGGCCTCTGACTTGGGAGCGCTGTTCTGACACAGCAGAATCCAGCCCGGAGGAGAGACGGTGGGGGAGGGAGGACCAGGCCCAAGCCCCTGAACCCAGTTGTGAAGGGTACCGGCACCACAGGGCGTAGCCAGAAAACACAGCGCTTTATTGAGAAACAAAAATAAGAGGCCAGAGCAATAGTATGGCAGGGAGGGCATTGGCATTGGTCTTGCGTGCAGCTGATGCAGGTTCGATCCCCGGCATCCCCTATGGTCCCCCAAACACCACCAGGAGTAATTTCTGAGCACGGAGCCAGGAGTAGCCTGTGCATGGCCGGCTGTGACCCAAAAAGCCAAAAATGAAAAATAAAAACAAAGTCATTCTTTTTATTTTTGGGAGGGGGCCCTTGGGCAATGCATAGATGCCCACGCATGGCCCCTGGCAGGGCTCGGGGGTGAACCAGTGCAGTGCCGGGGAATGAGGTGGGCAGCCAAGGCAAGGCCAGTGTCTTCCCCTCTGACCAACGCCTTCCCTGCTGTCCAACTCTCTGGCCAGTGCCTTTCCCACTGTCCGATGGCACACGTGGAGTAAGCCCGAGCACTATTGGGTATGCCCCCCCCAAACAAAACAAAATTTTAGAAAAGCAGGTTTCATTACTGGGGCCAGAGAGTCCAGCGGACCAAAGCATCCGCCTCAGGTGCAGCTGATCTGGATCGACCCCCAGCACAAAGAGCAACTCAGCACTGCAAGGAGCGACCGTGGGGCACAGAACCAGGAGTTCCTGAGTACCGCTGGGTGTGGGGAAAAAAAAAAACCAAAACTCCAGGATGTTACTGAACTCTGTTCCAACAGTACAAATCTAAAAGCTTCTGCACCGAGACACTGCCAAGCCCACAGATGGATGATGAGGGGCAGTATCAGCTCGTGCTCGAAGCATGCCCAGAAAGCCTGGGGCCTCTGCTGCTACCAATACTCACCACTTTCAGAATACTTTCCGTGAGCTCCTTCTCCTGCTGCATCTGGGTCATGCTGAAAGAAACACGAGTGAACAGACCCCATGTAAAAGACGGAAAATTGAAAACTTAAGAGCATCATTTTAGAAAGGAGGTTCAGAGCCAGTGAGATCCCCAAATAGGCTCGAGCATAAGCTCTGCACACAGGCGACCCGGGTCTGATGCCTGGCACTGCAGGAACAGCCCCTGAACCCCACAGGGCGTGTGGCCCAACTACCAAAAAAGTCCATGAAAATGTTCAACTCTAGGGGCTGGAGTCATAGCATAGCAGGTAGGGCGTTTGCCTTGCACACGGCCCGACCCAGGTTCGATTCCCAGCATCCCATAGGGTCCCCCAAGCACGGCTAGGAGTAATTCCTGAGTGCATGAACCAGGAGTAACCCCTGTGCATCGCTGGGGATGACCCAAAAAGAAAAAAAAAAAAGTTCAACTCTATAATTCACAGGGATTAAAAAAAATAAGAAATCTAAAAAAAAACAAGTTTCCTCAAAAACCTAGGAATGGAGCTCCACTCCTGGGACTACACCCACTGTCACAAAAGACCACGGAGAAAGGCACAGCTGCAGGCCTAGCTTCATTCCAGCACTGTCCACCATCGCCAGGATCAGGAAATAGCCCGGTGGTTGGGTCCACGGACACAAGCAACACTGCTGTTCTCGGCTGCGTGAATATCTGGAGAGTTTCGTGCCGAGTGAAGCGACCCAAGAGGGCAAGGGGCAGACTCAGATGCTCTCTCACATGCAGGATATAAAGGGACACAGCGAGGGAGTGACTGACGCCCAGTGCTGGCAGAACAAGGAGCAACCTGGAGGCTGGTCGCTGGGGGTGTGGGGAGGAAACAAAGGACACTGCAGGAGGATTTCTGAGGAGGAGGGGGAGGGCTGAAAGCCGGTGCAAAGTGCTGCCACCAAGGTCGGCTGAGGGGCGGGAGGGCCATGACATGACTGAAGGGATGGATGTGTGATCACCACGGGCCTGACAATCAACACGACTCTGTGACTCTGTGATCCAGCGCAATTCAGGAGAAAAAACTGAAAATAAACAAGCTTAAAAAGAAAAAAAGTTCAATTGCGGGTGCAGAGACGCGGCACTACCACAGAGCAGGCGCCTGGCATGAGGGAGGCCGGGTCGGATCCCCGGCACGAACGGCATGATCTCCAGTCCCACCATGACAGCAACCACAGCTGCCCACTTGGGAACCCTGGCAGTCCCCGCTCACCCCCTGTGGCTATTCAACGTGCCAAGAAGAGACGATCGATGGGACACAGCAGGGACTCATGTTCCGACTTACACGCTTAACTGAGGTGGGCCCGGCTTCACCTGCCGGACGGGGAAGCTGCTTTCAACGATCGTCCTGATGGCCCTGGAGACAGGAGAGAGACCGAGTTGCTATGGAAACGCCGAGAACCCACGTCAGACCTCCCTGGGCTCAGACGCCACCAGGACTGGACAGACACAGCTGCTTCGAGAATACTTCCCTTCAGGCAGCCCCACACACCTTAAAAGGTCCCAAACACCCTCGATCACACACCCTGCAGGGCTCCTCCGCCACACACCCTGTAGGGTCCCACCCCTCCCCCCCACACATCCCTGAGAGCCGCCTCCCCCCCGCCCCCAGAGGGGCCCCTCAGAGCAGAGCCTTGGAGGTGCGCAAGCAAGGCTGGGGGTGGGACACTGACCAGCGGTTGTAGAGGAGGATGGCCATGGCAGTGGTGGGCGGCAGCGCGGCGAGGTCCATGTCCACATGCTTGGTGCCCGGGGGGACTTTGCTGACACACAGCAGCTCGTTGAGAAGCATGTTTAAGACGGGCACAGATAGGCTGTGGGCACGGAGCAGAGGGCATCAGCGTGGGCACCCTGGAACTTCCAGGTGGTCTTCGCGCCGCATCGCCAGGCACAGGGACACGTGGCACCACTCTCATCACACCAGGGAGGCCCACAGCCATCCACCAAAGGTCCACGGTGGTGAGAAGCCAACGCCCGGCATTAAATCCCTCTGGGTTCAGAGAGTGGGTACAGAGGGAAGGGCACTTGGGTGCACACGACTGATCCGGGTTTCATCCCTGGCACCCCACATGGTCCCCGAGCCCCACCAGAAATGACCCCTGAAAGTAAAGCCAGGAGTAACCCAAGCACTGCCAGATATGGCCCCCAAACCAACATACACACAAAAAAACCATCAACTCTTCCTAACCTATTTTGAAATATAATCTCAGAAGACAGAATAACGACCGAATTCATTTCACACTTAGAATGCTTTAAGGGGGGCTGGAGAGACAGCACGACAGTTAGGGTCCTTGTTCTCAGGCAAGTGACCCCTGTACTCCACGGTCCCCGGAACACTGCCAAGAGTGATCCCTGAGTACAGAGTCAAGAGTAAGTCCTGTGTACTGCTGGGCGTGACCCCAAATCAAACCAAATCTGATGAATCTTTCAAGCTGGGCTGAACAAACAGCCCCATGGACTGTGAACATGGTTTCTGTGTGGGAGGCAGGGCTTGACCCAGCATTGCATGGGTACTAGCAGCCCATCAGGAGAGCTCAGGGATGCCTGAAACGCTGCAGGGGCAGGACAGCCCATCGGGACAGAGCACAGGAACATGCCAAACACTGCAGGGGCAGGACAGCCCGCCGGGACAGTGGAGGAAAACCCCAAACACTGCAGGCGTGAGGCCAAAAATGAATTAATAAATAAAAGGGAGTTGTATTCATCTAACCTCAGCATTTCCTTAAAGCTTTTCAAATAATGTTTGGTTTTTTTTTTTGGTTTTTGGGCCACACTTCGTGGTGCTCAGTGCTCCTTCCTGGCTTGGATCACTCCTAGCAGTGCACAGGGGACCATATGCATTGTCAGGGAATCAAACATTTGCTGGCTGTGTATACGGCAGGCATCCTACCAGGTGTACTACCACTCTAGCCCAAAACACACTTTGTTTTCCCACTGCAAGTCTGTACTGGAGCTAGAGTGATAGTACAGTGGGTAGGGCATTTGCCCTGCACGCAACCGACCCGGGTTCGAACCCCCGGCATCCCATATGGTCCCCCGAGGAGCACCATCAGGAGTAATTCCTGAGAGCAGAGCCAGGAGAAACCCCTGAGCATCGCTGGGTGTGACCCCAAAAGCCAAAAAAAAAAAAAAAAGAGTATCAGCAAAGCCTGAAAGAGAGTACAGGGTTGAGGGGCATGCTGTGTACACATCCCCATCACTACCAGAAGTGATCTTTGGCGGCAGAGCCAGGATTAAGACCTGCGCGCTGAAGGTGTGCTTCCTCCACCCCGAATGCCCCCCTCAAAGAGTCACCATTACAGGGAGAGACGGGACAGGGCTCAGTCCGTGCACGAGGCTGACCCCAGCTCCATCCCCGGCATTCCCTATGGTCCTCCGAGCACCACCGGGCATGGCCTCCAAACCAAGAAGACGGAGTCCACGCAAGTCTCGTGTGCGTCTGGGGTACCTTTTCTGTAGTATATCTAAGTCCCACTTCAAATGTGCGGCCACCTTCAGCGCCAGGAGTTTTAAAATCCGGTTCCTCTTGTTGTCCGGCGGAGGCTGGACCTGATTCTGCTCGTTGACGGAAGGCTTGGAGGCCTGTTCCAGAAACTGAACTATCAGCTGCACTGGGGCAGGGTCTGGGGGGGAGGGGGGGCAAAAGAGAGAAGCCCTTTGTTTGCCTTATGAAGACGCATCGGGACACCTCTGGGTGGGTCTGGAGCCCCCAAAGGAATCCAAACGGAACGCGGCTGGTGGCAGAGCAGAAGAGAACAAAACAGATCCCAGGGGGCTGGAGCGATAGCACAGCGGGTAGGGCGTCTGCCTGGCACGCGGCCGACCCGGGTTCGATTCCCAGCATCCCAGAGGGTCCCCTGAGCACCGCCAGGAGTGATTCCTGAGTGCAGAGCCAGGAGGAACCCCTGAGCATCGCCGGGTGTGACCCAAAAAGCAAAAAAAAAAAAAAAACAAAAAAAAAAAACAGATCCCAGCACAAACCAACCAACCAACAAACTTATGACTTCCTGGAAAGATGATGACAGCCTGAGTCCAGTTCAGTGGCTAAGCAGGGGGGTCCGTTAGAAGGAGGTGCCGGCTTTGTTTTTGCATACGCTCTTTGGCTGGTGGGGAGGTCGCTCCACCTGGCCCCACACGGGCAAGCACCTTCCCCGCCGTACGATGTCTCTAGCCTGTCATCTTCAAAGTCGCCCGACAGCCAGGAAGTCCCAGCAGATGCTGGTCATGAACAGAGTCTAAGAGGACATCCCAGGGGCTGGAGTGATAGCACAGCGGGTAGGGCATTTGCCTTGCACGCGGCCGACCCGGGTTCGATTCCCAGCATCCCATAGGGTCCCCTGAGCACCGCCAGGAGTGATTCCTGAGTGCAGAGCCAGGAGGAACCCCTGTGCATCGCCGGGTGTGACCCAAAAAGCAAAAAAAAAAAAAAAAAAAAGTCTTGGGGCTGGAGCGATAGCACAGCGGGGAGGGCATTTGCCTTGCATGCAGCCAACATGACCGACCCGGGTTCGATTCCCAGCATCCCACATGGTCCCATCCTAAGTACCACCAGGGGTAATTCCTGAGTGCGTGAGCCAGGAGTAACCCCTGAGCATCGCCGGGTGTGACCCAAAAAGAATAAAAAAAAAAAAAAAGAACATCCCAGGGGCTGGAGCGGTCACACCATGAGCAGGGCACCGGCCTTGCACACCGCCGACGCAAGGTCCCATCTCCGGCATCCGTAGGGTCCCCCACCCGCGACCCCACCCCAGCACCCCCGGGCGGGGTCATTCCCGCGCGCAGAGCCAGGCGCAAGCCCCCTGCCTGAGCCTTGCAAGGTGCGACCCCGACAGCCAAAGACCGTCCTTGCGCGGCAGGAGAGAGCACGAGCCGGGCAAAGCAGCTGCCCCGAGGCAGCCAACGGGAGCTGGACCCCCGCCCCGGCCCCCCCAGGGCTGGGGTCTGGGGGGCTGGGCAGGACCCCCTCCCCAGGGACTGGGGCTGCGCCGGGGTCTCCTCCGGGGACCCTCCCAGGCCGGGTCTGTGCGTGTGGGTGTCGGGGGGACCCTCAGGGCCAGGTTGGGGGTGGGGGGGTGTTGGGGACCCTCAGGGCCAGGTTGGGGGGGGAGTCGGGGACCCTCAGGGTGGGGTCGTCTGCGGGGGTGTCGGGGACCCTCAGGGCCGGGCGTGCGGGAGCCCCGGGGCCTCGGGACCCTCCCAGGGCCGGGCGGGCGTTCGGGGGGCGTCGGGGACCCTCCCTCGGGCCTCAGTCCCCCGGGGGTCGCGGGGCACCCACCCGGGCAGGGCTTGCGCAGGTGCTTCTCCAGCAGCGACTCCTCCAGCAGGAACTCGAACCAGCTGGTGTGCGGCGGCGTGCACGGGCGGCCGGACGTGGCGGCCTCGCGGTCGGCGGCCTCGGCGCTCATGGTGCCCAGCCGGCCGCTGCCCGCGCTGACCGGCCGGCCGCCAGCGCCCCGACGCGCGCGGCCAAGATGGCGCCGCTCGACAGGCGCCCGCGCCAGCCAATCCGCGCCCGCGCCGGCGGCCGGGGGCGGGGCCTCGCGCAGACCACGCCCTCCCCGGTTGCCGGGGAGACGGGGCCTCGCGCAGAGCCCGCCCTCAGCGGTGGCCGGGGGCGGGGCCTCGCGCAGACCACGCCCTCCCGGTTGCCGGGGAGACCGGCCACGCCCCCGGGGCGGGGCGATCCAGGCCCAGCATCTGCCCCAGGGACCCAGCCGGGAGGTTGGGGGCGTCCTGACCCTGCTGTCCCCCGCGCGCACCCGACTTTGCACATAAACCAAAACCGGGGACCCGTTAAGGTCCGGCTTCAGGGCTTCCTTTGCACACGTTTCCTCTCGCCACCGTTTATTACGTTCAGGATTCCAACACCAATCACACCGCCGTGATTTTGAATTTTCCCGCCACCAATCAAGCTTGCCCCCCCCAACAGGTCCTAAATGATTTATTTGATATCGCTTGTTATGAGCAATCCGCTAAAAATAACCCAAAGGGGCTGGAGCGATAGCACAGCGGGGAGGGCGTTTGCCTGGCACGTGGCCGACCCAGGTTCGATTCCCAGCATCCCATATGGTCCCCTGAGCACCGCCAGGAGTCATTCCTGAGTGCAGAGCCAGGAGTAACGCCTGTGCATTGCCGGGTGTGACCCAAAAAGCAAAAAATAAAAATTAAAATTAAAAAAAATAAAAATAATCCAAAAATGTTTCCTTAGAGGAAGTGTGTGAAGATTGCTGTACCTTTAGAGACATTAAGCCCTTGTTTAAGAGATTACTGACACGTCGTTACAGGTTGAGCCTTGTGTGCTAACATATATGCTAATACATATGTATATATGTATGTATTTATATGTAGACACATGTATATTTGATTGAGATGAGGTTGGTTGCCCTCTACTTTACACGCCATTAAACGTGGTGTTCTACTCTTGGTATATCAGGGGTGTAGACTATGAGATGGACGTCGCACGGCCATGCACACCAGGAATTCTAAAATATTAAATAGGGTGATACAGCTGTAGTTAAATTTCTAACTGGATGTGACTTTGGGGAACACTCATAGCCACTCTGAACCTTAGTGTTCTCGACTGTCAATGGGAATTCATAATAGTGTTTGATCTTAAAGTCAGGAGAATTTAGAGGCAAGTTCGGGATAATCCAGGTAAATAATAATCCAGTAAAAAATCAGCTTTTCAAAAAAAAAAATCAGCTTTTCAAACAGGGCCTGATACCTAAAACCATAAAGCCGTGTTAACAAATAGCCTACCCATCCTTCCTTTCCCCCCCCATGAGGTATTTTATATACAATATCCTGATTCTCTCCTAGAAACAACCCTGCCGTTTTTTCTTTAACCTGGAAAAAAAAAAGGGTCCCGGTTACTTCAGAGTTACTTGTCCATCGTTTCCCAGTGAGTAAGAGTCTGAGTTGGGGCATCCAAAGGCCTTTGCAAGGAACTCGAGGTACATCTAACACTGGAGACAGAGAGAGCGAGAGAGAGAGACAGAGAGACACAGAGAGGACAAGGTCCAGGGCTATGCCTTCTGTTCCCCAGAAGAAATACTTTGGGAACGTTTGGAAAAAACAAAAAGAAATACTTGCCTACTTTTTTTTTTTTTTTGATGGGAGGGCATACTAGGCAGTGCTCAAGGATCACTCCTGGCAGGGGTCCAGGGACCATATAGGAGATTGAATCCAGGTCAGCCACATGCAAGGCCAGCACCCTACTTGCCGTTCTCTCTCTCCAGCGCTTCTGTTCCTTCTCTATTTAACTGGTACGGTCCAAGCATGGCCCAGGATCAGTGTGGAGGTCCTGCAGAGGCAAGCTGGAGAACTGGGGTCTGGGCAGCGGTACTCGCTGGAGCATGGAGCAGGCGGGGCCATTGCGGGGTACCGGGGGGTCGTGGGGGCCCTTCAGATGGCTCTGCTTGCTCTGGCCTCATAAGCCCTTTCTCTCCCCCCCACCCCAAAGCACTGCACTGCACCTGAGCACTGCTGTGGGTGTTGCCCCGAATATTCAAGCCTCATCTCCCCTCCCCCCACCATTTCTCCCAAAGGAGAGGCTGATGGATTTAGTGATTGATAGGGTCAGCAGTTGGAATTCCAGCTCCTGTGTGTACAATGGCAATTATGAAATGCAGACCCTTTCCCAGCACGAAGATCCTTGATTCCTTCACCACTGTCCAACAGCGTTTCTGCCTTTTTTTTTTTTTTTTTTGCTTTTTGGGTCACACCCAGCGATGCTCAGGGGTCACTCCTGGTTCATGCACTCAGGAATCACTCCTGGTGGTGCTCGGGGGACCATATGGGATGCTGGGAATCGAACCTGTGTCGACCATGTTGGCTGCGTGCAAGGCAAACGCCCTACCCGCTGTCTATCGCTCCAGCCCGCGTTTCTGCTTCTTGGGGATGAGGGGACACCTGGGTGAGTGTGGGCTCCACTGCCATCTGGTGGCCATATGGAGTGTCCCTACTTACACTGGTTGCACACGGGGAAGGATTCACACTTCCTGTGCAGCAATAAGGCAAGAGGGTCGTGCTTGGGGCTGGAAAGGGCCAAAGTCCAGTGGGGAGGGTGTTTGCCTTGCATGTGGCTGACCCGGGTTCAATCCCTGACATCCCATCTTGTCCCTCGAGCACCACCTGGAGTAATTCTTGAGCAAAGAGCCAGGAGTAAGCCCTGAGCATTGTAGCAGAAAGCAGCAGGAAAAAAGTGCTTGGATGTCCCCTTTCCTTATACAAACTCTCTCGCCACGCTCAACTGAACCACAGCTTCCCATGCCCCCTGTGAGCAGAGTCAGGGGAGCAGGGATTTCCTGGCTCTGCGCTCAGGAATTACTCCTGGCGGTACTCAGGGGACCGTAAGGGTAGATGCTAGGGACCAAACCTGGGCCCGCACGCGCAAGGCAAACACCCTCCCCACTCGACTATCACTCGGCCCACGAGATTTCTTTTTGGATGGATGAAAAGATTCTGAAACTGTGAGTGATACCTGCAAACTCTGAATTTAAGAGAATGCCTGTAGCAGGCTGTAATACAGAAGTATCTAATAAAGCATTAACAAAGAAATGTGGGGGCTGGAGAGATAGCAGAGCGGGGAGGGCGCTTGCCTTGCACGCGGCCGACCCGGGTTCGATTCCCAGCATCCCATAGGGTCCCCTGAGCACCGCCAGGAGTAACTCCTGAGTGCAGAGCCAGGAGTAACCCCTGTGCATCGCCAGGTGTGACCCAAAAAGGAAAAAAAAAAGGTATCTAATAATGCATTAACAAACGTGTATATGAAGACAACTGAACATTCTGAAAAGGGTTTTATTGTGGAAACAAAACAAGCAGCATCAGCAGGAGGATTTACCTCATGCTTGAAAAAAACTACATTTAACGTCACAAAATCCGAAGTTCGCTAGCTTATGACCCAACTCTTCTTATGATTTCTGGTTGTTGAAATAAACGTCTTCCTTTTGCGAAGGAGGGGCACCGACAGGAGGAGCGCTGGACGGTTTGGGAAGTGATGCCCGCCCGGAAAGCTCCTGCTTTCGTCCCGCATCGCCTTAGGAAGGCCAGGTTCTGGACACAGCGCTCCTGCTGAGGGGACACGCACCCCTGGGGCTCCAGGTCTCTCGCAGCAAGACTAGCAGGTGGCAAGTGCCCAGAGACCTGGAAACAGAAATGATTCACAGACGCCCTGGATGGCAACCAAACACAAATCTGGTACGACAACAATCCCCTGCCCCACCCCCCCTTTTTTTTTTTTGCTTTTTGGGTCACTCCTGGCTCTGCGCTCAGGAATTACTCCTGGCAGTGCTCAGGGAACCATATGGGATGCTGGGATTAGAACGAGGGTGGGCCGTGTGCAAGGCAAATGCCCTACCTGCTGTGCTATTGCTCCAGCCCCTCATTTTTTAAATTATGGGAAACACTAAATATAATTATAAACCTTAGTGGATCTAAACAGTGGAGTCAAATATATTCCTTTGGCATGTTCAGGTCTAATTTTACCTAAGATATTTTTAAAAAACATGCCCTCCCGTTGATCGTCGATTTGCTCGAGCGGGCCCAGTAATGTCTCCATTGGAAACTTTGTTGTTACTGTGTCTGGCATCTCGAATACTCTCGGTAGCTTGCCAGGCTCTCCGAGAGGGGCGGAGGAATCGAACTCGGGTTGGCCATGTTGGCTGCTTGTAAGGCGAACGCCCTACCCGCTGTGCTATCGCTCCAGCCCCTCATTTTTTAAATTATGGGAAACACTAAATATAATTATAAACCTTAGTGGATCTAAACAGTGGAGTCAAATATATTCCTTTGGCATGTTCAGGTCTAATTTTACCTAAGATATTTTTAAAAAACATAAAAATGAGATATATTCCTATTGAAAAAACTGTCCAATTTTACTTGCAACTTTTTTTAGAGCTATGATTTTAGTACAGACTGGAACTTGAAACTATTTGCAGACACCAACGAGTGCCTCTGGTGTATTGTTTATTATACCGGGCAAATGAAGAGACAATATACCGAGATTTAAATCAGGAAGTGGTTATTTGCTTCACAGAGGTCCTTAAATATACAGAATGGTTCATAACATGTTCTTTAAACATTTGTTTCATTTAAGTTTGCCCCTCCAAATCAACTTCCATCCAGCTTTTAGAAACCCCCTCAGTGTTACAGAGACACACTTTCATCCACCAAAAGTTTCAAATGTTTAACAATGCGAAAATCTGAAGGGCTCACGAAACACTGATTTCTTCGACAACTAAGAGGCGGACTGGGCAGGAAACTGGCCCCTCTGCCTCGGGGACCTGCAGTGGGGCCCAGGTACGCCCCCTTGCACTTCTGCTTCCTCTGACTCAAGTCTAGGACTCGGAGAGTACAGAGGCAATCTGGGCGTGTCTGCGTGGCAAACGCAGACTCTGCACACGATCAGAACTGGGAACAGAGAAGCATGTCGCTTTGAGGTCCAAGGCACACACCTCGACTGCAAAACTACCAGCTCCCAAAAAGCATCCCAAATCCAGATGCCAGTGTTAGGAAACTGGACCGGCCAGCTCTGCTCAACGTCCTCCCCCGGCAGCAGGGAAGGGGCTCTGGTCAATCTGCTGGACCTCTGCAGAGCTGATTACCGAGATGGCTGGCAATGCCAAGCCCGCTCCCCGCTCTCCCGGGAAGTATGCACGGGTGTGGAGATGAAAGGAACAGTAAAAACCACACAGGAGTGACTCTGGCGTGGACCAGGCTGAGGGAAGAGTCCCCATGGCTTTGTGGCCAGGAAACGGCAGGACTCTGTTGGCCATCAAAGTAAACTTAGAAATAAAGAAGTTAAGGCACTTATCTCAATGGGCTCGCAACTCAGGGACGGGAGTCCTTTGCATTTCTTCCAGAACGTTCTTTCAGCCCAACCGCAGGGACTGGCTCCTTTGGCCTCGCCTCAGGTGTTCTCGGTCACCCCTAAGGACTCTAAGTGAACCCCAAGCCCAGGACCGGGAAGGAATGGCCACGGGTGGGGTTCTGCGCTGCTCTCGACCCTGGTCAGAATGGAAGTTATTAGCTCGCCTTATAAGCCCAGTATTATTATCTCCACAATAAAGCTTACTTACAGTGTCCTTTTCAACTGGTGCTCAATGAAAACATCTACAATTTAATTTTAAAAGTCCCTAGATCTATTCAAGATATAAATGAACAAAAGGAAAAATAACTCAGGACTATGCTGAAAAGATCACAAACCCAAACCAGGGGCCAGGCTGGTGGCTCAAGGGGCTGGTGTGCAGGTCCTGCGTGCAGGGGCCCCGTCTCCACCCTGGCACCACGTGGTCTGCTGGGGGCAACCCCCAAGCACCGAGTCAGGAGGTCAGGAGTGGCCCCTGACCACTACCTGCTGTGCACCCCCCCCAAAAAAAAAACAGAAAGCAAAACCCACAACAATCAAAGTCTTAGGATATTTGATCACAATATCAATCAGCAACCATGTCATGAGACAGTTTATGCCACATGGAAAGCACAGTTCCGACATCCACTTCGGGATATGCCAGCGGGCCGTAACACGTGGTCTCCGCGCTCAGCCACATGCATGGGCACCTCCTCTGCGCACACAGTGCTCCCTCAAACGAGCCTACAGCAGAGAACCTAAGAGGCTCTTCATTACTTCTTTGTTTTGGGGGCCACACCTAGTGATGCTCAAAGGTTGCTCCTAGCTCTGCACTCAGGAATCCCTCCTGGCGGTGCTTGGGGACCATACAGGATGAGGCCGGGGATCAAACCCCAGTTGGCTACGGGCCAGGCAAATGCCCTCCGGGCTGTGCTTTCGCTCTGGCCTCAGCACCTAAAATCCTCCGCCTGCAGCCACCTTAGGGGAACTGGTACAAAGTCTCTCTAAAAGCATCAAGCAAGAAGCAAGAAAAGGAGGTCGACAGGGTGATGCTGCAGTTAAACAACGGGCAGTTCCAAAGCACCAGGGCCCTGGGCCGGTCAGGAGGCCTGCGAGGGTGGCAGGGGTCCCGGTCAGCAAAGCCTCTCCCTCGGGAAACCTGCCTGCCACAGGGACGGAGACGGCCCGAGTCTCTTCTTACGGAAATGACCTGTCCAGGGTGGGCATGGGAGTCCCAGGCTGGAGATGGGGATTAGCCCCCCAAAACTGGGTCGGGGCAGCTGGACGTCTCCAGGCGTAGCCCCAAACGTAAGGATGTTAAACATATACTTCAAAACAGGGTCACACTTCTATCCTGACTGCCTTGCTTCTTGTCTTTTGGGCCACACGGGGGCTGTTCCCGGCAGTCCTCGGGGGACCCCTCTGGGGTGCCCTGGCAGAACCCGGGCCAGCCGTCTGCCAGGCAAGCGCTCTGCCCGCTGTGCTCTCTCCCACCCCGGTCCTGACTCGCTCTAAAAAGGCCAAAATGTCTCATCCGAGAATTTCACAGGATCATCACAAATACACACGTAACATCGTAAAGGAATTTAGCGTTCAGACGGAGAAGCTGTGCTGAGTGAGAGCTGTCACTGTGACCCCGGAGACGGGATCACAGTCCCCTAGGGAAAGCACTGGTGCCTCCCAGCAACAGACCCCTCTCTGGACAGAGGTCTCGTTAACGGCACTCTTTCTAGCTCAAGAAGACTCGCCCATTCTTAGTGTACGGATTTTTTTTTCTGAGGGAAATTTAATTTTTACTCAATACTTCGGTAGAAAAACATGTGGGTTGATTACATAACCCAGGTCAGGAGTTCTTAGAAACCCTAACAGTAACCTTTGATGCGTCTAGTTCAAAAATATATAGGCAACAAAAGTTACTGCTTCGTCTATGATTAAACTGGTATCAAATTTAGGGACATAAGTGAAAAACTAATCACTCGGTAGACAATCATAAAAGACTATTTCATGCACTACAGGCCAAGAAGGAAGTGTCCATTTGTGCAAGCAGCAGATAAGGAGAGCGGCACTCGGGGACACTCCGATAAATCTTGATTTATCGCCCGAAAAATCACTTTCTAGACTCTGCACCCCGCTGTAAATGCCACGCACGTCAGCCGCCAGGTACTGTTGGTTGGAATCTTTCAGTTCTCCCGTGACCCAGGAATTGCTTTCGGAAACTGCCCTGAGGGTCAGGGTGGCCGTAGTGATGTCCCATGAGGTACTTATTAGCTGTCCTACTAGTAGGGGACACGGCAGAATCCGGCTTTGAAAAGATTCCAGTTCCAGGTGGATGTCCTGACCGGGTGGAGCTCTGTGAGGAAACTGTCACCGCCACTGGAGGGTCGAGCCAGGCGACAGGAAGGAAGGAGTGGCGGGGCGGCAGGTGGGGGGCGCGGGCGGCCCGTGAGGGGGCTCGCTCCCACTCAGGACTGGAAGGATATCACAGTGTTGATCTTGTACACGAAGTACGACCGGTTCCAGTACACGCGCGTGAAGTAGTTCACGTAGGGCGAGTAGTTGATCTTCACCTCGTGGCAGAACCGCCCGTGCTTGGAGTAGGTCAGCTTGTCACCTTCCTCGCAGACGACCTGCCGGAGAGACAGAACATGCTGGGAGACCGCCTGCCGGGCTCCCAGGGGAAGGCGAGAGGGGGTCACCGCCACGGGGGACTCCTCGAGCTCGGAGGGGCGTGTGTCCGGGGACCCTGGAGGGGACGGGGCAGGCGAGGACGGCGTTTCTGGCCCGGGGCAGCGGCTCCAGGGGTGGAGCACAAGCCACGCGTGGGAGGGGCCAGTTCACACACCAGCACCGACAGGCCTCGCAGCGAGGACACCAGAACTGGCCACAGCCACAGAAAGCGCGGCTGAGTATTCTTTGAAGCGGAAATGGGGGGAGGTGGACAGAGGAGGGGCGGGGGGGGGGGGGAGAGACAAAAAGAGAGGGAGGGGGATAGAGAGAGGGAGAGAGAAATAGAGACACAGAGAGAGAGAGAGAAAGAGGGGGTCACCCACAGTGACTTTTCCACGGAGGTCACACGGCGAGGAGACAAAGCTAAGATGTTAAATATTGCATCTCTCTACTGATCCCTGCCGCCAAAGGCCATGTGTTCCTGAGCACTGCCAGGAGTGATCCCTGAGCACTGCCAGGAGGAAGCCCCGAGAACCGCCCGGTTGGCCTGTCCCCTCCCCAAGTGCCCTCTCAGCCCAGAGGTGGACACGCAGGCCGAGCGCAGGAGGCTGGGCTCAGTTGCCAAGATCTGGCACGAGCAACTCGTGAGCACAAAGCTGGGAGTAGCCCCCGAGCACGCCAGCTAAGGCCGCAAACCAAGCAGAAGCTCCCCGAACACACGAGCACTCACCCCCTCGAACACGCCACCCTTGGCTGTCGGTCCCGGGCGCGTGGGAGCACACTCAGAGTAAGAGCGTGTCCGCCAAGGAAAATACCCTCCTGGCCTCGGCCGTGCCCGGGTCAGTCTGGGCAGGGATGAGGGAGACAAGGGTCTGAACCGGGGCTCCAGCCCTGAGACTGGCTGTGACTGCCCGGCCTCCAAAAGCCAACTCACCTTCCAGACTGTGAAACAATACTTGCAGTGACCTTTTTTTTTGGGGGGGGGGGGGGCTTTTTGGATCCCACCCGGTGATGCACGGAGGTTACTCCTGGCTCACGCACTCAGGAATTACTCCTGGTGGTGCTCGGGGTCCCTATGGGATGCTGGGGACCCAACCTTGGTCAGCCGCGTGCAAGGCAAATGCCCTCCCCGCTCTGGCCTCTTTAAAGAAGCCCCACACTCTGCCACAGCTTTTCGTGATATTCTTTCAAGTCCCCAGACTAACGTTTGAAGGTGGCAAGTCTCAATCTGACCAAACTTTCCTGGTTGCTACTTACATGGCCATTTGCGATGTCCAAGAGATCCTTCACCCGACAGCCCCTGGTGGTCCCCACCTCGTTGCAGATAGCGTCCTCTACAATGAGGTAATTTGCCTTGTAAGAGGTCAGGATTTTATAAATGTCCTCAGCAGAGCGTTTGGAATAGATCTGATAAATCTGAAAAATAAATAAATGCGCACAAGGATTTTAAAGGCCATTTCAAGCTCCATGCAATCAGACGCGGACACTGAGTCTTCCTGTTCAGAGTACGAGCTACGAGCGGTGAGAAATAGAGATCGCGAAGCCCTGGCTCCTGCCCTCGGAAGCGCGTACCCACATGCCACTGACCACTTGTGCGTCTTTTCCAGGGTAAAAAGCCTAGTCAGGTCCTGGCTCCAATTCCCCAGTGCTAGTAACTGACACTAGAAACTGTAGACGTTTGGGACCAGAGAGACAGTACGGCGGCCAGGCCGCTCACCTTGCTTGCAGCTGGTCCAGATTCAATCCTTGGTCTCCTGAGCCCCGCCAGGGGTGAGCCCCGAGCACAGAGTCAGGAGTCAGCCTGAGCACAAGGCCAGGAGTGAGCCCCAAGCACAGAGTCAGGAGTCAGCCCCGAGCACAAGGCCAGGAGTGAGACCCGAGCACAGAGCCAGGAGTGAGCCCCAAGCAGAGCCAGGAGTGAGCCCTGACCACAGAGCTGGGAGTAGGTCCTGAGCAGAGAGCTAGGACTGAGCTCAGAGCAACGCCGGGTATGATCCAGGAACAAAAACCAAAGCTTGCAGAAGGTTACGGTTCAGTGTGCTGATCTAACATGACAGATTGGCAAAACCCCGCACACAGGTGCACCCCTTCTCTGCAGCACCTCCAGGTGTATCCACGGCCATGGCCAGGGGAGGGGTCCCATTGACAGCACCCCCTCTCCCCTCTGCGGCTGTGGGGGGGCCCACCTAGACTCTATCAGCCCCCGAGAACGGCTGCAAAAACAAAAGCCGTCCCGCTGCTGAGCAGAGACGCTGGGCTGGCTGGCCGGGGTGGCCAGGGACGGGGGGCTCACTCCTGCACCCGGGATCACTGCTGGCAGCCTGGGAGGGAGGCCGGGTGGCAGTGAAGGGGCGAGGTCGGGGCCTTCGAGTGGTCTGGCGGCCCGGCCAGGCCGTCCTCAGGGGCCTGCTCCCCGCCACACGCAAGCCGCAGGTCAACAGACTGAGAACAACAGCCCCAACGGCAGTGGCCAAATCGCAACCCGCCCGTCAGGTGGTGGTCTGGGTGGTCGGGGCTGGACTCGCCGCGGACCCGGGGCCCTGACCGAGTCTGGAGGGGAAGAACCGGCGCCTTACGTTCTCGTTCCTCCTGAGCAGGTCCTCGTCGCTGTACAGTGGCAGGCTGGTCACCATCCAGCCGGTGCACAGTCGGATGGCGGCCATCAGCTGGGGGCTGCCCGCAAACACGGCGGCGACCGGGGCCTGCCTCCTGCAAGGGCACAACGGCAGCCAGCTTTCACGCTGTTCACACGTGCGCCCACCTTCCCAGGTGACGGGGCGAGCACTCTCCAGGGAGCAGAGAGCACTGCGTGCTGAAAGGCGTCTGCCAGTACCAGTTCCCATGCACCCACTCAGAGGCCGAGGCCAGCGGGGCAGGGGTGGGGACGCTTCTCCCACACCGTGACCTCTGCCCGGGGACACGCGGACTCCCCGCTGTGAGCCAGGCTGCCCGGCGCAGAGAAGGCACCCAGGGGCGCGGCCTTCGACACAGACCCCGGGGCTGCGGGCCGCACAGCCGGCACCTCATTGTCCCCTACTCTGGAGGAGAGAACCTGGACAAGTCACAGTCCCCTGGGAGGAGCATGGGGAGGAGGAAGCAGGCCGGGAGCCTCAGAGAGAGTACCGGTCTGAGCCACCAAATCACGTCAGCCCCTTGGGGCAGGGCCACGGCACAGTGGGAGGGCGCCACCAGGAGTAATTCCTGAGTGGAGAGCCAGGAGTACGCCATGAGCGTCGCCAGGAAGCTCTGAGCACCGCCGGGGGACACCCTGAGCACCACCAGGAGCATGCCCAGAACAGTAAATCCTGAGCACCACCAGGAATAAGCCCTGAGCACCGCCAGGAGTATGCCCTGGGCACCGCCAGCCTTTCTTATCTCTATTTTGGGTTTTGAGTCCCTCAGTGATCACTCCTGGCGGTGCTCGGGGATAGACTCACGCTGGCCGAGTCCGGGTAAGTGCCCTCCCCACAGTTCCATGGCCCCAGACTCAGGCTGGTCTGAGAAACACAGAGACTCGTCTCGAGGAACTAGGGTAAGAACACCGGGCGCCCAGAGGCAGCGGGAGAGAACGACTTCACACCCGCAGAGCTGGCAGAGTGCGAGCCCCATAGGGAGGGCACTCGCCATATAGATCGCCGGCCCAGGGACCATCCCTGTTTTGACGACAAAACACGCACAATTGAGATGGAAAAAATCCAAGTAAGCTTAGCAGCGGGGGTAGAACCCATCCCGTGTGAACCCCAGCCCCTGGCGCCCGAAGGCCTAGGAAGGGTGTTTGTTCCCTGAATTCCACATCAAGGTGTCTGAGGGCGAGGCTCAAACCTGTAACTTACAGGTGAAGATGAGCTTATGTACAAAATTAGAATTACAAGCTCAATCAGACTGAAGACACCCCCCCCAAACACAGGCTCAGATTCCGAGCTCTGGGGGTGCCCCGGAGAGCCCTTCTTCCCAGGGGGACCCGCTCGCCTGCTCCTGTTCCCACGCAGGAACCCACTCACCCGCTCCTGACCCCACGCGGGACCCACTCGTCCTCTCCTGTCCCCAAGCAGGACCCACTCCTGTCCCCACGCAGGGACCCACTCTCCCACTCCTGTCCCCACGCAGGGACCCACTCTCCCACTCCTGTCCCCGCACAGGGACCCACCGCCCGCTCCTGTCCTCACACAGGGCCGGGCAGTTCTTACTTGATCCAGGTCATGAGCTCCACCGTGTCAGGCTCGTAGAATTCTTGAAGCTCCATCAACTCCGTCATTAGCCTCGGAAAAAACTGGAAAGCAAAATACCACCACCCCGCCAAAAAAAAAGCATACGTAAGTATCCTGAAAGTTTAAAAGTGTCACTAAGTACTCAAAAAAGGGAAAAAGACGGAGTTAAGACTGTTGGGGCTGGAGCGATAGTCAGGAGTAATTCCTGAGTGCAGAGCCAGGAGTACCCCTGCGCATCACTGAGTGTGACCGCCCCCCCCCCCAAAAAAAAAGAAAGACCAAGGCTGTTTGGCTGGTGTTCCTCAGGAATGCCTTGCGGACCCTGGGGACTTTCTCTCACCTCATTTCAATGAGTCTGTCCAGTTTATCCTGAGACTCAATGAACAATCTGTCGGCCCAAAGCCGTTAGTCATCAGGCATACTTCCCGTCCCTGAGCAAAACTCAACAAACACTAACGGCACTAAAGAAACAAACAAGGACTTGGACTTCATGATTCCCGGGGTGACGGGTGATTAGCAGAAGGGTCCGTTACGGTAACCCGAGGATCTTTATTTTATATTTGAATTTTAAAGCTCCCCAAATACTTTTCAATAGTAAGACCTATTGACTCAAAATACCCTTTCCTGAGTACAGAATGGAACCGAGGACAGCATCATGCCATAAACGGAGCATCCGTGAGCAATCTGGAGGTACGTGGGGGGCCAGGAGTCCCCCTTGGGGGCCACCAGGCTCACTCCAGGCACAGACCCCGGAACAGCCCCGACCCCGTGCATTCCTTTCATTCTGTTAGAACCGCGTCTCGGGAGACCCTGCCCGAGAAGGCGCATTTCAGCCACAGGGAAGCGGGGTTTCCTTACCTCTTTCCACAAGCTGACGCCGATGATGGTGGGCACGGCCATGCTCAGAATAAGCGCCTACAACGGTTGGACAGAAAGGGCGACAGGAAGCGACACTGGGGAGGGCCGAGCCAGCACAAGCCCGGTCCGGGGTCCCCGCGCTGCTCCCAGCTCAGTCCAAGGCCCAGGGGTGAGCCCAGGCATGTGGGTACTGATGGGCCCCACCTTCCCCATGGGGGGCCCTGAGGGTTAGGGGGTGGGGGTCACTGATAGGGTCTGCATTCCCCATGGTGGCGGGGTTGGGAGGAAGCACTGCAGAGTGACCCTACCCAGCAGTGCTCAGGGTTTACTCCTCTCTCTGTGCTCAGGAATCCCTTCCGGCAGGCTCGGGGGACCCTAGGGGATGCTGGGGATTGAACCCAGGTTGGCTGTGTGCAAGGCCAATGCCTTGCCTGCTGTACTGTCACTCCATCTGCCCCCTGCCACGGTAATTTAAAAAAATGTGTTGGGGGGCCGGAGCAAAGGTACAGCGGGGAGGGTGCTGGCCCTGCAGACGGACAGCCCGGGTTGAACCCCCAGCACCTCACAGGGTCCCCCGAGCCCCATCAGGAGTGAATGCAGAATCACGAGTAACACCTGAGCACCAACAGGTGTAGCCCCCAAAACAAAGTAAAACAAAACAATGAAAAAGAACATGTAGGGGGCTGGAGAGACAGCACAGCGGGTAGGGCGTTTGCCTTGCACGCGGCCGACCCGGGTTCGATTCCCAACATCCCATAGGGTCCCCCGAGTACGGCCAGGAGTAATTCCTGAGTGCATGAACCAGGAGTAACCCCTGTGCATTGCTGGATCGCTGGGTGTGACCCAAAAAAGCAAAAAAAAAAAAAAAGAAAAAAGAAAAAGAAAAAGAACATGTAAAAGTGGCGGCAAAGTGAGGGATTTAGTTAAATTTATGGGGGAGCAGAAGACACCAGACTTTGGTCAATAGCTCACACAATTTTAACAATTTTGCTTCATAACGGGAAAAATAAAAGGATTTAAATACAAAGCGCTTACGAAGGATTAAAAACTAGGAGCAACAGTACAGCAGGTAGAATGTTTGCCTTGCACGCAGCCCATATGGCCGACCCGAGTTCGATTCCTCCGCCCCTCTCAGAGAGCCCGGGGAGCTACCGAGAGTATCTCGCCGGCACGGCAGAGCCTGGCAAGCTCCCCGTGACGTATTCGATATGCCAGACACAGTAACAACAAGGAGACGTTACTGGGCCCGCTTGAGAAAACTGATGAACAACGGGAGGGCAGTGCCAGTGGCAATACACTAAGTTAACATGGGAAATAGCTAAAGGCGGTGACATATTAACCAGAATTAGAAGCAGAATTCCAACGACAGTACAGCGGGTAGGGCGCTTGCCTTGCACAGGGCCGACGCAGGTTCAATCCCCGACGTCCCACACGGTCCCCTGAGCACAGAGCCAGGAGTAAACCCTGAGCACCACCAGGTATGGCCCAGAAACAACAACAAAAGAAAGCGGGATTTTGCCCGTCTGGAAAAGACTGGCAAAACCCCACATGCCCGTCCTGGTGTTGGTGAGAGCCGCCTTCCGGTGAGTCTGTGTCTCAGGATGCAGAGAGACCCCCAAGTCTCTGCCCCTGATGAAGCCTTTCCCTTCTGAGGGCCCGGGGGTGGGGGGGGGAGAGGGAAGGAGGAGAGGAAGGAGAGGCAGAGAGGGAGGGAGAGGATGAGGCTGAGGGTGAGACTGGGGGAGAGGCAGGAGAGGGTAAGACTGGGAGGAGAAGGGGGAGGGCGAATGTGAGGGAGAGGCTGCAGGTGAGAGAGAGGAAGGGGGGAGGGAGAGGCTAAGGGTGAGGGAGAGGCTGAGGGTGAGGGAGAGGCTGAGGGTGAGGGAGAGGCTGAGTGAGAGGCTGAGGCTGAGGGTGAGGGAGAGGCTGAGGGTGAGGGAGAGGCTGAGGGTGAGGGAGAGGCTGAGGGTGAGGCTGAGGGAGAGGCTGAGGGTGAGGCTGAGTGACAGGCTGAGGGTGAGGGAGAGGCTGAGTAAGAGGCTGAGGCTGAGTGAGAGGCTGAGGCTGAGGGTGAGGGAGAGGCTGAGGGAGAGGCTGAGGGTGAGGGAGAGGCTGAGGGTGAGGGAGAGGCTGAGGGTGAGGCTGAGGGAGAGGCTGAGGGAGAGGCTGAGGGAGAGGCTGAGGGTGAGGGAGAGGCTGAGTGACAGGCTGAGGGTGAGGGAGAGGCTGAGGGAGAGGCTGAGGGTGAGGGAGAGGGAGAGGGAGAGGCTGAGGGTGAGGCTGAGGGAGAGGCTGAGGGTGAGGCTGAGGGAGAGGCTGAAGGTGAGGCTGAGGGAGAGGCTGAGGGTGAGGGAGAGGCTGAGGGTGAGGGAGAGTCTGAGTGAGAGGCTGAGGCTGAGGGAGAGGCTGAGTGACAGGCTGAGGGTGAGGCTGAGGGTGAGGCTGAGGCTGAGGCTGAGGCTGAGGGAGAGGCTGAGGGTGAGGCTGAGGGAGGGGCTGAGGGTGAGGGAGAGGCTGAGTGAGAGGCTGAGGGAGAGGCTGAAGGTGAGGGAGAGGCTGAGGGAGGCTAACTGAGAGGCTGAGGGGGAGGGAGGCTGAGTGAGAGACGGAGGGTGAGGAAGAGTGTGAGGAAGAGGACAAGGGCGAGGGTGAAGTCCCCGGCGAGGCTGCAGAGGCCACCAGGACCTCAGCCTCCACTCCAGGCCTCCTGTCCTCGGAAGTCACGCGACCCAGAGTCCTGCGCTTCCTCTCTGAGGCTGCTTAATTTCCCTCGGACTCCATCGTCCTTTGCCTCCTGGGTTGACTTCTGAGCCAGGTGCCTTCCTCTCCCTTCATCATCTCTTTTCCTTTCTTGTCTTCTTTTTAGGCAGTGCCCAGGGCTGACTCCTGGCTCTGTGCTCAGGGATCAATCCTAGCAGGACTTGGGGGACGACGTGGGGTGCCAGGGCTCGAACCCAGGCCGGCCATGTGCAAGGCGAGCGCTCTTTGACCGTCTCTGTTGAGACCAGGTGAAGCGGTAGTATTGGGCCCTTGCTGCCCTGAGCACCTGCAGCGGACAGACGCGGCCTCTGGGGGCAATGACTCCCAGCCAGCACCGGGTGCCCAGGAGCCCACAAGGGCAGGGGCCCCGAGAGCCGCATGCCTCTTCCTCCGGCTGAGTCTGATCTGTGAGGCCTCCTGGGCACTGCAGCTGCCCTCGGGGTCAGAAGCCCAAGGACGCCTGTCTCATGGAATCTCTCTTTTTAAATTTTTTTAAATTTTTTTTTTTTTTTTTTTTTGCTTTTTGGGTCACACCTGGTGATGCACAGGGGCTACTCCTGGCTCTGCACTCAGGAGTTACTCCTGGCAGTGCTCAGGGGACCACATGGGATGCTGGGAATCGAACCCGGGTCGACCGTGTGCAAGGCAAACGCCCTACCCACTGTGCTCTCTCTCCAGCCCCTCATGGAATCTCTTTCTGCCTGTTACCGTAAGTCTATGGAAGTTCTGCTCGTGCTGTTCCCACCAGACCCGGGTTTGGGTTGGGGCAGCGCAGCGGGAGGGAGCTGGCCTGGCGTGTGGCCAACCCGGGTATGAGCCCCGGCACCCCACCAGGTTGCCCGGAGTAGTTCCTGAGTGCAGAGCCAGGGAGAATGCCCGAGTATCACCGGGTGTGGCTGGAGTGACAGCACAGCGCGTAAGTCCCAGGTTCAATCCCCGACACCCCATACGGTCCCCTGAGCTCACCATGGCTGATTCCTGAGCACAGAGCCAGGAGTGACCCCTAAGCACTGCCGGGTGTGGGCCCCTAAGCAAAACAACCCCCCCTGAAAAACATGATACCGACTCAAGGACAACAGCGCCCCACAGCCTGGGCTCGGCGCGACGCGGGGCGGCCAGGACTCACCAGCAGGACCGGGTGGACAGTTCGCACCCGCAGCCACTTGAAGAGCGTGGTCCAGAGCTGCGGGGAGCACACGCCGGCCGCGGCCAGCATGCACACGTAGGGCGTCCACAGGAACTTCAGGCTGCAAGACACGCGGGGTCAGAGCAGCGGCCTCGAGAGGCCCCAACCCTGGCACTCGGCCCCCTGGGGCCTCACAAACGGTGAAAACCAAGCGCAAACCCGGCAACAGTGTGGCCCGCTCCGTGTCTGGCACCGCGTGGACCACGCGAAATGATTGCGGGAGGGGATGCACGGGGTCGCCCTCGGACGGAGACTGGGATCCCAGAGCTTCACGGGCTGGCCACAGACTGTGCACGCAGGAGGAGCAGGTCAACCTCTAGCACCCTGGGGGGAAACTCCTGAGCACCAGCAGGAGTGGCCCCGAAACCAAACGAAAATTAAGGAGGCAGTTCCCCGGCCCCATGCCAGGAGCCAGGAGAGGGTGCCCGGCCCCACCTGCGGCGTAGGCGCAAAGCAAGCGGCTTCGGGAGATCCGCGGTCCAACAAAGACAAACACATCAAACAGCAACTTGGGGGTCTGGTGTCGCCAGCAGGTCACTCTGTACCTGTGAGGCGAGTGCATCTGCAGCCTGATGGCGCCTTCAGACTTCCAGATGCCCCCAAACTGCTGCTGTGCCTTTGGCCAGACCCCAAAAACTTGGGGCCAAGTTTACCAAGAAAGTAAATGGCCAAAAGTTAGGCATGTGGGAGACACACCCACAAACCACCTCCGGCTCAGCTATATAGTTGGAGGCAAGGCCTCTCTGGTCCCTGATCGAGCTGCTTAACGGCCATGATCCCAGAGACTCAGCGACAAATCTCAGCACCCAGCAGCTTTTGACAGAGATGCGTCCAGTCCCCACAATGGGTTACCGGCGCCAGACCACCCCAGGGAGGGAAGAGTGTTGTCCCTCCGCCTGCTCCCCCTTGGTGGCACGGTGGCCGCCATCTTCCAGAGGCCATTGGACACTAAGGTTTGGGCCCTCAGTGATGAGACATGCAGGGCCTCATGGGATGGGGGTGGAGCCAGCCCTTTCCTTCCCACCTGGAGACCCCGAGTCGCCGCCCATGAATGGCCTCTCTGGCTCCTGATCAAGCTGCTTAACGGCCATGATCCCAGAGACTCAGAAACAAATCTCAAAACCCAGCGGCTTTTGGCAGAAATGCATCCGGACTCCACAGTACGTTACTGTCGCCGGGCCACCCCAGCGGGGAATGGGTGCTGTCCCTCCGCCTGCTCCCTCTTGGCGACTTGGTGGCTGTCATCCTCCAGAGGAGGCCACTGGACGGTCAGGTTTGGGCCCGCAGCGACAAGACACACAGGGTCTCATGGGATGGGGGTGGAGCAGGCCCTTTCCTCCCCACCCCAATGAGACCCTGAGTCGCCACCCACGAATGGCCTCTCTGGCTCCTGATCAAGCTGCTTAACGGCCTTGATCCCAGAGACTCAAACAAATCTCAAAACCCAGCGGCTTTTGGCAGAAATGTGTCTGAACTCCGCAGCAGGTTACTTTTGCCAGGCCACCACAGGGGGGAAAGGGTGCTGTCCCTCCACCTGATCCCCCTTGGCGGCTGGGTGGCTGCCATCCTCCAGAGGTCGTTGGACAGTCAGGATTGGGCCCGCAGTGATGAGACACGAGAGACCTTGCGGGATGGGGGTGGAGTCGGCCCTTTCCTCCCCGTCCCAACAAGACCCTGAGTTGCCGCCCACGAATGGCCTCTCTGGCTCCCGATCAAGCTACTTAACGGCCATGATCCCAGAGACTCAGGAACAAATCTCGGAACCCAGCAGGTTTTGGCAGAAATCCCTCCATATTCAATTGTTAAAATTTTGGAATTCCAAAATCTCGCGGCTATGCGGCATCATATATCATTCATAACCGACAATAGAAAACAAATTGTCTACTGTTACCTCTTCGGCAGATCTGAGTATTGGGGTAAAATCCCTAATAATGGTGGGTTTGGTGTTGAAATAGTGAATGTCATCAAAGTAGAGAGAGAATAATGTGGAAATCATCTGCCCCACGGGTAGGGGTAGGGTGTGGGATGGGGGGTATACTGGGGTTTTTGGTGGAGGAAAGTGGATGTTTCATTGTATGACCGAGACTTAAACCCGAAAACTTTGGGGGATTCAATAAATAAAATGATAAAAAAGGAAAAAAAAAGTAAGGTGGAGTTCATGCCCAATTCAATCAGCCTAACCAATGACTGAATAAATAGCAGTAATCCTACGTTAAAAAAAAAAAAAGCAACTTAATAGGACCTGTGACACTCAAAGCACCCAGCAACCGCACCCCCACAGCGTGGCCTACAGACACACACCAGCGGACATGTGCATGCGAGGATTTCAATGACTTGTCGGTTTCTGGGTCACACCCTTGTTGAGCACTCGGAACTTTGGAACAAACGAACGAGTACGGAAACTCAGAAAACCCCCTTTGCTGTCCAGGGGATACCCTGGCACTGTTAAGATTAGGAGCGTTTACACACTGGGTTTGCATCAAGCTTTATAAATGTGTTCCTGGATTAATCCACTGATTGCCATTCAAAAAGGAGGGCAATCATTGGGGCCTGATTCCCAGGGCCCCCTGGTCCCTGGGCACTGCAGGGGTGGCCCACGATCGCCAGTGTCCTTACAAACAAACGCAAAAGCATCAAGGACGGCCCCTGTTTGGACTCAGCTATTTGCAGGGTGGGGTAAGGCTGCTGGCCTGGCTCAGACCCGTGTACAGGCAGCATGAATGCACGGTGACGGCCACTCACCCTTCGATGACCATCGCAAGCGAGCCCAGGAGGAGGGTGTGGGTCACGTGGTAGATGATTTCAGGCCTCTCTCCAATCCGCCCGTCCTCCAGGGCTGCGCTCTCCCTCAGCGACTCGCCCCTGGGAGAGGAAGCACAGGCCAGTCACTGCCACACCCAAAGGTACGGCAAACGGGGGTGCAGGAGTCCCACGGCTCTTAGACCAAAGTCTCCTGGGTGCCAGAGCCCGGCGCACAGAGGGCCAACTAGGCGTGACGCCATCCAACGTCATTCCCCATCCGACACCCCAGACGTCAATGCTCACAGCTGAGTTTCACGTGGCTAACTTGATTCTGTCTGGTCTCGTCCGTCTGTGTCCCTCAGAGGACACAGCTCAGTGCTGGGGTCACTCCCGGGGGTGCCCAGGGTCCGAGCGGGCCCTGCGGCCTGCAGCAGGCACCAGCCCACAGCTATCTCCACGCAGAGCCCAGAGGTGACTTCGAAAGACGATTCACAGGCTGACAGCACAGCCAGGAGGGCACAGCCAACCAGGAGTGACCCCCGAGCACAGAGCCGGGAGTCAGCCCTGAGCACCACTGCGTGTGGCCCCCGAACCCAAACGAAACCAAAGCAGGCCAACGGTACTTCGAGTATTTCTATCGTAGACGAGTAGCCCAGAGCAGATGCGCATGCTCACCTGAGCCTCCGAAGGATGACCTGCACCATGGAGAGGAAGCAAATGACCAACACGAGCACGTAGAAGGGCAGCAGGGAGGACTGTGTCAGCCGCACGAAGAAGTCCTGGGACGGCGCCTGCAGGGCCTCCTGGCACAGGAGCCAGTTCATGGTGAAGTTCCTGCGGGGACAGAGTGGAGTTCCCTGAGCCCCGAGACGGGCAGCTGCGGCCACGCGCAACTCACAGGAGCAGGGGAGCACCCCCCTCCGCCCGCCCGATCCGGGAAAGGACACAGAGCTCCTCTCCAAGATCCACTCACTGCGAGCGGCCCCAGGGTACCTGAACTCACTGCTTTTTATTTATTTATTTTTTGTTTTTTGGGGTCACACCTGGCGATGCACAGGGGTTCCTCCTGGCTCTGCGCTCAGGAATTACCCCTGGCGGTGCTCAGGGGACCATATGGGATGCTGGGAATCGAACCCGGGTCGGCCGCGTGCGAGGCAAACGCCCTCCCCGCTGTGCTATGGCTCCAGCCCCAACTCGCTGCTTTTTAATATCAAGCCCCAAACAAACAAATCAGCTATTCTTGCTTTTAGCTTAGGGCCATTCCCACGTGCTCCTGGGCAATCCCGGCAGGCGGTGCTGGAACGGGAGGTGTAGGGGGCTAAGTCTACGGGCTCCTGCGTGCAGACACGTGCCCGGATGCCCAGCATCTCTCCAGCCCTGTTAATGGTCTCGGTTTCTGAGCCACACCTAGCTGGGCTCAGGGGACCCTGTGGGGTGCCAGGGATCGAACCAAAGTTGTCCTACGCCAGGCAGGTGTGCCACCCACTGGACTATTTCTCCAGTCCCTAGCTCCGTGTGTGTGTGTGTGTGTGTGTGTGTGTGATGCTGGGACATCCCAACACACGAGATTTATTATTCTATTTTATTTTGTTTGTTTTTGGGTTACTCTTGGCTCTGCACGCAGGAATCTCTCCTGGCAGTGCTCAGGGGACCATATGGGATGCTGGGAATCGAACTCTGGAAGGCCACATGCAAGGCAAACACCCTACCCACTGTGTTAACATTCCCGCCCCTCAATTTTTTTTTTTGAAGGGGGCTGCACCCAGCCGAGCTCAGAAGCTCCTCCTTGCTTAGGGGACCATGTAGTGTCACGCCTGTGGTCCCCCAAGTCAGCCAGGAGGACTCTTGGCACTTCCCTGCAGTGTCCGGAGAGGCTGAGCTGGGCACTGCACTGCAGGCCGGAGGCCAGGGTTCAAGCCCGGGCACCACCATGGTCCCACTAGCGCCACTGGGAGTGAGCCCTGAGCAGCGGAGCTGGGGGTAGCCCCTGAGCACCGCTGGGGGTGGGCCCCAAACCACAACCACAGCCAAAAGAAACAAAACAACACCCCCTCCCCAAATAAAAGACAAAACAGCCCCCAAACTGTTCTTGAATTTCCAAAGTCAGGCTGCGGGCCGGGGAGAGAGCTCCAGAGACCGCCATGCACACCTGCTCTCCACCGGGAGCCCCAGAGACACCTGCGCTGCCGGTGTGGCCCCGGCACTCTGCCCAGGTCAGCGTCTAGTACACGCTGCTTCCAACACGCCGCTCCAGACATGCTGAGACGCTGTGAAGCGAAAGGCCCTGGCAGCCCCCGAACGCCACCCACCTGCTGATCACTGCAGGCGGACCGGGGACCCCAACTCAATCTGGCTGCCGGGGGTCCCACTGCTCCTTACCAGGAAAGCTTCCTGCAAACCCCACGATGCTCTGGGGCCTGGGGATCTGGAGCACAGGAAGGACCTACAGGGACCGTGTCCACTGTGCACAGAGGGTTTTTGTTGAAGTTTTGGGGCCACAGCTGCCTCACTCAGGGCTCACTCCTGGCTCTGTACTACGGGTCACTCGTGAGGGTGTGGGGGAGATCCTGTGGGATGTTGGGGTTCCAACCCGGTTTGGCCGCGTGCAAGGCAAATGCCCCACCTCTGCACTATGGCCCTGGCACCTGCAGAGAGAGCTTCAGGATGATAAAAAGTAGCCACACTTCTCCCAGACGTGGCCGTCTCTGACGGCGCTGAGACTCACCTGGTCAGGTTCAGTCCGAACTTGACTTCCAGAAAGCGCAGCATGTGCCCATTCTCCTTGTGTGGCACGAAAGTCTGGAGGAGAAAGCCGCATGAGCAGGGAGGGACGGGCTGCCCAGCAGGCTGACCGCCACAGGCCACCCGCCACCTCCGCTGAGGTGGAGGCTGCAGCCTTCCCTGGCCCGAGCGACCCTTCTCCACACCTTTCACTCTTCCCGACTCGGCCCTTCTCTTGTTTCTTTACTCTCTCTGGCAGCCCTGGAGGTGCCTAGGGGTCAGCATGGGTGCCGGGGGCAGAGCCCGGGTCAGCCACGTACGGGCGAGTGCCCACCCTGCTGAACCGTCCTGCCCGCCTCAACTCGGTCTGACAGGACGTACTGCAAGTTGGGCACGGCAACTGAACCAGGAAAACGTCCTGATGACTTTTGGGGGGCCCTGCCTGGCTGTGCTCAAGGGCTGACTTCTGCGTCTGGGCTCAGGGCTGTCTCCTGCCTCTGGGCCCTGGGCTGATTCCTGGTGGGTTCGGGGACGCCATGCCAAGGACTGAACCCCGGCGACCCAGGTGCCCTACCCCTGTCCTATCTCTCTGGATCACTTTCCTCTGTGTTTACGTACGTATAGGTAATAATAAGAATCCTATTTACGGACAATACACAATCATCATTCAACTAAACATCTTACTGTATAAACCCTAGTAAGTCTATCTCGTTATCCAAAATTTTAGTCTAGGGGCTAAGGAGAAGGCTCCAAAGGCCCGGCTCTGTGTGGGCCCTGAGCACTGCACACGGAGTAGCCCCTGAGCCCTGCACACCCCCCCCCCCCCAGCACTACTCAATACTGCCACCAACCCAACACTAAACAAATACTTCAATCAAATGAACTAAGTAAAAGTCAACGTGCTCCTGCGGGCCTGTGCGATGGTCTGTGAATTCCCCAGGGTGGGGCCCCGGGGGGTGACTCTAGGGAGCAAAGGCTCCAAGCACTGCCAGAGCGACCACCAGCACAAAAACCAAAACTCGGAAATCAGCCAGTGAGGAAGTGGGGATGGGGTGGGGGGGAGGCAGGAAGATGGGCGGGCCCAGAGCCTGGGGGGCGGGAGGGAGAGAAACCGAGCCCCGCGCGGCCACTCACCTTCAGGAGGACGTGCACGGCCACCGTCAGGGCACACACCAGGTAGAAGTGGATCAGGCTCATGATCTTGGCGATGAATGTTCCTTTCTTCACATTCAGCTGGGGGCGGGGACGGGGCAGGGGAGGGCAGCGAATGGTCAGAGCAGCGAGGGGCAAGATGACAGACGAACCCCGACCAAAGTCACCCCAGGGGCCAGGGCGATGGTACAGCAGGGAGGACGCTGGCTGGCCTGGGTTCGATCCCTGGCACCCCTTACGGTCCCTGAGCACAGAGCCAGGAGTCAGCCCTGAGCACAGCTGGGTGTGGAGCCCAAAGAAAGAAAGAAAGAAACAAACAAACAAACGAAATTCACTCCAGAACAATTTAAAAAAATGCACATGGAGGGGAAGAGAAAGAGAGGGGGAAAGTTAAAAAAGAAAAAGTTAGAGAGAGGAGAGGGAGGGGGAGGGGGGAGAGAGAGAGGGAAGGGGAGAATGAGAAAGAGAGGGAGAGGGAGAGTGAGGAAGAGAGAGGGTGGGAGAGTGAGAGAGAGAGGCAGAGAGGGAGAGGGAGGAAGAAAGAAAAGAAGAGAGAGGGAGGGAGAGGAAGGGAGAGAGAGGCAGAGAGAAAGGATAGAGAGAGAGGGAGGGAGGGGGAGGGAGAGGAAGGGGGAGGGGGGAACACAGGCATTAAAGACACTTGCCCTGCGCAGGGCTGACCCTGGTTCAAATCCCGGGCGTCATACAGAGTCCCCCGGGCACTGCCAGGAGTGATTCCTGAGTGCAAAGCCGGGGGTGACCCTTCCACCCCACACTGCTCCTGGGCACGGCTGGGCGTGATCTCTGAGCGCAGCGGGGGGTGGCTCCCAAGCCAGACAGCAGCGACTCCAGAGAAGAGTCCGGTCACCTGAAGGCACTTGGCGAGCGTCAAGGCGGCCACGAGGCTCAGCAGGGGGGACACCAGCAGGGCTGAGTTCTCGAACTGCAGCAGGTAGCCCAGGAAGAGCGAGAACATGTAGATCTTGTACACGTCCTGGACCTGCGGGCGGGCGGGCGGGCGGGCGGCGGGGAGCGGGTCAGGCGAGGCTGCCGGGCCGGACGGGGGGCGCAGGGGCAACCCGGCGGGGGCGGGGGGGGGGTACCTTGTCGCTCTGGCGCAGGGAGGCGCTCTCGAGCAGGAAGAGCGAGACGGCCTGCAGGAACAGCAGGTAGTGGCTGTACTCCCACATGGCCATGAACGTGTAGGTGGACGCGCTCATCAGCAGGTAGCAGAACCTCTGTGAGAGCCGGGGACCAAGGTCAGCAGGGGCAGGGCCGTGCCTGGGCCCCCGGGGACCCCCGACTTGGAAAGGGCCGACACAATCTCTCTCCAGCGTGGGAGTCGGCCTCAGCAAGGGCGAGTCTCCGGGGCACAGGGCAGAGGGGAGGGCACCAGCCTTGCGCGCAGCCCACCCCGACACTCACAGGGGCCCCGAGCCCTCCCGGGGGTCACTCCTGCGTGCAGAGCCAGGAGGAAGCCGGGAGCGCTGCTGGGGTGCTCCCCACTGCCCCAAAAAAAAAAAAAAGGATGAGATCCTGGGGGCCAGAGACAGCACAGTGGGGAGGGGGTACCTGTCTCGCAGGAGGCGGATGGGGTTCAGTTCCCGGCCCCGGCAGGGTGATCCCTAAGCGCAAAGCCAGGACTGAGCCCTGAGCACTGCTGCGTGGTCCCACACTGAATCTCAATGTAGCGCTTTTAGAGTGGCACCACTCAGAGCTCAGTATCATACCGACGACTTCAGGGACAGGAGACGCAGGGAGGGGGGCCCCCCAGGAAGTAAGGAAGATGGGGACCCTGAGCAAGTTCTGAGCATCGCTGGGTGTGTCCCAAAGAGCAAACGAAAAACTACGTCTCGCATGCAGAGTACATCGGAACCGCGACGATGAGTGAGGCAGCACTGGCCCTTACCTCCCCGTAACTGTTTAAGCTGCTTTTCAAGTAGCCCGTCAGTGCGGCGACTTGGCACGCAAAATACGGCAGTGCCCAGTTTTCCCTCAGAGGAATGGAGTAATCGATTCTGGTGGTATCTACCCTACAACAGACCACAGACAGGGGCAGGACAGCCGGGCGTTACATTCAAACGCTCGCGTTTTCGAAACACTGACAAGGACTTTCCCCACGGTGCAGCAACAGAGAGAGGGTCGGGGGTGGCACCTGCCCCGCGCGTGACTGACCCTGGCTCGCTCCTCTGAGCACTGGGCGCGGCCCCGGAACAATCCAGGGAGAAACGCTGTGAGTGACACAGAGATCACGGCCGGGGCACCACGAGGGCCCCGGAGACTTTGAGGTTACCAGCACGCCTGGATCTTGTTCCAGAAACAGTTCGAGAAACAGCAGCAAGCTTGTAAAGCCCCGTAAGCGAGGGGCCGGGAGACAGCCCAGTGGCCTGCGTGCGTGCGTGCGTGCGAGCTTCCCATTGGGGGGTTAGGGTCCCAGACCCCAGCACACGCACTTCAGGCGACAGCCAGGAGCAACACAGAGCACCAAGCTGGGAGCAGTCCCGAGCATCGCCAGCTAGGGCCCCCAAACCAAATAAATTTCACAGGCGAGGGGCCAGAGTGGGAGCACAGTGGGCAGCGCACTTGCCCTGCTCGTAGTTGATCCAGGTTCCATCCCTGGCACCCCATGTGGTGCCCTGAGGCCGCCAGGAGGGATCCCTGAGCACAGAGCCAGGAGGAATCCCTGAGCACGCCGAAACCACAAAACAAGACAACTCACGGGCTGGAGAAATAGCACAGAAGTAAGGCACTTGCCGGCAGGTGGCTGACCACAGGCTGACCACTGGTGCCCCGAGCACTGCCAGGAGTGAGCAAGGAGCAGAGCCGGGAACTGCTGCTGAGTGCCCCAGATATGGCTCAAATATGGCTCAAACCCCACCCACAAATAATAAAAATGGGAAAATGGAGGTCTACATGTTTTAGAAAATTCACCAAGGGGCCAGAGCAGGCTAGCACAGCGGGGAGGGCGTTTGTCTTGCACACGGCCGACCCGGGTTCGATCCCCATCATCCCATAGGGTCCCCTGAGCACCACCAAGACTTAATTCCTGAGTGCAGAGCCAGGAGGAACCCTGAGTATGGCTGGGTGGGACCCAAAGAGCTTAAAAAAAAAAACAAAACACCAAATTCTTAAAATATCCGCGGATTTTACTGTTTATGAATTATTGCTCAATGGAAATATCAAGAAATATCCCCAAAAGTACACTAGATGAAAGGAGTGATCCCTGAGCACAGAGTCAGGAGTCAGCCCCGAGCACTGCTGGTTGTGGCTGAAAAATGAGAGCGAGAGTGAGAGTGAGAGAGAGAATGAGGGAAGAGGGAGAGAAAGAGCGAGAGGAAGAGAGCGAGCGAGAGAGGAGAGCAAGAGAGAGAGAGAGAGAGAGGGATTCATGTCACAGGTCACCCACCTCCCCCACAGCTAAGTGGAGTGAAATCTTGACCCGTTATTGAGGCTGCAGGCACCGGGGCCCAGCGCATGGACCCTGCAGGTCTCCGCTCACAAAGGGCTGGACGGACAGTGGCACGGGGAGGGGCTTTCCCTGCACAGCCCATCCCGGTACCCACATGAGCCCCCGAGTCCCACCAGGAGTGATCCCTGAGCACTGCAAGGTGTGGCACAAAACATAAAACCACCCTCCCACTTCCCCCACCCAGGAAACGGCCCTGAGACCCAACCCCGGTGGGCTCCTGGCAGCTCCCTGTGACCCCGGAGCCACGGGCACGTGGGCACTGGTGACCCGCAGTGGGCTCCACAGCCAAGAAGGGGCCCAAGTGCCCCTGACCACCTTGGGCACAGGTCACAGCGGAGGCCGGTGAGCCCGCAGAGGCCACGGTCAGGCGGCCTCAAAGCCAGCTCAAGGGGCGGGGCGGGGTGGAGGGAGGCTCCAGAGGCAGGCGGCGGGGAGGGGAGGGCGCTGGCCCGGCATGCGGCCCTTCAGGTTTGGGCCCCAGAGCCCGCCAGGAGTGACCCGAGTACAGAGCCGGGGAGCCCCGAGCACCACCGCTGGGTGTGGCCCCAAACATACTGGCACAGGGCACAGAGAGAGGGAGAGAGGGAGAGAGGGAGAGAGGGAGAGAAGGAGAGAAGGAGAGAAGGAGAGAGGGCGAGCCCTCTGGGGACAGCCTCCCCTCCCCACAGCCCCATCCCAGTAGCCGGGCCTTCCTCTTCCTCCCACTGTCAGACAGACAGACAGACAGACAGGCAGGCAGGCAGGCAGGCAGGCTCACACAGGGTCATACACAGGGCTGTGTTCTGCCTCCACCACACCTCTCGTGCTCGGCTGCTTCTGTGCCTGCCTGTGCCACTGGGGGAAGCCCGTGTCCTGAGCACACCCCTCTAACCTCCCGGCCCCCTCTCCCCTCACCCCTCTCCGGATAAGTTTCAGTAACAATGACTGGGCTTCACAGCACAAAGACCAAACCACGCACTCTCCCGCACCCACCCACCATCACACCAGAGAAAGGTTCCACAGGACAGACCGGGCTCAGCTGAGGGCGAGCTCGCCCCAACAGGGCTGTCCCCCGCACCCCACGCGTCCTCCCTGCCTCACCCCTGTCTGGGCCGGGGCAGGTGGGGCAGTGCCCAGGGCCAGGCCCAGAGCAACACTCAGGCCCCAGCAGTCTAGGCTCTTCCCACCCATTTTCTTTTTTTCCAGAGAGAGAGAGAGAGAGCCGGGCTTCGGCTGGCGGGCGTGGGGCATGCGTGGCCTCTCGCAGCTGCTGTGCGTCCCGGCTTCCGGGATAGTGGGTTTTGGCCCCCGAGCCTGTACGTGCCTGACGCAGCTCCCCGTGCTGGGCCCCTAGGTCCCCTTTCCCCTTCTCTGGCCGAGACATGGGGGTGGCGGGGGAGCACTGCAGGACCGAGCCCGCCTCACCTGTTGATGATGAACCAGGCGACCGTGAGCATCCCCGCCAGCCACGTGCCGCTCAGGAGCCAGCTGGTGACAAACAGGGCCGTCACGTAGATCCCCTGCAGGCCGAACACGATGCCGATGTAGAAGTACACGGGCTCCACCACCTCCTGGGGAGAGAAAGAGACAGAGAGACGGACAGGCGGCGTCGGCGCCGCAGGCTCCCGGGGGGCGGGCGGGCGGGGGCACCTACGCTGCTGCCCGTGGCCTGGTAGAGCGCGCTGGCGATGAGCTCGGGGTACAGGGACAGCTGCTGCATGGCGTTGATGGTCTTCAGGGACACGGTCCGGTTGTTGTGCATCAGCTCATACACGCCTGGAGACAGACGCGGGCCTCAGGGCTGCTGCCCACGCGGAGGGACGGCGCGGAGCCGGAACGCGGACCCCCGCCAGCGGGCCCGTCGGCAGCTTCGTACCTCTCTCGAAGGACGGCGCCTTCACCAGGTCCTTGTAGTAGGAATAGTAGACGGCGCTGTCGCCCTGGAAGGTGACCTCCCGCTCCAGGTCCTGGGGGAGGGACGCCAGGCTCACCAGCCGGCCCCGGCTCAGCCGCGACCCTCCCGCCTCACCCACATGGCGCGCGTCAGGTAACGGAAACCTATTCCAGAGTTGATTTGGTCAGACGTGGACGGGACGGGGGTAGAGAGAGCATCTGCCTCCCGTGCGTCTGACCCAGCTTCGATCCCGGCACAAAACATGGTCCCCCAAGCACTGCCAGGAGTGACCCCCAAGCAGAGTCAGGAGTGATCCCCGAGCACCGCTAGGAGTGACCCCTGAGCAGTCAGGGGTGATCCCTAAGCAGAGTCAGGAAGTGATCCCTGAGCACCATCAGGAGTGATCCCTGAGCACTGCCAAGCGTGATCCCTGAGCACCGCCAGGAGTGATCCCCGAGCACCGCCAGGAGTGATCTCTGAGCAGTCAGGAGTGATCCCTGAGCACCACCAGGAGTGATCCCTAAGCACTGCCAAGCGTGATCCCTGAGCACCGCCAGGAGTGATCCCTGAGCAGTCAGGAGTGATCCCTGAGCACCACCAGGAGTGTTCCCCGAGCACCGCCAGGAGTGATCCCTGAGCACCACCAGGAGTGTTCCCCGAGCACCGCCAGGAGTGATCCCTGAGCACCGCCAGGAGTGATCCCTGAGCAGTCAGGAGTGATCCCCGAGCACCGCCAGGAGTGATCCCCGAGCAGACTCAGGAGTCAGCCCTGAACACTGCTGGGTACGACCCCCAACAACAGCAAAAAAAAAAAATTACTTTAACTTAAAAAAGAAAAAAAAGAGCAAGATGACACTGGAGAGAGAACACAGCCGGGAGGGCATTTGCCTCTCACATAGCCACCCGTGCGAGGAGTGATCCCTGAGCACAGAGCCAAGAATCATCAGCCCTGAGCACTGCCGGGCGTGCTACTTGCCCCCATCAAAAAAAAAAAGCTGTCAGAAAAGCATCTGTAAGGGTCGAAGCAACAGTGCAGCACCAAGGGCGCTTCCCGGGGAGCCCACAGGAACCCCCGACCGTATCTTGTGAGTACCCTCAGGAAAACTGGCCGACCAAACTCACAGACATGAAAGCGTCACGCGTGGTGGAGACACTCCCCCGCCCCCCGCCCCCTCCTACAGGGCGGCTGCGCTCCCGGCGCGTTCCCGCCGTGCAGCGAAAGCCCAGGCAGAGTGTCCCGCAGAAGCCCGGAGACAAGGCCCTGGGGCCGCGGTGAAGGGTCGGGCCGCTCCCCCGGGTCGGGGCTCTCCGCTCACCTGCCGGTTGGAGAACCAGAACTTGCGCTCGTGGTAGGCGGACAGGTACAGCGCGTACATCATGCCGCTCGTGACGGCGGCCAGGCAGCCGATGAGGATCTTGGTGAAGCGTTGGAACAGCACGTCTGCAAAGGCACAGGGAGCCGGGCCCGTGGGGATGGACGCGGGGCCCGCGCGGGACACAGCTCAGGTGCCAGGACGCAGGTGGGCCCCAATGCGGGCCCGGAGCGAGTCCCGAGCACAGAGGTGCGCCGAGCAGGGCTGGGCGCCACGGGACCACCCCCGGGCTCCTGCGGCTCTGCAGAGCGTCCTGCCAACGGAACAACCTCACTCGGGAGAGCCAGAGAACCGTGGCAGGACCGAGGGGCCTCCCGGGGGAGTCGTCTCCCCAGCCACAGCCACTGCCCGCACTTTCCTTTGTGCCAGGACCGGGAAGAAGGCTCTGTGAGGGGGGCACATGGACCCTCGGCCACGGACCAGGACAGCCCCGAGCACTGTGCCGCTGGCCGGGCTGCACCCACCCCGACGGGACGATAAAACAGAGCGACTTCTGACAGGCCAGCGCCAGGAGTTTTGGGTTCTCTCTCGCGCTTCCTCTCACCGTCAGCTGCAGTCAGCCCAATTCTGGTTCGGCTTCATTTTGTTTATCTGTCCACTACAGATGGTGACCAAGGCTCTCGTGGTGCCTGTTTAGCTGCCCTCGTTGCCTAATAAAAATCGCAACTAAGGGGCTGGAGCAACAGTACAGCGGGGAGGGCGTTTGCCTTGCACGCGGCCGACCCGGGTTCGATCCCCAGCATCCCATAGGGTCCCCCGAGCACCACCAGGAGTGATTCCTGACTGCAGAGCCAGGAGGAACCCCTGTGCATGGCTGGGTGTGACCTGAAAAGCCAAAAAAAAAAAAAACCCCAAAATAAAATGGCAACTAATAGGACAGCCGGGGGGTGGGGGTGGCCTGCCTTGCACAAGGCCAATCCGGGCATCTCATCTGGTCTCGAGCCAGGAGCAACCCCTGAGCGCTGACCCCTTCCCAGCCCAGCCCTGCGGCTCTCTGCCCTCCTGGCTCCGGGAAAGAGCCCAGTCGGGGGCGTCTCCTCCACCCAGAAACGAGGTGCCCAAGCAGTAGCCCCGCAAGCGGCCAGCCAGGGACAGACATGGACGCTGGCCGGGACCTTCCCGCGCCCGGGACTCACGCTTGGGTGCTCTGTCGGCCGGGGCGCTCTCCTCCTTGGTGGCGTCCTTCTGCTCTGGAGGCTTGGGCTTCTTCCTCTGGCGCAGCTCACCAGCTGGTCCTTCAGAGACTGCAGACACGATTGCAAGGCGTGTATCCAACTGCCGCCCCTGCCGTCCCCACACTGTCGGGGACTAGCACCCCCGCCCTCCCACGCGTCAGGCCGTCACTGTGTCCCCACCCTGCCCCCACACAGCTCTGCTTTCAGAGTCCTACTGCAACCCCACGGGCAGATTTCAAAACACCCCACAGAAGGGCCGAGGCAAGAGCACAGCAGGGAGGGCACCGGCCTTGCACGACCCCGGTCCCATCCCCAGCATCCCATATGGTCCGCCAAGCACTGCCAGGAGTGACCCCCTGAGTGCAGAGCCAGGAGTAAGCCCTGAGCACTGCCGGGTGTGACCCCCAAACCAAACGAACAAAAATAACAAAATATGCCCCGAGAAGGTCAGTTCTGAGGCTGGAGAGAAAGCACCGCAGGTGGGGCGCCTGCCCTGCACGTGGTCAACTCGGGCTAGTTCCCCAGTGTTCCGTACGGTCCTCCGAGCACACCGAGAATGATCTCTGAGCACAGAGCCAGGAGCGGGCCCTCGGCACAGCTGGGCATGGCAACATAAATAAATAAATCAAGTAGAATACAAAAAAAGTGTTAGAAAATCGATGGGCTGGAGAAGCATATCACGAGGTAGATGCTTGCCTTAAACGTGACCAACCACCATCAAAATCCCTGGCACCCCAGAACTTCCAAGGGGCGCACCCAGGCAGAGCCAGAAAGGGCACCTGAGCAACACCAGGCCAAAAAAAAAAAACCAACTTAAGAAATAGACTGAACCTATAAATATCTACCATGCGGACAGTTTTCAGAAAACATCCCATTATTAGTCTAACTACGCTGTCTTGCCAAATAGAAGATACAAATAGGAAGTACCTCCAAATTAGCTAACTAAATTCCAAATTAGACTTTACCATATTAAACCTGCTTACTTTTCCTCCCAAGAACTAGCTTGTGGCTTAGCTCACGACCGCCAGTGGGAACAGAGTCCTGCCGAGCCCATAAGGCAGCGGTGAGCACAGCAGCTAAGACCTTGTACGTCTGACCCCCAGACCCCGTGGGGTCTCCAAAGTCCCGCCAGGAACGATTCCCGAGCACACATTCAGGAGCTTCCCCAGGACCACCACTGGCTGTGGTCCCAAAAGCAAAAATTTTGCAGAGATTCCCAAATAAATTTATGAGGCATACGAATCTTGTCAGATCTCTCGAGAACCTTTTTAGCAACAATCAGAGGCCATACATATTAAAATCTACGAAGGAGCTAGGATTTTTTTGATTCTCAAAAGCAAGTATCAGTATTCCGTGCGGGGGGGGTGGGGTCTTGGGTCTCACCTGGCAGTGCTCAGGGGCCCTTAGGTGATGCCAGGGGGAGCCTTAACGGGCCAAGGCAGTGCGTAACCATTGTCTCTCTGGCCCTATTTGTCCTGTCACTTCGGAAATGAAAGATGAGCCCAGGAATCCCTCGTGGAGATGCAGTGAAGGCCACGGCACTCCGCCAAGGAGATCCTGACTTCAGAGGGACAATTCTGGGAGAGGACTAAAGTGTCTTTTGGCTATCTTTTTAAGACGGTAAAGAAAAAAATCAAACTATGGAAAGTGGTAAGGAAGCTGCACAGTCCCCTGCTGCTCCTGCCCGGGGCCACAGGGCGCCACTAACAGGCGGGATCAGCCCCTTGGTATGCAACAGAGCCCAGGCGCAGGGTGCATTCCTGGCCCCAACACCGCTGGCAGGAAGCATCGAAATAAACACCCAACCCTCCCTGCATCGGGGAAGACGGTGCTGGGAGAGGGGTCCCGGGAAGCAAGAGGCAGGGTGAGAGGGGTCAGTGCAGAGGACAGAGGGAACACCTCCCAAGTGACCTCCCACCTGGTTCAATGAAGTAACAACAAGATAAGGTGTTGGGACAAGTTCAGTGTCCAGTAAACGTGACCAGTCAGATAATGCCCGATCACAGGAATGACTGTTATATTTACCAGTGCTATATTATTACAGTAAGAATATAATTATTCGGGGGTTGGAGCGATAGCACAGCGGGTAGGGCGTTTGCCTTGCACGCAGCCAACATGGCCAACACAGGTTCGATTCCCAGCATCCCATAGGGTCCCCCGAGCACCGCCAGGAGGGATTCCTGAGTGCATGAGCCAGGAGTAATCCCTGAGCATCGCCGGGTGTGACCCAAAGAGCAAAAAATAATAATAATAATAATTATTCACTATCAAAAAATATATAAGAATATAATTATTCGAGGGCTAGAGCGATAGCACAGCGGTAGGACGTTTGCCTTGCACGCAGCCAACATGGCCGACCCGAGTTCGATTCCTCCGTCCCTCTCGGAGAGCCCGGCAAGCTACCGAGAGTATCTCGCCCGCACGGAAGAGCCTGGCAAGCTACCCGTGACATATTCGATATGCCAAACACAGTAACAATTGTCACAATGGAGACGTTACTGGGCCCGCTCGAACAAATCGATGATCAACGGGAGGGCCTTTACCTTTTCACTATCAATCACCCATCATTAATAATTATTCCATTATCAATCGTGGAACGATGACTAATGATAGTAGACATCAATATTTGTGAAATTAAATACTGGGTTGAGTGCCGGAAAGCTCGTACAGCGAGTGAGACACTTGCTTTGCACGTAGCCAACCAAAGCTGATCTCCCAGCACCTTTTCTGGGTCCCTGAACCCCACCAGGTGTGGTGAGTGCAGAGTGGAGTAAGCCCCCGAGCAGCTGCCAGGTGTGGCCCCTAAGGGAAACTCCAGGGGGCTTTAGGGGCTGGAGAGACAAGCCAGCAGGTCAGGCACTTGCCTTGTTGTATGCAGCTGGGCCGGGTTGTATCTCTGGCACCCCAGATGGTCCCCTAGGCCCGTCTGAGAACAGAGCCAGGAGGAGGCTCTGAGCACAGCACCCCCCCCCTCAAAAAAAAAACCCAGCAACTACATTTTGACAAAACTGTCAAGACTGTTCCACATAGATGCCTTTCACTGCTCTTGGATTATCTGTGGTCTGACAACTAAAAGTCATTTTCAATTTTGCATCACAGAAGTCAGTGTTACAAAACCGTGGCTCTTCCACATGTTCGACATCTGTACCGGGGAACGACACAGTGACTCAGGCCAAAGTCCCGGGCGAGGGGACCCGGGGCTGGGGGTGCCTAGCACACAGGGGCCAGGATCAGCCCCCAAGCACCTGGAGACCACCGCGACTGGCTCCCCGCCAAATAAAAAGAATTTCTCTCCCACAGCTGGCACTTCAGGACTGACATCCCTGCAAGCACACAGACCCTCAGAGCACGCGAGCTAGTTTTATCCATTACGTCCCCAGAGAGCGGCCACCGGTCGGATGGGGAGGTGGGAAACCGATCAATGTCCTAGACACTGGACAGGACAGCGGGCAGGACGCATGCCTTGCACGTGGCCACCATGTGGTCCCTCGGCACTGCCAGTAGAGATTCCTGAGCACAGAGCCAGGAGTTAAGGGGGAGCATCGCTGGGTGTGGGCCCTAAACAAACAAACCCATCCTACCCCGTTGCTACCCAAGGTAACACCAAAGCAGCAACGGGAAACACGCGGCAGCTGGCTGCTTTCTGCTCTGGTTCTGTTGGCGGGGGTGCTGCTCTGCGGTGCTGGGGGGCCACTGCGGCGGCCTGGGTCAGTGCCCCGGACCACAAGCTGACACTGGCAACGGCCTAGGGACCGGTTCCAAGGGCTGGGACACCGGGCCGGTCCCACCGGCCTGGGCAGCCGCCACCCAGCCCACTTGCCCACAAACTCTCCAGCCAGTGCCCCGCTGAGGCCTGAGTGGTCAGCCAGAGTCCAGGCCTGAGTGGTCAGCCAGAGTCCAGCGGGCCGGGGGTCGCTGGCCCAGGGCGGGCCAGCCTGCCAGTCTCTCTGGCACCTGCAGGGGCGCCCCCGAACCCCGCTGTTGCCCACGAGCCTCCGAGACCCCGACTTTGCACCGCCTCCCCGCACCCACCGGCCCTACCCCTCCTCTACCGCTCCTGGCGGTCACCCTCAATCGCCCCGGCCCCCCTGCAAGCCCCCGGCTCCCCGCACGACCCCAGACTCCCTGCTCGCCCCCAACCCCCTGCTCGCCCCGACACCCGTGCTCACCCCGGGCCCCTGCACCCCCCTGCACGCCCTGACAACCCCCTGCCCCGGCCTGCAAGCCCCTGGCACCCCGCACGACCCCAGACTCCCTGCACGTCCCCACCCCCCTGCTCGCCCCGACACCCGTGCTCACCCCGGGCCCCTGCAGGACCCCCGAACTCCCTGCACCCCCCTGCACGCCCTGACACCCCCCCACCCCGCACACCCCGACGCCCCCCCCCCCCGACTCCCTGCACCCCCCTGCACGCCCCGGCCCCCTGCTCGCCCCCGGACTCCCTGCTCGCCCCCAGCCCCCTACACCCCCCTGCACGCCCCCCGGACTCCCTGCACCCCCCCCTACTCGCCCCTAACCCCCTGCTCGCCCCCAGCCCCCTACACCCCCCTGCACGCCCTGCACGCCCCGGGCCCCTGCACGCCCCGACTCCCCTTGCACGCCCCCCGCTTCGGGGCCCGAGCGGCGCCCGCGGGAGGGGAACCAGGCCCCGCGGCTCCGACCCACCCGCCAGCGCAGCGAGCCGAGGGGGCAAGACGGCCCGGGCGGCGGGGGCTGCAGCCCCTCCGAGACCCGGCGCCACAGCAGCCCCCGCCCCGAACCGCGCCCCCGCCAGGACACGGCCCGCGCCGCCCCGCGACCCACCTGCGCCCGCCGCGCGCCCGCGCCCGCCCGAGGCCTCGGCGCCCCCCGCGCCCCCGCAGCTCCGCCCCGCGGCCTCGGGCGGCAGCGGGGCCCGCGCGCCGGCTCCGTCCGCCGCCGCCGCCATCCTCGCCCGGCCTCGCCGCCCCCGGCCGCCGCCCCCGCTTCCTGGCCCGCCCCCGCGCCCGCCGCCGCCGCCCGGAGGCCGGAACCCAGCGCGCGCGGCCGGCGGGCGCGGCCGGAGCGTCTGGCGGGAGCACCCGCGTCTGCGCCTGCGCCCGCGCCCGCGCCGGCGGGAAGGCGCCTCTCCGGCCCCGCCCACCCCTCTCGGCCCCGCCCCCACCGCACGCCCACGCCCGCCGAGGCCACACCCACGGCCAGCCCAGGAACGCGCCGGCAGGCCCCGCCCCGGCCGGCCGGCCCCGCCCACTCCCTCTCTGGCCCCGCCCCCGGAAGGCCGACCACGCCCACAAAGACCACACCCCCCCACCCCCGACCAGCCACGCCACGCCCGGCCAGGGGAAGACGCCCAGCCCAGGAACGCGCCGGCAGGCCCCGCCCCCGTCCCTCTTGGCCCCGCCCACTCCCGGCCCCGCCCCTGCATCCGGGCGGAGCGGCGGCGCCGGGTCCAGCTCGCACCTGGCCAGGAAGGCCCGCGCCTTCTGCACCTGCAGGGGGGATCCCCCGGGGTTTGGCGCGACCCTTGCGATGGGACCACCCAGCGTCACGATCTCGCATCCTCCGCGGTCCCTTTCTCTTTCCTCTTCTTTTTTTTTTTTTTCTTCGCCTTACTCTTGGTGGAAAAATAACCCTGCCAGGTGTAGACCCTGAGCACAGAACCAGGTGTAGACCCTGAGCACCTCGAAGCGTGACCAAATAAATAAATAGAGGGAAAAAAGGGGGGGCTGGAGCGATAGCACAGCGGGTAGGGCGTTTGCCTTGCACGCGGCCGACCCGGGTTCGATTCCCAGCATCCCATAGGGTCCCCTGAGCACCGCCAGGAGTAACTCCTGAGTGCAGAGCCAGGAGGAACCCCTGTGCATCGCTGGGTGTGACCCAAAAAAGCAAAAAAAAAAAAAGGGTAACAGATCTGAGCTGGAGTGATAGCACATAGCACAGCGGTTAGGGCGTTTGCCTTGCACGCGGCCGACCCGGGTTCGATTCCCAGCATCCCATAGGGTCCCCTGAGCACCGCCAGGGGTGATTCTTGACTGCAGAGCCAGGAGTAACCCCTGTGCATCGCCGGGTGTGACCCAAAAAGAAAAAAAAAAAGGGGGAAAAAAGGCTTTGGTTTTCAGGCTGCGTTCACTGAGGTTGGAGGTACTTGTAGCCTGAAGTTGGGACTCACTCCGGGCAGTGCCTGGGGACCCTTTGGTGTCACCAAGCTATAGCACGCGGGGGCTTCACCCCTCCTCCACAGACCCTCAGTTTGGAGCTTGCAAAAAACGATGAACTAGTAGAGAAAGTCACTGGTAAAGAAAGATGTCCCCTAATACCCAATAGCAGAGTGGTCAAAAGCGTAGCTGTGAAATGGCTTAATGGGACCAAGAAAAGCTCTGGGCGGGTTCTTTGGTCTGTTACTAACCTGCATTTGGAAGCTAATGTATTCACTTACTCCAAAATAGTTGTTTTGGGTTTCTTTGTGGGGGGGAGGGTAGGGGACTCAGTCCGCTGTGCCCAGGGACTGTTCCTGGCTCTGTGCTCAGGGCTGACCTCTGGTGGCGCTTGGATGTGGTGATCCCTGAGCTCTGAGTTCCACTGAGAGTGGCTCGCAACAGACTTTTCAGGGCTGGAAGGTGTGCTTTGTATTTGGGGGTCCTGTGGTCCCTGAAGGCGGGATGTGGGAGTAGGTGCTGGGCCCCACTGGGTATGGAACCCCAAAGGAACAAGAATTCAGACTCCAAATCTGTGCTTGAATGTGAAACCTACCCCATCAACAATGAGACTAATACTGTCCATTTTGGGGGGCTGGAGCAATAGGACAGTGGGGAGGGTGTCTGCCTTGCACACGGCCGAACCAGGTTCAATTCCCAGCACCCCACATGGTCCCCCGAGCATTGCCAGGAGTAATTCCTGAGTGCAGAGCCAGGAGGAACCCCTGATCGCCGGGTATGACCCCCCCCCCCCAAAAAACCTATCAATTTTTTAAATGTCACAAATAAGGGGGAAAAACACAAAATCTGGGGGTCAGAGAGAGTACACCTGACTGACACCTGACTTGTACCCTACCTGGGACCCCTCCTCCATCCCCTCCAACATAGGACTCCCCGACCCTTCCAAGAGTGATTTCTGAGCACTGAGCCAGTAATAAGCCCTGAGCATAGCCAGGTAGACCCAGTTCCCCTCCCCAAACAGTATAAACCATGTCTTGCTATTTAGAAAATTTATTAAAATTCTTGGGACCTGGTGGTAGAGCTTTTTAACACACACACACACACACACACACACACACACACACACACACACAGAAATCGCATACTAAAAACAAACAAACAAACAACAACATCCATTCTGGAGTGACACAAAGCAGAATCTGGCCTAATGCGGTGTTCAGGGGCCAGACCTGGCTGACTCGGGAGTGACCCCTCGTGGCGCAGGGCTGCCAGGGATGGAACTGGGGACTGTCCCTAGCAGGGCAAGTGCCTCATCCCCACCTTCCCGGCAGTCCCAGCACCATTTCCCTGCCCAGGCTTCTGTTTCCCAGGCTACACAGGAGAGAGCAGTGAGGGCTGACAGGCGGTCAGTTAAGACCCACTTCCTCAGGGCAACACGCGCCAGCGCGGGCCACAGGCTGTGTGCCTTGGCTGCATCTGCCCACAGGACCACCCACCTGCCCCACAAAGGGTCCAGCAGGAACTGCACAGAAATGACTGTAGCACTATAGTACTGTCCCGTTGTTCCTCGATTTGCTTGAACAGGCACCAGTAACGACGTCTCCACGTCGTTTGTTACTGTTTTTTGGCATATCGAATACGTCCTGGGTAGCTTGCCAGGCCTTGCTGTGAGGGTGGGATACTCTCGGTAGCTTGCTGGGCTCTCCGAGAGGGACAGAGGAATTGGCCGCGTGCAAGGCAAAATGGCCTACCCACTGTGCTGTCGCTCCAATCCATTGAAATGACATTTTTTTCCTTAAATTATATGTGTATCTATATATACATTTTTGTCACAGCCAGCGATGCTCAGGGCTTACTCCTGGCTGCTTGGGGGACCGTATGGGATACTGGAGATTGAACCCAGGTTGGCCGCATGCAAGGCAAACGCCCTCCCCGCAGTACAATCATTCCGGTCCCTGAAATAATATTTTTAAAACTGGCCTGAATTTGTTCGAGTGGCAGGGACGGAACTGGCTCTCATCCTTAGTGTCCACGCTGCTGGCACAGGAGCTGCCCTGTAAAACGTAGGGCACACGCTTGCCTTGTACACAGCCTGCCTGGGGCTCCAGCCCTGGCACCACACAGGGATCCCCAGGCCCTGCCAGAGGAAGCCCTGAGCATTGCTGGATGTGGCTCCAGAATCAGAAGTAAAATAAAAACAGGGATTCAAGGGGGCACGGGGGACTCAGCCAACCCTGGGTTTGACCTGTTTCCACCTCTGGTCAGGACTGATCCCGCAGTGCAGAGCCACAAGGGAGCCTACGGGGGCAGGTTAGGGGGTGCGTGGGTTTGGGGACATTGGTCAGGGGAAGGTCACTCCAGGGGCGGAATTGGTGCTGGTACATTGAATGCCCGAATCTGGTAAGCCATGGTGTCTACTATATTTTTTAAAAATTTGTGTGCCGAAGATCTAACGCAATGGGCATTCGCCTTACACGTGGCCGACCCAGGTTTGATCCCCGGCATCCCATATGGTCCCCCAAGCACCCCCAGGGGTAATTCCTGCGTGCAGAGTCAGGAGTAACCCCAGGGTACTGCCAGCTGTGACTCAAAAAAAACAAAAAAAAACACACCACTTTGTTTTTGGGTCACATTTGGTAGTGCTCAAGACTTTAATTCTGTTTGTGCTCAGGAATCATACTCCTGGCAGGCTCAGCGGAACACATGGGGTGCCAGGGATGGAACCCAGGTTGGCTGCATGTAAGGCAAATGCCCTATCTGCTGCACCATTGCTCCAGCCCCAAACTTAAACATAAAAAAAAAAAAATTAAAAAAAAAAAGCCTTGAGTACTGCCAGATAAGGCACAAAGCAGCAACAGAAAACCAGCTCAAAGTTGGGGTCAAACCCAGCCTTGCTTCCTAACTGTCTGGCTCTGATCCACTCTTTGGGATGCTGATCATAATACCCGGTGGGCCCAGTGTCCACTCGGGCAGGCATCGAGCCTTCCCAAGGCCCATCCTAGTGGCCGGCCGCAGCTGAGAACCTGCTCCAACAGAAACAGGCTGGATACCAGCAAGACAGGTGAAGGGCTGGTACCAGATTCAACACTGGCACTCACAGCAGCCTAGAAGGCAGTGAGGGTCTTGGCTCTCTCCAAGTTTGAGTTCAGAATTCAGCCTGCGTGGGTCTGGCTCCTCAGAAATTGTTCCACCTTGGAAGAGAACCGATGTTGGAGAACCCAGTGCCAGCCCAGACGAAAATAACCGGAAGCAAGTATGCAGGATTGAGAACTACCAAAATTTGACAACGTCGTTTTGTGTCTGAAACCCAAAGTGGGTTTCAGATCACCCAGAAAGGGGCTGAGATTGTACCCCCGAGTCCCTTGCTTGCCCCAAAACACTGTCAATGATTTGTAATCAGGGAGCGAATCATAAGTGCATTCATCAGGTGTTGCTTTTGTAAACACTTAAAAAACGAAACTGGGGGCTGGAGCGATAGCACAGCGGGTAGGGTGTTTGCCTTGCACGCGGCCGACCCGGGTTCGATTCCCAGCATCCCATATGGTCCCCCGACCACCGCCAGGAGTGATTCCTGAGTGCATGAGCCAGGAATAACCCCTGTGCATTGCCAGGTGTGACCCAAAAAGCAAAAAAAAAAAAAGGGGCTGGAGTGATAGCACAACGGGTAGGGCGTTTGCCTTGCACACAGCCAACATGGCCGACACGGGTTCGATTCCCAGCATCCCATATGGTCCCCCGAGCACCGCCAGGAGTGATTCCTGAGTGCATGAGCCAGGAATAACCCCTGAGCATCACTGGGTTGTGATCCCACCCCCCCCAAAAAAAGCAAAACTGGAGTTAGTGTGATGGTACAACAGGCAGGATGTTCGCCTGGCACACGGCCCACCTGTGTTTGCTCTCCGGCATCCCATATGGTCCCCTGAGCGTATCAGGAGTGATCCCCGAGCACCACTGGGGAATGTCCAGGAAACAAAATAAAAACCAAAACAAAAAAAAAAAAACTGTTCAGAGGGCGTATCCACCCCCTGACCGTTCCCATGATTCTAATAACACAGAAGCATCCAACCTCTGAGATTCAACAGCGAGTTTTATTATCAAATGTAACAATTCTACAAAAACTCAGTAGTATTGTAGCATCGCTGCCTAGCTTCAAGTCTTGAGAGTCTGGCAGGCAGTACCTTAAGGCATCAAGTATCGACAACTTGGTCTCAGATCTTAAGTGCCAATCTTCACTAATTTTTTTTTTTTTACACAGAATGGTTCTTTTCCCGCTGCAGATGAAGGGCCCTGGGTGCGGTGGTACAGGGGGGTTGCCTCTCCATCCAGGCTGTTAAGCAAAGCAAGGCAAAGGGAGGAGTAGAACGAGCCACAGCGACCGGCACGGCACCGCAGCCAGGCCCCAGGCGATTTGGAACGTAAAGAAACGTGGGCACGTACTGACACCCTTCCCTCTGTGACACGGGGCAGCAGGAAGAGCTGGTGTCTAATATTGCACTTCTGAGCGTGAACGCGGGCAAAGGGCCACGTCGTCGGCGCTTCCTGCCCGACAGCCACCTACGCCTCCCAGCGTCCCTGTGTGACGGGTAAGGCATCAGAGAGAGGATTAAGGCTACCTGAATATATACAAGTGTTCATTTCCGTTAGCATATTGCTCGCTGAATACACGGAAGAGTCTCATTTTGGTGAAGGTCCACGTCGGTGGGATTCCTCGCACCGAAATCAAAACCGTCGCTCAAGGGGGAAATACAACGTGAAATAATACCTCCGAAGTCCCAATCTACTGTCACGACTCCAATGGGAAATCCCTCTGGTTTTGGCCCCTGGTTTCTTTCTTTTTGCTTTTGTAGAACGGGGATTTGCTGAGAGCGCGTCCCACCTGATAACCGCACCCCCACTGCACCCCGCGTTCCTTAAGGCAGTGCTTCTAAATCCTAAATCACCATGACGACGACCAGGATGATGATGATGATGATGATAATGATGATGATGAAGAGGATGAGGTTGGGGTCGTGGGTCACGTTTGCTTCTTTTCTCTGCGGAGGTTCAGCTGCCGTGAGCTTCTAAACGAGACCTCTTCCTCGAATTCCTGGGCTGGCAGCAAGCAGGCACGATTGTGCAAAATCAAGGCGGGGTGATGGCGAGAGAAGGGCGGGAAGGCACGGAAGGCACTAAGAGGAAACTGTGGCGAGCAGAGCTCCCGGTGGGAGCGGCAGGGGTGAATGGAGGGCTGGTTTTTTTTTTCTTTTTTTTTCTGAGACTTACAACTTAGAGGGGACACCGGGGAGGCAGGATTGTCCCCCCCGGAAGTCACGGAGGCATGCCCATCAAATTCACATTCTAGAGGCCCGTCTTGCAATCCAAGGGGCTGGGCACGCAGCTGGCGCTCAAGATTTGGCTTCGCTGGCTCAAAAAAATTTTCACTCCACCCTAGGAGAGGGCATGGGCCCGGTGTCCAATCATGATTGCGGAAAATACTGCAGCCTGAGTGTATAACGCACCCCCCTCTAACTTGCCGGAAGGGGTATTTCGTCTGCTGGGCTTCAGGACCACCAAGTTTCTTTCAAACACTGGAAACAAAACCAAGAAAAGGGACAATCAGAGCTGACATCCGCCTCATGCACGGACACACAGCACACACCGGTGAATGGCAAGAGAGAGGGGACGGCAGCAGGGAGGGTGCTGGCTTTGCACGTAAGCTGACCCGGGTTTGGTCCCCAGCACCCCAGGTCTTCTGAGTCCACCAGGTGTAAGGCCTTAGTAGAGCCAGGAGCAATCGGTGTGGCCCCAAAATCAAATAAATAAATAAATAAACAGCTTTCAGGATGTCCAAATCAGAACTTCACAGGATTAAGAGGCCTTACCTCCTACTGGACTCTGCTATTCTAGTCACTTCTTAGTAAAGATCCACCCCCTACAATGAACCCAGACTCATTCTGATTCGTTTCACTATCCTGATCTCGAATTGATCTCTAGAATTAAAAACAAGTCATAATCACTTCCGACAAAAAAGGCCTTTGCATCAAGCTCTGAGGTGGGCAGAAGTGAGAGTCCGGAGATTCGGATGTTGGCCGCATTCCGAGCATGCCAGGCATCAGCCCTGCGCAGGAGCCCCGGGGCTGACAGACAGCAGCTCCAGCTGGAGGCAGGGCCAGCTAAGCACCAGCATCCCTCTGGACGGAAGGTGCCTCCACCGTGTCCCTGCCCCAGAGAAGCCAGTGGCCTCGAAGGCAGACACGCCCCACTATGTCACCCCACGGAGCAACAGAACTAACACTCAACGCAGGCGAGTGGCCGGGCCTCACGCACGCTCCGTGCCAGTGAGACCCGGGGAGTTGAAACGCTTCAGAATTCCGTTCCCGAGACCTACGTGAAATGACCGTCTCTCTGGCTTCCAGGCCACGCGCCACAACGCTCAGGAGCTACTCCTGGCTCTGTGCTCAGCAGAACAGGCAGTGCCCGCACTGGAACCCAGGTGTGTGGTGTGCAGAGCATCGGCAAGAAAGAGCAGGTGTTGTGGGGTCGGGGGTGGTGCTACCCTGGCAGAACACGTGGGGGTCTGCAGGAGAGAGGCCCAGGGAGGGGACAGTGCTTCAATGAGGAGGGAAACTGGATGGGGCTGGAGCGATAGCCCAGCGGGTAGGGCGTTTGCCTTGCACATGGCCGACCCGGGTTCGATTCCCAGCATCCCAGATGGTCCCCTGAGCACCACCTGGGGTAATTCCTGAGCGCACAGCCAGGAGCAACCCCTGGGCATTGCCGGGTGTGACCCAAAAAGCAAAAAAAAAAAAAAAAAAAAAAAAAAAAAAGGAGGGAACTGGAATCAGCGCAAGGATTTCTGCAGATTCCTTTGCTAGAGGGAAGGCACGAAGGCTGGGTCACCCCACAGTAGGGTGTGGGAGAGTCATCGGCCAGCTGGGGGTTCAAACCCCGGACACAGGCCAGGCACACACCTTACTTCCGGCGCTCTCTCTCTCTCTAGCCCCCCAATTTCTTTCTTCTTCTGGGTTTGGGTCAGCTGTGCTTGGGGCTCACTCCTAGCTCTGTTCACCTGAGGATCGAACCTGGGCCAACCAGGTGGCAAGGTAAGCATTACCCTCCACACTACCTACAGCTCCAGCCCAGAATTTCATTTTTAAAATGTGAACTTGTGATGTCTTGGCCGTTACTTAGTGCGCGGTGTCAAAGGTTGTGCAGAAACCAAATGTGGACAAGAGGGGCTGAAGTGACCATACAGCGAGCCGAGCGTTTCCCTGACATGTGGAAGACCTGGATTTGATCCGTGGAATCCCACGTGGTCTGCCCGGCCTGCCAGGAGTGATCCCTGAGCACCACCGGGTGTGGCCTCCAAACAAAACCACAAGAGAAGCCAACAGCTAAGAAAGCCTGGAAGAGTTCACAACGGGAGCTGGCCCCTGGCTGACCACCACTGGGCACAGCCCCCAAAGAGAAACGGAAGCGAACAACTCTAGCCAAGCTCGAGCCATGCCGCTTAAGCAAGTTCTCTATTCTGTTGCTCTGTCAGGACCCAAGGTCTCAATCCTGCTTCCTCTGGATGCGAAATAAAAAGGGTCCAGGGCCCGGAGCAGCGCCCAGAGGGCCAGTCACTGCTGAGCGTCGTGCCGACCAACGGCCAGCACCCCACACAGGCCCGGAGCACTGCCAGGGCTCACACCTGAGCAGAGAGCCACGAGCACCACGGGGGCAGCCCCCAACACCCGCAAAATACACAAGAACCACAAACTGGGCCTGACTGCATGGGAGCAGTGTCCCCAAGCATCCTCTCTCAGGAGAGCGGAGGCCCCGTGCGCCCCCGCGAGGCTCTCTCTCATCTCCGGTAACAGGATGCTGTGCGTCTCGGCCACAGCAGGCGGTGCTCAGGGGTCACTCTTGGGGGGGGATCAGGGACAGCGTGTAATCACAGGGGTGGAAAGTGGATCAGCCAAGTGCCAGGCAAGGAAGTGCCCTAGAAGCCCTGGATGAGCCCTTCAAGGAGGTCAAACTTGTTCAAAGACGACTTCTTAGCAGCTCAGAGGCCACTCCTGGGAATGTCCGTCAGGACCAGGTGGTCCAGCATGGGGTCTGAAGATGCAGCGCACGGTCACTCCTCAGGGCTTGGGGACCACACGGGGTGGGCACTGAACCCGAGTCTCCACAGGCTCTGCCTGTCCTCAGCCTATGTCACTTTTTCTTTTTTAACTTTTTGGGTCACACCCAGCAATGCTCTGGGGTTACTCCTGGCTGTGCGCTCAAAAATCACTCCTGGCGGTGCTCGGGGGACCCTATGGGATGCCGGGAATCGAACCTGGGTCTGCCGCAGGCCAGGCAAGCGCCCTCCCCGCTGGGTTGTCACTCTGAACCATGCCTATGTCACTCTCTGCTGGTATTTTCGTGTTCTCAGGCCACACAGCTGTGCTCAGGGATGACTCCTGAGGGTGCTTGGGACCAGACCTGGGCGTGCAGTCCACAGAGCATCACTGGGACCCTCGGTGCCACCTCCGGCTCATGGCACTTGCTCCGTAACAGAGGCCACTTCTGGGGGGGACAGGCCACCATCAGGGTGGGCCTCGGTTGGCAGAAGACCAAGCAGTGGATCAGGCCGACAGCATGCAACGGGTGGGAAGATGCCCATTGCTGCCCAGGGTCCTGGCCCAGGTCCCAGGTCGGCCACGGCGGCAGAGCCACGTCCAGAAGGGCAGGCGGTGCTGGTCAGCCCCGAGCTCTCCCAACTACGCGTCATGCGGGCAGAGCCCACGGGGCGGAGCTGATGGGGGCCCAGGAACGCGGCCCAGTGTCCTGCACGAAGGAGGTTTAGGGTTCGAACCCAGCACCAACTCACACTGCCACGAAACAAAAACAAAAAAATCCCCAACTAGAAACGCCTCCCAAGAATCAGCAAGGCTACACCTAGCTCAAGAATGACAAAGACTCTCAGGCACCTACATCAGAGAGTATTTGCATCAGCCCTGTTTGTGGGCGCAAGAAGGCAGCGGAAACCACCCGACGTCCAGGGACAAAGGGAAGAGCCAACACAGCTGATGGACCCAGTGGAAGACACGTCAGCCAGGAAGAAGGAGGCAGCGGCGATACGGGAAGCGTCACAATCACCGCCATGGGCCAGAGCGACAGGACAGCGGGTAGGGCATTGGCCTTGCACACAGCTGACCTGGGTTCCATCCCCAGCATCCCATGGTGGTCCCCTCAGCACCATTAGGAGTGATTCTTGAGCACAGAGCCAGGGTTATATAGGAGCATTGCTGGGTGTGGCCCCCAAGCAAATTAAAAAAAAAAACAAAAGCCGTATCAGTTCAGTGCATGAAGCCAGATCCACACCCCAGACTCCAGGAGAGTTTAAGGGCCAGGACAGATGCAGCTGGGCAGGGCCTCAGGGTACGATACGTAGTGGGACGGGGTCTTCCTGTGGGGAATGCCAAGGGTCGTCACACAGAGCTGTGACGACGCTGAGAACTGACGCTTTAAAGGAAGGGCTGCTGGGTTTGTGCCTGTGCTATAAGGCCTTTCCTCCCCCAGGGTGTCCCAGGGCTCTGAATCGCTGCCCGGACAGAATCCCTGGGTGACACCCTGGGGCCCGTTCCGTTCCTTCCAGGCCTGCGGAAGTCACCCGGAAGCGGTGGAGGAACCTCCCGCGTGGCCCTTTCAACACACATTCAGATTCCGGATCCTGATTTTCTCAGAAGCCCTGGAGACGGCCCTAGCCCGCGAGAGCCTTACCTTCTGCTGCGGAGCTGCTCTAACTGCTGGGGCCCTTAAATACAAACCCATTCTTTGGGGACAGTCCTGGCCTGGTCATTTGCGTGAACAAGTCCATCCTCGGTTGCATACTAAAATGCAAGTTGAAACAAACAGGGTCAAAAGACGGACAAGGCCCCCCACGGATGGTCAGGACGACAAGGGGATGGAGCCTGGGGCTCGGCGTTTCACAGAGATTCTGCCCCGGGGGGAAGCGCGAAGATGTCCCAGACCACAGTGGCCACCACCAAGCCCATCAGGTTTTGCTGCCTGCAGTTCCCCTGAGAAGCCCAGTGCCACGGGCCAGCAGCCACCTGAGCACTGGCCACTGCTGCAAGCCACAGCGCTCACATGCCTTGGAACTAAAACAAAACAGCCTTGAGCGTTCCTAATGCGAGAGGGGTTCTCATTTGGAAGGGCAAGGATAACAGCTTCACAGGGGTCCAGAGGCGACCCAGCCAGGCGACCAGGCCCATGGCTCACGCAGCCCACCCGCCAGAGCATCTCCGGAGGGCGCCTGAACACTCGGATTCCTGAATCCGCACTCTCCTGCACTTCTCTCAAAGGGCAAAATGGCCACATGGGGGTACTCTGGAAGACGCCAAGTTCTTGAGCCGGCCCACTGCTGGTCCCGGCTTTCTACACGTTGCCCCGAAATCAAAGTCCGGGGAAATGAAGCCAGAGCTACTGCGGAGGGGCTGGAGCGATGGCACAGCGGGGAGGGCGTTTGCCTTGCACGCGGCCAACCCGGGTTCGATTCCCAGCATCCCATATGGTCCCCTGAGCACCGCCAGGTGTGATGCAAAAGGCAAGATAAATAAATAAATAAGTAACAGAGCTGCCTCAGAGAAGGACCGGACTACACAATGGGCAACGGATGGTACCTAGATGTGTCTATTTTTTATTTATTTTTTGCTTTTTGGGCCACACCCAATGATGCACAGGGGTCAGTCCTGGCTCTGCACTCAGGAATCGCCCCTGGCGGTGCTTGGGGGACCTATATGGGATGCTGGGAATAGAACCCGGGTTGGCCGCATGCAAGGCAAAGCCCTACCCGCTGTGCTATCGCTTCAGCCCTAGATGTGTCTATTTACGGAACAAATAAGCACACCTGGCCATGCTCAGGGCACATTCCGGCTCTGCGCTTGAGACCTAATGGAGAGCTGGGGCTCGAACCCAGGCTGGCTGCGGGCAAGGCAGCTGCCACCTCACCAGCCATCCGGCCTTCCCAGTGCCCCCCAGATAAACTTTCAAAGTACTGTGAAGCTCCAGGGAGAGCGGCATCTCTTCAGCGACTACCAAAGGCTGGGGATTCTATCATCATGTCAAGTTAATCATAAAGCAATCAGACACAGCCAGAAATCAACGAAAGACTCTCAGGAAATCAGAGATCACACCCAGAGGAGGTGTGTGTGTGTGTGTGTGTGTGTGTGTATGTGTGTAGATCAAACCCAGAGGAGGTCAGAGGAGGTCTGTGGGGGTGTGTGTGTGTGTGTGTGTAGATCACACCCAGAGGAGGTGTGTGTCAATGAAAGACTCTCAGGAAATCAGAGATCACACCCAGAGGAGGTCTGGGTGGGTGTGTGTGTGTGTGTGTGTGTGTGTGTGTGTGTGTGTGTGTGTAGATCAAACCCAGAGGAGGTCAGAGGAGGTCTGTGGTGTGTGTGTGTGTGTGTGTGTGTGTGTGTAGATCACACCTAGAGGCGGTGTGTGTCAATGAAAGACTCTCAGGAAATCAGAGATCACACCCAGAGGAGGTCTGTGGGGGGTGTGTGTGTGTGTGTGTGTGTGTAGATCACACCCAGAGGAGGTGTGTGTCAACGAAAGACTCTCAGAAAATCAGAGATCACACCCAGAGGAGGTCTGTGTGTGTGTCTGTGTGTGTGTGTGTGTGTGTGTGTGTGTAGATCACACCCAGAGGAGGTCAGAGGAGGTCTGTGTGTGTGTGTGTGTGTGTGTGAGTGTGTGTTCGGGCCACTCCTGATGGTGTTCAGAGATTACTTAGGGTTGTGCCCCAGGTACTCAGGGGAGCATGTGGTGCCGTGAACCCCATCTGAACTCGACGTGCACACTAGCCCTGGGAACTGTCTCCCGGCCTCAGAGTACACACATTAGGGGCAAGTGAGATAGCATGGTGGGTAGGGGACTCTCCTTGCATTGCCAACCTGGGTTCAATCCCTGGCATCCCACATGGTCTCGAGAGCACCGTGAGAAGTAGGCTCTGAGCACCACCGGTGGTGGCCCCAAAACTGGGGGAGAAACGACCCAAGCCCAACAAGAACTGCAACAAAAATACAAGGCATGCACGAATTCTCCAGGACAGTACAAGTGTTTTATGTAAAAGTGATAGAAAATGGGGGCTGGAGAGATAGCACAGCGGGTAGGGCGTTTGCCTTGCACACGGCCGACCCGGGTTCGATTCCCAGCATCCCATATGGTCCCCTGAGCACTGCCAGGAAGGAGTAACCCCTGTGCAATGCTGGGTATGACCCTCCCCCCTCCCCCCCAAAAAAATCTGACCCGGGCAGCAGCTAATGGTTCAATCCTGGCACCATATACAGACCCCCAAGCACTGCCAGGCGCAACCCCCGAGCAGACTCAGGTAGAGAAAATAATTCTGGACGAATGAAATTGGCGAAGATGAACAGCAACAAATGGGACGAGACCCTCATCTGGGCACACCCACAGTGGTCCCGCCAACTGTGAAGTGTGGGGGTAGGCAGAGCAGCAGGACCCAGCGGGCACCAGACCGGGGGAGGAGGTACAAGAACTCTGAACGCCCAAACCAACCAGAAGAGTCAACGGACAGTGTCCAGCCGTGTTGCCGAAGTAATGACACAGATACAATCTCAAACGACAGAGGGGCGTCTGGCTCGGAGAAAAGGCTTCGTACCCTGCACCACTCTAGCTCGGAAGCCCCAGGCGTGCGTGTGCGACCAAGAAGCTCGACCCAGGTGACCCAACCGGCAAGAACCATCCCCCTCCTGCCAAAAGCACCAACAGCCGACACTGCACCACGGCAATGCAGAAAGAAGCGCGAGTCTGGTCCAGGGATGCGGTCCACGGGGCCTGCCTCCAGCGTCCAGGCCCACGGCGGGAAGGGAAGGCGCCCCTGCCGCAAGCATCAGGACAGTCCGTTCGAGCCACCCCAGAGCGCCGGGCGCTTTCTCCCGGGAGCTACTGACCTGGTAGCCTTGGAAGAAGTTAAGAATTTCCTTAACTCCAGGACTGCAGGCCAGGCCCTGCATCCTGAGCACGGCGCCAGGCGGTGGAGGGGCACCGCCAAGAGCGGCTGCAGGGAAGTAGCCAAGACTAGTGGGCGAGCCGGGGGGGCTGCAGGGAGAGAAAGCACAGTGAAAAACGGGAAGAACAGTGAAAAACGGTGAGGCCCCTCGCGTGGCCGGCGGCCCTGGAGAGGAAAGGCCCCGTGGCCCTGCGGGGCGAGAGGCTCAAAGCGCAGGGTGCTGACATGGCAAACCCGGCCACTCCCCACCTACCCCGCCGCCCCCCAAGCAGACCGACCGTCTGTGAGACGCGTGCAGGGGGACGGAGGAGAGAGAAGCCGGCCTGGACGCGCCCCGGCCACCAAGCACTGCTCGCCAAGGCCAGCAGGGAGGAGGATGAGGGATGCCAGGCAGCAGGAGCACCAACCCGGAGCCCCGACCCCCAAGGGAGCCGGAGCCATGCCGAGGAATGGACGGGTCAGAGTCATGGCACACCAGAGCAGGAAGGGCAGGAACGCAAGGGGACAGGCTACAAACCGTCACCGACGCAGGGAGGGGGGGAAGAGGTGCCCGGATCGGGGTGTGAGCAGAGCACACGCCTCCACCTGCCTAGAGACTTAGTTTTCCCCAGTCCTGCAGAGAACAGAGTGGTGTCGGGACAGCGGGGAAGCACCCGTCACCCCAGCACGCCGAGCTGGCCTGGACCACAGTGACTCACACCGGAGGTGGCTGAATTAACACAGCCCGCACCCGGTTTCGGCCGGCCCTCTCTCTCCCTCTTCCCCCCCCCCCCCCCCGCCTCCCTTCTTCTCCCCACCCCCCCCAAGCCACTCCCCTCTCTTTTAGCTTTTGTTTCTTGGACCACACCCTCTGGTGCTCCTTGCTGTGCTCAGGACTTACTCCTGGCTCTGTGCTCTGTGATCGCCCGGGCTGGGGCTCGGAGGACCACAGGGAGCACAGAAGACAACCCAGGAGGCTGTGTGCAAGGCCAATGGACTCTATCTCTGACACCAGAAGAACAAGGAGACCCACAATGGGCAGGGGCGTTCTCCTGAGATCCGTGGGCGCTCGGGGACCCCGAGGAAAACCTCGCTGGGGGCTCACGGGACCTGCTGAGCTAAGTGGGGAGGACAGAGCATTCCTGCGCCATGGTTCCACACATCACACAGCAGCATCACACCCCGGAGAGAAGCCACACTCACACCTGCCTGCCCAAGCCCGTCAGTTACCAACAGGGGCTCTGCAAGCACGTGGGGAGGGCGCTGGCCTCACACACAGGCAGCCCAGGTTCAGTCACCCGAGCCCTGAGTGGAGAGCTCGGGAGTAAGCTCTGAGCACCACCAGGACACACAGACACACACACAGACAGAAAGATACATGCACAGACACACAGACACACATGCTCCCGGCAGCTGGGAAGTCATCCTCAAGCGATTTTTATTATTTTCATTTACTTATTTATTTATTTTCTTTTTTGGGTCACACCCAGCGATGCTCAGGGGTTCCTCCTGGCTCTGCACTCAGAGTTACTCCTGGCGGTGCTTGGGGGACCATAAGGGATGCTGGGGATCGAACCCAGGTCAGCCGCGTGCAAGGCAAACGCCCTCCCCGCTGTGCTATCACTCCGGCCCCCTCGAGCGATTTTTAAAGCTGTGCCCTCCAGTGCCGCTGGCATGTGAGCCCCCCTAGAGACGCACGTCAGCATGGAGATGAGCTTGTCTGGAGACTGAACGGCGGGCACACGCCCTCCTGATCACAGAAACCCAGCCAACGACTCCCCCAGGCTCACGCACTGCCAGCCAGTGCCGGTGCGTCTCCAAACCTGCAGAACTGCCCCGACCCGTCCGTCTGTCTGGCTCGGGGCTTTCCATGAAACCAGCCACCGTCCACGCCGAGACCACGCTCGCTCCCGGCAAACTCTGGCCAGGTGCTGAGTAAAGGCCGAGCCCAGCCAGACGGCCGCGCATTTCTTCTGCTTTCCCAGGCTTTGCACATGGGGTGAAAGCTGGCTTTGTTGCCCTCTGCCAAAACACCTTCAGGAAATGAATCTGTCTGGTCACCTCCGAAGTCCAATCAAAGGCAAAGTGCCCAGTGAAAGCAGCCCGGGATTTCAGCTGAACGCACAGTCACGCATCGCTCAGGGACATCACGTGAAGACCCTGCGGGACCTACACGCCCACCTTCCTTTTCTGCCATCAGAAGGCCTGCTCACCTCAGAGGCACCAGAAACATCAAATATTCTGTGTATCCACCTCACAGGGAAAGAGAACCAGAATATCCAACTTGGCTTTCCCCCGAGAAGCCTGGACTCTCTCTGAATATCTCCCCTTCCCTCCCCTCATAGGTATCGTGGGTGAAATTAAGTAACCATACTATTCGGAAAAAAATTTCCCCAGGGCTGGAGCCAAGGGCCGAGCAGGTTAAGAAGCTTGTCTTGCACATGGCTGGTCCAGGTTCGATACCCAGCATCTCATCAGACACTCTGAGCACTGCCAAGAGTCATTTCTGAGTGCAGAGACAGGAGTACCCCTGAACATTGCCGGGTGTGACCCAAAAAGTTCAATAAATAAAAATAAAACTGTTCCTAGACAGCAGGAAGAGCCCTTGCCTTGCACACAGCCAACCCAGGTTCAATCCCCAGCATCCCATATGGTGCCCCCCTCAACACCACCAGGAATAATTGCTGAGCACAGAGCCGGGAGTAATCCCAAAACACTGCCAAGCATGGCCCCAAAACAACCACCACCAAAAACCATAAATAAACAAATAAATTTCCTTATCCATCTTAATTCCAAGGATTTTACGTAGTACAAAAACACCAAAAAAAAAAATTCATAGATTTAAAAAATGAATAGGACAGAGAGAAGATGAGCAGTTATACAGACAACCCAAACAAACAAAGATTAGCTGGGTCTGGAGAGAGAGTACAGCAGGGAGGCCACTTGCCTTACATGCAGCCCACCTGGGTGCCATCCCCAGCACCCCACAGGATCCCCCGAGCCCACCAGTGATCCATGAGCTCAGAGCCAGGAATGAGCCCTGAGCACCACCAGGTGTGGCTCAAAATAACACCAAACAAAAAACACAAAACCCAACAACAACAACAACAACAAGAAAAAAACAACCCCCAATCCCCCCTCCCAAAAAAAAAAAAACCAAAATCCTCAACAAGCCAGATTAAAGCACACCCAGCAGTGCTCACGGGCCACGCGTGACGCAGGAGACCCAGAGAGGGCCACCTTACCCCCCTCTGATTTTTCCCATCCCCAAAAAACAAAGACCACCGGCACCGAGCCAGGAGCAACCCCGAATACTCCGTGGGTGTTCAGGTGTGACCCCTAAACAAAACACAACCCCACCCACCCCACCCCGTCTCCCCACTTCCAAACGCCCAGCTTCCTCGCATCCCACTGCCCACCACGGGCAGCACAGCATGGAGAGAAGCAGCGCCTACGGTCAGTGGATGGACAGGAGGGCACAGTGGCCGCTCAGCCCGACTCCCTTCTCGAACCGCTAATCCCTCTGCACCCTCATACTTCCAAAAAGGAACAATTTTACCCCACCCGAGAAAAAAAAATTAGGGCTAAAAAAATTGGGCCCGAGGGGCGGGAGCGACAGCACTGCCAGGAATGAGCCCCGCGTGCAGAGCCAGGAAGGAGTCAACACACCAACAGGAAGAGCCAGAGAGACAACACGGCAGGAAGGGCACTTGCGCCTTTGCCCCTGCCGACCTGGCTCCATCCCCAGCACCCGGTCGGAGCCACAAACCCTGCCAAGAACGGCCCCTGAGCACAGCGCCAGGAGTCAGCCCCGAGCACTGCCAGGAGTGGCCACCAAACAACTCGAAAGAGCCAGAGGGGGGCAAAGCGTTTTCAGTGCAGGCTTGGCATCCCAGGGGCCCGAGTTCACCCCGCAGCACAGCTGGGCGTGCTCCCCTTCAGGCCCGTGCCTGGCAAAGTGCTCTTCCCTGCAGGGACAGCGGGGATGGAGGCCCTCCCAGCCCTGCCCTCCCTCTCTGGCGGCGGCCCCAGACCAGAGGAGGTTAAGAAGGAAGCGTCTGCTCCCGGCACCGTGGGAGACCAGGCCGTGGCAGACCAGACCAGACGGCTGGGAGGGAAGCAAAGGACTGAAGAGGCGTTTCCCGGGACGGGAGGGGGCGCGGACGCCACGGCGCTCACCTGGGGTAGTAGGCGGCGGTGTAATTCATGAAGAGCTGGGCACCTGCTGGGTAGTAGGCGGGCTGCAGTGCCCGCGGGCTCAGCAGGACAGACGGCTGGTAGAGAGTGGCCTCCGTGGGGATGACAGCCGCAGGGGCCGGGAACGTGTAGGACGAAGGAGACAGGCCTGCAGGGACAGACAGACAGGCTTGGGGCCGGCTGGCGTGGCGGCCCTGGCACGCGTCCTGGAGGGGCCAGCCCACCCTTCCTGCACAGGCTCATCCCGCAGACCGGGACCTTCCCCTACCTGGGGGCCCCCCCTAGGCTTACCAGAGCCCCCCCCCACACCCACACCCCAGTTATCAAGTGGGACCCCCGAGGCCTCACAGCCCATCTGCCAACAGGAAATTTTTATTTATTTTTTTTTTTAAACCCACTCCTGGAAGACGGGCTCTAAGTCTTTGAAGAGAGAAAGATGTGGCTATTGGTCCGTGTAACTTCAAACTAAATGCTGTCTTTCTCGCTCTTTTTTTTTTTTTGCTTCCTGCACCACACCCAGTGGTGCTCAGGGTTTGCTCCTGGCTCTGTGCTCAGGGGACCATAGGAGGTGCCAGGACGGAGCCTGGGCTGGCCGCACGCAAGGCAAATGCCCTTCCAGCTGTACTACTGCTGCGTCCCCTTCACACTCAACTGAGACTCCTGGCCTCGAAGAATCTCGAACAGGCAGGAGGACAAGACACCAACACCTGTGTTCACTACAAATGCGCCATGCCTTACAGTGCCCGCGCTGAGCTGCCGACACAACGGTCAGCGGCTTGCCTCTGTCCCAGTTCTCAAGAACAAACTCCCAGGTGGGGCACAGCCCCCACTACAGTCTTTGTGCTTTCTTCCTGGAAATCCGATTTTAAAAGTAGATGGATTTGGGGGCTGGAGAGACAGTACAGCAGTGGGTATGGCATTTGCCTTGCATGCCGCTGATTCGGCATCTCGGATGGTCTCCCGAGCACCACCAGGAGTAATTTCAAATCACAAGGTCAGGAGTGATTCCTGAGCATCCCTCAAAAAAAAAAAAAAAAATAGAGGGATCTCGTTAAGATGCTACATAAATAGGTGATTGCCCCAGTTGAGTTGGCAGGGAAAACATCCAACAGAATAGATAATAAGGGTAACTTGCAATGCTGCTTTTATAAAGAAACCGGGTCTTCCACTAACACAACAAATACCAGGACTTCCCTTCACATTTTTGGGAAGTAAGTAGGAGGTGGGGAAAGCACCTAGACTGGTCATCTACGAGCCTTTGCCTCAAGGGCCTAAGGACCGGTCCCTCGACGAGACCCACTTAGTCCAGTTACAGAAACCTGGGTACGTGACCCATGGGTCTGAGACATTCACCAGAGCAAGCGGCAGGTAAGTGGAGGGTGAGCGATGAGGGGCTCCGAGGGGAGAGGAGTAAGCACACTCCCACGCCCCACGAAAGCTGTCCCCGAGGGGGCGGGATGGCACCCATAAAGCCCGTAACCTGGGTGGCGTTCACAGTCCCCTCTGGAAGAGACCCAGGGCATCCAGCAGCCTCTTCCCGGGCCCAGAGCAGCGGGTGCCGCCAAGGCGGGCATCAGAAGCCCCCGGGTGCTCAGGCCTTACCCAGGGCTTTTCTGGAGACCCCCCCAGGGCTTAGCCCTCGCCCCCAGCTGGCATCGAGCAAGAGCATGGCTGGCAATTAAGCACTGATCCTGTGATACAATAACAATGTTGGCTGCGACGCTTTCGTCTTTAGCTTCTTAGCTCGGTCCAGACATCCCGGAGAGCAAGAGCGTTAGCATCGGCCTTTCCAAAAGGGCAACATCGAGCTCAAATCATTGAGCCGGGACACATGGTGTCCAGTCAGCTTTCTTTGGGGAGAGGGGGAAGGGAAAAAGAAGTAACATGCTTTTACATGTTAGTAAAAAAAAAAAAAGAAAGAAAGAAAGAAAGAAAGAAGAGGTCTGGCCAGCTAGGGAAACACTTCAATGCGTCGGGCAGTGCAGGGTGGGCTGCCTCCCAGAGTCAGTGCTTATCTGGGGCACACCAAGCCTCAGGGACCAGCAGCCCAGCACTGGGAAAGCAGGACCGCGATTTGAAAGGAGGGAACCTGCCGCCGCGTCTCTGACGACGGGTGTCCGCAACCAGGGTCTGAAGTGATCATCAGAAACAACCGATTCGGGGCCAGGGGCAGCCTCCGTGACCACCGCCCCTGCCTCGGCAGGACCCAGGGCCCAGCAGCTTTGGGGAAGCGGCGGAAGCACCTACCAGCACACAGCGTGGAAGAGCAGCGAGACCCCGGGAAGACTTACATGGTAACTTACATGGTGGCGGGGATAAGCCATTTCGATTTAAAGTGCCCCCCATTAACACAAAGTTCATCTCCTCAGCTGAACACTGAAAGACTTCCACGTATCTGTCCCTCATGGTCTTTTTATGACACTTCTGGGCGGCGAGGAACGCGCGGTCCGCAGACTTCATCTGGATAAAAGCATCTCCTGATGGGCGGCCCTGGGGGGTGGGGAGGAGAAAAAACATAATGATAACAATAAAATAACAACAAAGGAGGCTTTCTCCTTCCACAAGGAAGTGGCTGCAGCTAAGGATGCAAGGTGAGTATCCCGGGTGCCCGGGTACGGCTGGCACACGCCACAACTCTGCACACGCCACAACTCTGCACCAGCAGGGCCCACGGAGCCCGACGCACACCGAGGGAATGCAGTTTGGAAAGGATCCTTGTGCCCACGGTTTCAAATCACCGGATTGAAGACTACCGGGCCTTACCCCTCCTGAAAAATGCAATTAAATCTCCTCCCCCGGCTGAGAGAAGCTCGAAACAGAACCAGGACCACAGTGTGATGTCTCTGTCAGAAAACTGAACCAAGAAGTGTTGTGTGGGGCCTCTGGTGCGTGAGTGTCCCTCCTGCCTTGGCTGTTTCGTTCTGTTTTGCTTCGTGGTCACACCTGGTGGTGCCAAGCTCTCTCCTGGCAGGGCTCAGTAGACCACACGGGGAGCCGGGAATCGAACCTGGGTTTGTGGCATGTTAATGCCAGCGCCCTGCCCGCTGCACCATGGCTCCAGCCCTTCCTGTACCGTTAGGAGACCTTGACTTAGAAACGGGGGATGATGAACTAGGGGTTAAAGCAGCGGAGGGTACTGAGGGCCGAGATGCCCTTTCTCCAGGTCTCAAGCTTGGTGGAACTAAAGATTCAGAGAGGAGCTTGCCCAAAACCCCCTCACACCCCGCTTCAAACCAAGCCAGTGAATTCCCGCTCCACAGAACCAGAGAACCCTGTTTGCTTTCAGCAGGGGCATTTGTGAGGGAGAAAACACACAACCAAATTTAGGAGGCCTCTTTCCTCTTGGACAGCTTTCTTGAAAAACCCTTAGCCATCCCATGCCAATTATTACCATGCAAGTTACCAGAAGTTACCAACCCCCGGGAAGTTAGCAACAAGCCCAGTTCAGGAGGGAAACCTGTGTCCACCCTCACAGCACCTCCCAGGGTCATCACCCAGGACACAGGCCACAAGGAACAGCCCACAACACCCCCCAAGCCATTCAGACCTTGTGGCTTGGAGAAAGAGCCCACCAGCCCCGCAGAGTTTGACACCAAACTAGGCTGGTGGCCTAGTCTGGGGCTACGAGCTCGGCCGAGGGCTGTTGACCCAGGCCTGGGCCATGCGGCATATCCAGCAGCAGCTGCTCAAGACCACGTCTGAGCTGGTCTCCAAGGGACAGACCCTTTTCAGGGTGAGGGGACCACGGGCATGAGCACACTCAGATTGCAGAGCAAAGAAATAACCAAGAGAGCGGCTTTATTTTCAAGTTGGCATTTCCAACCCAAACCTCCATTTTCCTTTCTTAGGGAAAAAAAAATCCAAAAAACCCAGAACATCCCACAAACATACATACAACTCTAGTTGGTGGGTTTTTTTTGCGGGGACTATACCCAGTGATGCTGAGGGTTGGGTGTGGGGCTTCCCAGCACTTGAGGGTGCTGCTGGTCGTGCCAGGTCCCTGACACACACACACACACACACACACACACACACACACACACACACACACAGGCTTTCAGCAGACAAGGCTGTGCTAAGGACACAGAGCTGATCTCTGTGTTCTGAGACTGACTTAAGCTTGGCCACCAGCCCCCAAAAAACAAAAACAGTTCCGGGGCAGAGTGACAGACATTGGAGAGGGCGCTGGTCTGGCACCTGCTGACTTGAATTTGATCCCTGGCATACATCCACAGGGTCCCGAGCCCCACCAGAATTAAGCCCTCCGCACCACCGGAAGTGGCACAAAAAAACTCCCAAAATAACCAAATGTATACACACAAGACGCCCAAACCAACCAACCAAAAACCAACCAATCAAAACCCCCCAGTGTTTCTAAAAACTCAAATCAGAATGAACCCATGTATGGATTTTTATTTATTTATTTATGCTTTTTGGGTCACACCCCGGCGATGCACAGGGGTTCCTCCTGGCTCATGCACTCAGGAATTGCTCCTGGCGGTGCTCGGGGGACCATATGGGATGCTGGGAATCGAACCTGGGTCGGCCATGTTGGCTGCGTGCAAGGCAAACGCCCTACCCGCTGTGCTATCGCTCCAGCCCCCTGTATGGATTTTTAAATTTCTGCTCTGTCAAGTAGCCCAGCGGGTAGGGCGTTTGCCTTGCACGCAGCCAACCCGGCTGACCTGGGTTCGATTCCTCCGCCCCTCTGAGAGCCCGGCAAGCTACAGAGAGGATCTCGCCCTCACGGCAAAGCCTGGTAAGCTCCCCGTGATATATTCAATATGCCAAAGACAGTAACAACAAGTCTCACAATGGAGACATTACTGGGCCTGCTACGGGAGGACAGTGCCACAATCACATTCTGGCAAACTGCCCAACCAATAGTCAAGGAACATGCAGCCATGCAGTTAATGTGCTTGCAATAGATACATGCTCATGGCAAGAACTTGGCTGGACATCTCAGGAATCCACTGGGTGCCGAGACGGCCGGACTTGCCCAGGGCCCAGGTGGGCACTGCGTTTGTTTCCGGAACCTCTCCAAGCCCCTCTTGGCCCAGCCTTAGAGCCTGGCTCCTGGCCACGCCCTACCTGGTGGTTCAGCACCATGTGGACCCCGTGGGTTCGGATGTCCGTGGAGAACTCTCCGAGGAAGTCCAGGATGTCCTCGATGGTGGCCGCGTAGGGGAGTCCGCGCAGGCGGACGCAGTCCCGCACGTTGGTTGGGGGCACGAACTGCTGAGGTAGTACCGGGATGATGGGAGGCGTCGGGAGCGGAATGAGGGGCGCCGAGGAGAAACGGTTCAGCACCTGTGCTCAGAGGCAAAGGGAGGAAGTCACAGCCCCAACGGAGCAGCCCAGCAGCCGGGGAGAAATTCAGCCCATTAAAAAGAACTTTTTTGGGGCTGGAGCGATAGCACAGCGGGTAGAGCGTTTGCCTTGCACGCAGTCGACCCGGGTTCAATCCCCGGCATCCCATATGGTCCCCTGAGCACTGCCAAGAGTAATTCCTCAGTGCAAAGCCAGGAGTAACCTCCTGAGCATTGCTGGGTGTGAGCCAAAAAGGAAAAAAAAAATAAATAAATAGAACTTTTTTTTTTCCAGCCACGTTCCATTGGTTTCAACATGCCCTGCTTGGAGTTCTAGTCTGGCACCTTTTGTCTCAACCACGAGTTAACACGTGCTCGTCCTCACTGGTTGCAGGTGATTTGATCTCGAAAATAAACACCTGGGATTTGGCACCTGAGATTAAAAGGTTATTAACAATTTTCCTTCGAGATAATCTCAGGATCCATGAATAAATTTTAGATTCCGTGAATCCCTTAAAACCGCATTATCAAGGGGCTGGAGTGATAAAGGCACAGCGGGGAGGCGTTTGCCTTGCACGGCGGCCGACCCGGATTCGATTCCCAGCATCCCTTTATGGTCCCATGAGCACTGCCAGGGGTAATTCCTGAGTGCAGGAATAGCCCCTGTGCATTGCCAGGTGTGACCACCCAAATAAACAATACATAAAATTAAATGTTAAAAAAATTGCACGGAAAATGCAGAGTGAGTGCACTCTGTTTTCTCAGCCTGGAGTCCTCCCCGTGGCGGGTCTCGCCCGCCCTCCACGTCCTCGGACCCACCTGCTGTACCTCGGCCGCCGTGCTCCGAAAGAGCTCGATGTACCTCTTCCCCAGCAAGTCCTTGTGCTTCCTCAGCGCGTTCTGCGCGTGCTCCTCGCAGGCGAAGAGGACAAAGGCGTCCCCCGTGGGCCTCCCGTCCGGGTAGGTGACGAAGAGGATGCCCTCCTTGCCGCCCGTGATAGGGCAGTGCTGTCCGAAGAAGGTCACCACCTCCTCCGCCGTGGCCGTGAAGGGCAGCCCGCGCATCCGCACGATGACCTGGTTCTCCTTGGACAGGAACTGCGCCACCTCGTTTGACGTGCCTGGGTGGGCCCCCGAGAAACGGTCAGGACGTCCACCTCACCCCGCTTCAACTGACCGGGACGCTCCTGACAGCTCACTCGGAATGCTGAAGGCCTTCCCGGGAAGCAGGGGTCTCTCTCCCGTGCCTGGGACACACCCCACACCCCCACAGAAACATCCCTCCTGGGTTGGGGAGGGCGCTCGACTTACACGTGGCCGACCCAGGTTCAATCCCCGCATCCCATAGGGTTCCCCCCCCCACCCCCCGCCCCAGCGCTGCCAGGAGTGATCCCTGAGGGCAGAGCCCGGAGTAAGCCCTGAGCACGGCCAGGTGTGGCCCAAAAACTCAACCGCTACCCCATACCCCCGAAAATAAGGAAGAAAGTAGGACACAAACGCAGGTCTCCTGGACTTAGGGAGGGCCAGTTAAGTCTGGAGCCGCTGCAGCACTCAACCACTGGCCTCCAATCTTGTTCTGTGGCCACACCTTCAAGGACGGGGCAGGGGCAGGGGCGCTATGTGGTACAGGAATCAAATCCAGATCAGCGGCGTATAAGCACCTGGCCCATAGGAGGTCAGCCCAGCATTTCCTGAAGACCATTTTTGGGGGGGAGTGGGGGAGAGTTATTTTGGGGCCACACCCACAGTGCTCAGGACTTACCCCTGACTCTGTACTAAGGAATCACTCCTGGCAGGGCTTGGGAGACCACATGGGGTGCTGGGGATAGAACCCAGGTGGGCTGCGTATAAGGCAAGCACCCTCCCCACTGGACTGTCTCCAGCTGAGAGCAAATCCTTACTTCTCCTAGTGCTCTGCACCCTGGGAAACCAGGAACCAGCAAATCTGACCCTCGGCCCTTTTTTTTTCCTTTTTGGGTCACACCTGGCCATGCACAGGGGTTACTCCTGGCTCTGCACTCAGGAGTCACTCCTGGCGGTGCTCAGGAGACCATATGGGATGCTGGGAATCGAACCCGGGTCGGCCGCATGCAAGGCAAACATCCTACCCGCTGTGCTCTCTCTCCAGCCCCCGTCGGCCCTTTAGAAATCCCTCAATATGGAAGTGGCAGCTTATCTAAAGATGAGTTCAAGTTCTGTGCCACAAACACACCAGTGTCAAACTAGGAGCTGCCCTGTGGGGCGGGCCAGCCACAGGGCACAATGCTTCCTGCAGGCCAGTGTATTTTGGCAATTGGTGTATTTTGGTAATCGGTGTCAAAAGCTTCTTATAAAGGTCCTCCCACACTCTTCCCTTCAGCTTCTCTACTTTCTGAGAGGTTTATTTATCCTGCTCTGTGGCACACGCAGAGACAAACCTTCGCTGCAGAATGCACAGCCAAGCATCAGAAATCAGCTGCAAATGCCTCTCACGGGTCTGTAAAATTGTAAGAATGCAGAAGAGCACCACACGGGGATTCAAGGAACATTCCAGAAAATCTGAGTTACAGGACGAGCGCTAAAGCAGCACGAGAAGGGAACTTATAAAGGTGAACAGAGCAGGGGTCGCACCGTAGGACTGTGGGGAGGGTGCTGGCCTTGTCCATGGCCGACCGGGTTTGACCCCAGGCGTCCCAGACAGTCCCCCTTTGTACCGCTGGGAATAATTCCTAAGCCTGAGCCAGGACCTACCCCTGAGCTTCACAATGGCTGCCCCTCCAAAAAAAAATCAAAAGAGAGATAGCACAGCGTTTGCCTTGCATGCGGCCGACCCGGGTTCGATTCCCAGCATCCCATAGGGTCCCCTGAGCACCGCCAGGAGTAACTCCTGAGTGCAGAGCCAGGAGTAACCCCTGTGCATTGCCGGGTGTGACCCAAAAAGAAAAAAAAAACCAAAAAGATTAACAGAAATTCACAAGCTAATTATTTCTAAAATGACCGGGGCGGGTGCAGAGCATAGTACAGCAGGTAGGGCGTTTGCCTTGCACACAACCTATCTGGTTGGATCCCCGGCTTCCCATAGGTTCCCCTGAGCACCGCCAGGGGTGACTGCTGAGTGCAGAGCCAGGAGTAACCGCTGAGCATTGCCGGGTATGACTCCAAGACCAATCCCCTCTGCCCCCAAAACCCCTATGTGTGTGTGATAAATCACAATTAATACTTCATATGCTGCTACGTTAAAGTATCATAGTTATGAATCGCTAATGGATGAGGTGAACGAGGTCAGAGAGAACACGAAGGTAAGGCTCTTTGCCTGGCATGCAGCTGACCCTGTTTTTATGGATTTGGGGGGAGCGGGGGGGCAAAACTGACCGTGCTCAGGGGTTCTCTCTGGCTCTGCCCTCATGTATGGTGGTGCTCGGGGGACCCTATGGGATGCCGGGGCTCAGGCACCACCAGGGGTCACTCGTGAGCACAGAGCCAGGAACAGCCCCAAGCACTAAGGCGTGTCCAAAGATCCACCCAAGAGAGAACTTGGGTAGGAACTGGGGCTGGAGGGGAAGTTTTCTTGGATTAGGCGGGTGGGGTGAAGAGTAAGTAAACCCTGAGCACCTCTGGGTTAGTCTAGCAGCACACAAAATAAGCTGTTTCTCCTTCACTGTTACTGCAAACATTAAATCTCAAAACAAACAACCCCTGGACCCCCCACCAAAAAAGCCAGGAAAATGCCTATTAAAGCACTCAAAAGAAAAATTGGAAACCAAACATGCTAGAAAAACTAGAAAAATAAAAAAAAACTAGAAAAACTAAAAAAATTCAGAAAAACTAGAAACCAGAATCCAGGTGTTGGGGTGTGAACTGGGAGGAAGTCCAGCAGCAAGGGAGGGGCCCAAAGCACCCCGCGAAGAAGGGGCTTCCCCACAGAGCTGATTGTTCTCTGCACCAGCAGGACAGGAATTTTTTTTTTTTTTTTTGCTTTTTGGGTCACACCTGGTGACGCACAGGGGTTCCTCCTGGCTCTGCACTCAGGAGTTACTCCTGGTGGTGCTCAGGGGACCAAGGACAGGAACCTTTAGTAGCCATTCTGCTCAGGTGCCACACCCGCAGTGCTCGGGGATTGCTCCCGGCCATGCTGGGGATGGGACCGGATTGCCACAGGAAAGGCCAGCACCCTGCTGCTACTCTCAAAGTAGCATTTCTTTGCCTTTGGGCCACATCCAGCAGTGCCCTGGGGCTACACCTGGTGGTCCTCAAGAGAGGGTGAGAGGCTGAGGTCTGCATGCAGGATGCGGTCCGGTCCAGTCCTCCGAGCCTCCCCCTGACCCCCAGTACTGAGGCCCACTGGCCCCTGAACAACAATGAAAACGTTTTACATTCCTCACTTGCAAACTACCAGACACTCGGACCCTGCATCAATTCCCCATGGGGGAAATCAAACACGGTTCGAGACCCCAGGGGGGCTCATCAAAACGCAGGATGGTCCACGAGAGGCCGCAGGACGTCACGGGCACTCACCGCCAGCAATCTTCAGGAAATCTTCCCCTGTGGCCTTGTAAACCTAGGGAGAGAAAGGAAGTGGAATGACACTTTCCTGCCATCTGAGCCCAGCAGTGCCCGCGGAGGGCGGGGGTGCATGCCAAGATGTACCGCTTCCCGCTGGGGGAAGGGGAGGGAGGGGGCACCTACCTCAATGTACCGCGTCCCCATGTGGTGCTTGTGCCTCTGAAGTGCCAGGTCCCGGTGCTCCTCACTCACGAAGCGGACCAACGCCTCCCCGTTCCTGCGGCCCTGGGCGTTCAGACACAGCGCGGCCCCGCCCCTGGGAGGCCCAGGACAGAGTGTGAGCTGGAGGACAGGGGATCCCAGCCAGAACCCCACAGATTTGGTGTTTTTTCTTTTGGGTCACACCCGGAGATGCTCAGGGGTTACTCCTGGCTCTGCACTCAGAAGTTACTCCTGGCGGTGCTCGAGGGACCAGATGGGATGCTGGGAATCAAACCCAGGTCAGCCGTGTGCAAGGCAAATGCCCTCCCTGCTGGTCTATGGCTCCGGCCCTGCCCCCCAACGTTGGGGGGATGATTTGGGAAGGGCAGAAAGGGGAACCCACTTGGCAATGTTGAGTCCTTTGAAGAACCGTGCGATGTCCTGGTCGGAAGACTGCCAGGGCAGCCCGCGGGCCCTGACCACCGTGTTGTCATCGATGAGCTCCATCTTGCTGCTGTGAGGGAAACTGGGGTTGGCTGGAGGTGGACGTGCACCTGGAGGCAGCCCCCGCCCCCACCCAGGTGACTGTAGGGGTGGCAGTGGGTGTTAGCTGGTACAGGAAAAGCGCCTGCTGCTGTCTGCAGTGACCTGGCCGACGCTGGCCACTCAACATTCCCCCTGAGCACTGCCAAATGTGAACTCCAAACCACCAAAAATAACCATTACGAAACCCTCCAAAACCCTGGGGTCAGAGTGACAATCCCGTGGGTAGGGCCCAGGCCTGTGCACGGCTGACCTGGGTTTGATCCCCGGCACCCCACATGGTCAGGAGTAAGCCCTCTGGGCAAGGCTGGAAGGGGCCCACCTCAAAACAACAACAATCAAATAAGAAACAAAGAACCCAAGCCGGGCAGCTGAAAGTAGATCTTTATATGTGGAGCTGAAGAGAGTACAGTGGGCGGGACCAATCAGCTCCTTGGGTACCGCCGATCTGGGTTTGACCCCCGGCATCCCCTATGGTCCCCTGAGCACTGCCAGGAAGAATTCCTGAGTGCTGACCCCAAACCCAAAGGAAGTAAATAATGCAGTGAACCTCAGGGGAATGGCAGAGAAGCAGCTCTGTGGGCCAGGCAGTGCAGGCTTTGCATGCAGGAGGACTGGCTTTATTTATTTATTGCTTTTTGGGTCACACCCAGCGATGCTCAGGGGTCATTCCCGGCTCTGCACTCAGGAATCACTCCTGGCGGTGCTTGGGGGACCAAATGGGATGCCGGGGATTGAACCCCGGGTCGGCCGCGTGCAAAGCAAACGCCCTACCCGCTGTGCTATCGCTCCGGCCCCGAGGACTAGTTTTTAAATATAAAATTTTTTTTCTGTTGTTGTTTTGCTTTTTGGGCAAATTCGCTGTACTCAGGGGGTAATTCTTTTTTTTTTCTTTTTCTTTTTTTTCTTTTTGGGTCACATGTGGCAATGCATAGGGGTTACTCCTGGCTCTGTACTCAGGAATTACTCCAGCAGTGCTTGGGGGACCATATGGGATGCTGGGAATTGAACCCGGGTTGGCTGAATGCAAGGCAAACACCCTCCCCGCTGTGCTATAGTTCCAGTCCCTCAGGGGTAATTCCTTTTTTTTTCTTGTTTTTTTTGGGTCACACCTGGTGATGCACAGGGGTTACTCCTGGCTCTGCGCTCAGGAATTACCCCTGGCGGTGCTCAGGGGACCATATGGGATGCTGGGAATTGAACCGGGGTCATCCGCGTCCAAGGCGAACACCCTACCTTGCTGTGCTACCACTCTAGCTCCCGAAGCTGTTTTTTTTTTTTTGGGTCACACCTGGTGATGCACAGGGGTTGGCTGCATGCAAGGCACACGCCCTCCCCGCTGTGCTATTGCTCCAGCCCCTCAGGGGTAATTCTTGACTCTGTTCAGAAATCACTCCTGGTAGGGCCAGGGATACCATATGGCGTGCCGGGGATCAAACCCGGGCCAGCTGGACTATCTGCTGTCCTTTCTCCGGGGCCCTAGGAGGCCCAGCTGCCCCCCAGCACCCTGTTGTTAATCATCTGATAAATCTCATCTTACTTATTATTGAGATTTACAAACTAAACACAGGTTTATGGGACTGTGGGCAGGGACCTGAAGCGTAGGGCCAGGACAGCCCACAGCACTGATGAATGCAAAGCCAGGAAGGAGGAAGAGAGGTTCTCTGCAGGCCAGCTAGACAGGCAACCCCGCAACCCTCCCCCCTGGCCTGGCATGCCAGAACCCAAAGGACACGGCATCAGTTCACAGGGACCAAGATTCCCAGGGGACCTGTGTGAGGTCTCACAAGTGTCTGCGGTGGGGGGCTCAATCCAGTTTGGCAGCTTAAGCCAAGATCTACAGGGAAGTGGGCATGTGCCCAACGTGGGCTGGGCAGGAGGGGACAGCCCCCACGTTCAGGGCACAACCCAGACTCACACCCGGGGAGTCATCTGCAGCCCCCAACTGTTAGGATTGGGCAGCCCCCAGTGAGCCCTTCCACCCCCACGTCTAGTTTTCTCTTTGTGGAACTTGTCCCTTAGGACTGTCCCTGACTCACAGCCCTTCCCCAACTGACTGGGCCGAGAGTCTCCGCGTGGGCACAGATGGGAGGGGGCTGCTTACTTCAGGCATCTGGTAAATCTCTGTAACTTACTATTGAGATTTACAAACTAAACACAGGTTTATGCGATCGTCAACAGAGATAGTGATGAAACACTCCACCCCGGTCATTTCCTCTGCTTTCAAGTGAAGCTGATAGGATATCCTTCAGATTATCTCCGCGATCATCTGTCCAAGCCTGGGATTTTTCGTTTGGAAGTTTTCCAGGGAAAGCATACCCGATTTAGAGGTGAATGGACCACAGACAGATAAAGTCCCCATGGTTCACAGGGTGGGGGAGGGGTGTGAGTGCAGGCACCTTAGATTTTAACCAGCAGGAAACCTTTACGACAACCACTGTCTCTTACAAGCAACCGATATTGGGACATGTGGGTCCAAAAGGTTTAACGCACTCATTAAGTGAGAAATTAAATATGAATGAAATGCAGTGGAGAGGGGCCAGGGGAATAATACAGGGTTAAAAGCACTGGCCTTGCACGCAGCCAAGCCCAGTCCGAATGCTGGTATCCCTCCCCCCAAGTCCCCTGCCCCCAGCAGGCGTGGACCCAAGCACAGAGCCAGGAGTGAGACCTGAGTACCCCTACTTGTTAAACTCAGACCCCAACACAAACCCTCCCCCACACGCCCCTGCCAGGGAAGTCCCCAAAACAATGAGAGGCAGAGATTTCCGAAGGCTTACCAAGTGCCACTTTCAAATTTGTAATTTACTCTCTCGGGATCTGAGAACCTGTGATCTGCAAACAAGAACACACATGTCACCGTGTCAGCCGCCGGGAAGCTGAGCGCAGAGAAGATGCGGAATCACAGGCACGCATGTGCACACGTGCGGAGGGAGGGCCCGACCCCATGACACTCACTGTAAGGCTCCGAGATCATGGCCAGGATGATGCTGCCCATGTCTTCTACCTGGGCCGCGCCATAGCGGGAGACGGAAGGGTTCTTCTCCAAGTTCAGACCTGGGTGGGCCGGTTAAGGGCGAGGGTCTCGAGGAGAGAGGAGGCTGCAGGGCGGGAAGCCAGAGAAGTGGCCAGTACATGGAGCCCCGTGCTGCCCAGTTCACCCAGTGCCAGTGGACGGGAAGGCCAAACCTCTCCTGCCCGCGGTTCTGCGTGAAGGCTGAGTATGTGTCCAGCTTCCCATCACGCAGGACAAGGCATTCAGACCCGCCACCTCCGGACCACAAGCAAACAATGAACAACTGAGTGATGACACTCTCCCACCGAACAAGGAAGCGGAGGACGGGTGGGGGAGGGGCTGGTTGCCAAGTCCAGGCCCCTGGCACACAGGCATGTGATCTCCGACCCCCAGAGACTGTTTCACTCTACCACTGAGAACATAGGTTCAGGGTACCATTTTCATGCGGGACTCGGGACACCCGAAGAATTCCAGCAGCCCCATCTTTTTTCTCCTGGGGGGTGGGGATTGGTCACACCCAGTGATGCTCAGGGCTTACTCCTGGCTCTGCACTCAGGAATCACTCCTGGCAGTGTTCAGGGAACCATATAAGGATGCCGAGGGGGCTGGAGCAATAGCACAGCGGGTAGGGCGTTTGCCTTGCACTAGGCCGACCCAGGTTCGATTCCCAGCATCCCATATGGTCCCCTGAGCACCGCCAGGGGCAATTCCTGAGCGCAGAGCCAGGAGGAACCCCTGTGCATTGCCGGGTGTGACCCAAAAATCAAAAAATAAATAAAGATGCCGGGAATCAAACCTGCTACGTGCAAAGCAAATGCCCCGTCCACTCTGTGTGACCCCAAAATGAAGTCTGGAAGCATTTTTTCCCTTTTTTGGTTACTACTCAGGGCTAGCTCCTGGCTCTGCACTCGGGAATCACTCCTAGGGGGCTCAGTTTCCTATTGGGTTCTGGGGATTGAACCGCACCAGCCACATACCAGGCTAGCGCCCTCCCCGCTGTCCTTCCCGCCAACGGCACCATCTTTGACGGCAGCCAATGCCAGTCCTCGAAGAAGCGCGTCCAAGCACGTGTCAGAGCATCGGGGGGCCCTAACCGACGCACACTGAACCAGCCTGAAGAAAACCTCTGCCAGGCGGGGCAGGACGGAACAAGGCTATCAAGTCATGAAGCTTGAGAGCCGGCGATAGCACAGTGGGGAGGGCACATGCCCTGCATGCAGTGGACCCGGGTTCAACCCCTGGCATCCCGTATTGGCCCCTAAGCACTGCCAGGATTGACCCTTGAGAACCGAGCCAGAAGTGCCCCCAAGAAGAAAACAAAAAACAGAAAGATCCCTTCATTTTTTTTTTGCTTTTTGGGTCACACCTGGCGATGCACAGGGATTACTCCTGGCGGTGGTCAGGGGACCATATGGGATGCTGGGAATCGAACCCGGGTCGGCCGCGTGCAAGGCAAACGCCCTCCCCGCTGTGCTGTCTCTCCAGCCCCCTCTTCATTTCTTTAATATAGAGCCCTTCGCTTCTTTTTCAATTCCAATGTTAGAACTTTTCTTTTTTTTTTTTAAAGGAGAATTTTTTTTTTTTTAATGCATCTGCTTTATTTTTCATTTAGCTTTTTGGGTCATACCTGGCGATGCACAGGGGTTACTCCTGGCTCTGTACTCAGGAATTACTCCGGGTGGTGCTTGGGGGACCGTATGGGATGCAAAGGATCCAACCCGGGTCGGCTGCATGCAAGGCAAATGCCCACCCCGCTGTGCTATCGCTAAGGCCCCCAGTGATAGAATTACACTCTGCATCATTCCGTGCCAGTCTGCACAGACCTTGCAGTGCACGATGCAGAACCCCCAAGGGAACGACACGGACACGACAGTCAGGCTCAACGAGGCGTGTCAAAGCCCCGTGGAGCAATCTCCCTCCCGCCCGTCTGTCCGTCCGTCCACTCTGGTCCCACACACAGTGGAGACTGACACTGGCTCCTCTGGGCAATCCCCCGGGGTCACCTGAAAGCCAGGCAAGGACTTTAGTTTCCTGGGACCACATGGCCCAAGCACTGTCCTGCCAACTCTGCTCTGAGACCCCCACCCCCCCAGCGTGTGGCACACCCACACTACACACAGGCTCGGGAGACACCACGGAGGCTGGAGCAACCACGTGTGCATGAGGCCTGAGTCTGATCCTGCCTGGCGGCCCCCAGCGCCCCAAGGCCACATCAGACTGTCTTTACCCGATTTCCTAATTACAAGATGCACCCTTATTCAAAGGGTCAACCGCAAAGACGCATCCAGAGAAAAGACCAACGTCTCAGGGTGGGAGATGCACACTGAAAGTAACTATGACCAAACACGACGGTCATCTAGTGCCTGTACTGCAAACCATAACACCCAAAAGGACAGGAAGAGAGAAGGTGCCTGCCATGGACGTGGGGGAGGGGGGGGATGGGGGAGGTGGGGAGGATACTGGGGACATCATTGGCGGTGGAGAACGGGCACTGGTGGAGGGATGGGTAACGAAACGTTGACGGAAATGGAATCACGAAAGTTTGTAAGTCTGTAGCTGTATCTCACAGTGATTTTTTTTTCTTTTTGGTTCACACCTGGCAATGCTCAGGGGTTACTCCTGGCTCATGCACTCAGGAATCACTCCTGGCAGTGCTCGGGGGACCATATGGGATGCTGGGAATCGAACCTGTGTTGGCCATGTTGGCTGTGTGCAAGGCAAACGCCCTACCCGCTGTGCTATTGCTCCAGCCCCACAGTGATTCTTAAAAAATAAATAAATAAATAAAAGAAGTCTCTGTATATTCCATCACTGCCAACAAAGAAAGGGTCGAAGCCAAGTCGACTCCCTAGTGGCCCTGCCCCCGGGAATACTCAGTCAAGTCCTTTCCCGTCTCCATTCCCAGCATCCTCCTTCCCGCTTCCTCACCAGGACTGGCCTTTTGTGATTTTCCCCCCATGGGGTGCAGGGGCCTTTGCACAGTAGGGAGGATAATTTGGGACTCTGTGCTTGTGTGTGTGTGTGGTGGGGGGGCGTATTGCCTGCAAAACCCAGCGGGTACCTGGTGCTGGTAAGCCCAGGTGGGTCAGAAGCGCCTTATGATAAGCCCCGCGCTGCCCTCCAGCCCTCGCATGGTCTGACCAGGCTCGCCAGCTCGCCAGCACCCCTCCATGCGTACAAGCAGCCACTTAACCCCACTGAACTCTGCCTTATCTGCACGGCCAAAGCTGCGCTAATCTTGACCTCCCTGGGTTTTTGGTGAAGATTAAATGAGCCTGGAGCACAAAGCAGGCATTTAGCCCAGGATGTCCTCCCCCGCTTCTGAAACACTTGGGGGGCGGGGAGGCAACTTTCATAACCCTTAATCAGACCCGAAGAGACACCCCGAGACTCAACACGCCACGCCCAGGTGGCCCTCCGAGGGCGCCTGAGATAGCCATCAGGCACCGGGCAGGAGCTCTCGGCACTTCCTCTGGGACGCCACCTGCTTCCCACGAGCTCGAGCTTGGGAACTGCCCGGCAAGATTAGCACAGGGGCCCAGGGCTCCTCGGCGCTGCAAATGACCATCCACCCACTGCCCAGGGCAGTGACGGAGTCGGTGGCACGTTCAAAGCCCTTGATAAGACAGAAAGAGAAGGGCAAAGGGTGAAGTCAGTTTAGGATGAGGGCTGGCCTCAAGTTCAGAGCCTTCAAGAGGCAGGGCGTGGGCCAGGCACACGGCTGACCCAGGTTCCATCCCCGGCACCTCACAGGGTCTCTGGGCTCGAGCACAGAGCCAGCTGCACACCCTGAAGCATCGTCGGGTGAAGTCAGTTTAGGATGAGGGCCGGCCCCAAGTTCAGAGCCTTCAAGAGGCTGGGCGCTGGCCAGGCACAAGACTGACCCAGGTTCCATTCCTGGCACCTCGCAGGATCTCCGGACTCGAGCACAGAGCCAGGAGTATGCCCTGAAGCATTGCCAAGTGTGGTCAAAGACTAAAAAAAGAAGAAAAAGGAGATCTAGGATAGCATCAACAGAAAGGACCCAAGAGACGGGGGCCCATCCCACGGCCCGGGCCAGTCCACCCACTTCGGCCTCCTTGGCACCGTGGTCAGGGGCATCGTGGGGAGGAGCTGTTCTGCGTGTGGAGGCCCACAGGCACTGCCCACAGTTCAGCTGGTTTCTGGGCTGTGCCCGGCTGCAGGTGTGCGGAGCCAAGGTAGGACGAAGTCACAGTTCCCAGGGGGCTCGAGTGCCAATTGGACAACCCCCTGCTGCCCACTGTGTCTGAGTCTGAACTGGACGCCCCAGTGTCCACCATGCACCCCAGTCTCAACTGGTGAACAACCCAATGCCCACTGTTTCCTGGAGTCTCAACTGGTGGATGACCAAGCCCTCGAGAAATTACCATGAAGGAAGAAACCATCATCGCAGACTCTGAACGAGCTCACCTGCCCACAGGTCAGCCTGATGCCGGGTCAACAGCCCTCCAGCAGGCCGGGAGAGCGGGCCCAGGGGTGAGGCAAATTCCTGGCACGAGGGTTCGAGCCTGGAACGGCCCAGAGAGAGAACAGGACGCAGCAAAGGCACCACATCCCAAGCTGTGGCCATGCCTCGGGCCCCCGGCATGCCATGCGGTCTCTGGGCCCCCGGGGGACCTGAGATGTAGCCGAGGACCAGATGGGGTTGGACACAGGCAAGGCCTAAAGGCCCAGCTGTCTCTCTGGCCACAGAATCGTCTTTTTCAGCGATGTCTCGGGCTGGGCCCAGGCCCGCCCCACCAAAGCTGCGGCTGGACAGCTGCACACGTCCCCCTGAGGCAGAGCCCAGGGCTGGCGGAAGTGAGTGCGTTCGGGAACCGTACTTCTCTACAGAAAGGGCAGAGCGGAGGGGGGTGGGGCCGCGCCTCCGCACAGCAACCCCCAGAGCAGGGTGCTTTTTCCCAACGCGCACTCTGGGCACCCAAACAGTCTGTTTAAGGTTCTGCCATCACGTGGAAGCGGAACACAGACCTGCCCTTCTCGGCGACTGATCTCTGTCCCGTATTCCCTTGCCAGGAAG